CCGCCACACCTCCGACGCAGTCTTCGTGCTCACACCAGATAGTAGCGCATCAAGCTCTCGCCTGCGTGCACGCTTTGCCTCGCGCACCCGCCCTGCGAAGATGACTGTGTCGTCCACGAACGGATCCTTTTCCCCACACGACATGAGGATGGGGGGAAACTGTGCAAGGAGGTGGCTCGGCGCAAGGATCGGCGAAATATGATAATCCGTGGTGAATTCTGGATTGCGGTGCGGCCCAATGTAGAGGATCGCCATCGCGCGCATCTGCACAGCAGTGAGCCAGTCAGCTATCCGCGAATGTGCCTGCCGGGGCCCGAAGGCAGCAGTCCCACGACGAGAGAACGACTTACCATGCTCGGGGAGATTATGCGGTCCTGGAAGTATCCTGTACGGCTCGTCATGGTGATCCTCGTTCCCAACGGTGCAGTCTCCTCAGACGTCGCAGAGGCTGACTCGGCCTCGGCCTCTTCTCTCCGTCGCTCGAGGACGACCTGATTGATCTGCGGGCAGAAACGCACCCTCGCTCGTAGGGGCCGGTCCTTGTCTGCCGATTCAGTGGGCTCTTCGTCGTCCTCAACGTCCGCCATATCACCCGCTTCATCTGCGCCAGGCGCGGAATGATAGTTATGTGACTGGGCGTCTGCTCTGTGGTTTCTGACGTTCCGCGTAGAAGGCGCTCTATGGCGTGCACGGTGGTTATGCAGCTCCGTGGGCGAAGACGCTAAGCTACGTAACGCATCTCGCCAGCTCTGTCGGCGGCGAAGGGTTTTGTGGTCACCTACCATGGACAACGGACTGATATGCTGGAAGTGGTCCTTCTGAGCAACGAGGTCGGGAATATGACCCGACGACTGCTCGGACTGCAGCACGCGGAGATTTGCGGGCGTCATCCAAGACGTGAAATTAAAGTCGAGCGTGGCATACGACAGCACGAGCGCAGTCGGACGTAACACATTTAATTGCGTTTCCACAATTTTCAGCATCACACATGCCACAATGTGCGCACCCCTGTTTTGAGACGTCAGCTGAATGCAAATATCTGAGGCTAGTGAACTCACGCCGAGTCTCCGGAGATGATGACACTGTATTGATGGCCCGACATTCCGATGATCCTGCCTGCTGACTCGGCCAACGTCCGGTACGCGTCGAAACACTCGTCAACAGCGTAGGGGTACGGATCTATCCTATGTAAGCAAGACTTCCTGACAGATCACACCATAAACAAACTTACATTCAGGTGCTTTACCATAGTCTAAGGACAAGATCGGCTTTCCTGTACGTACGGCCCATGCGCGCAGACGCTCCTCATGGTGTTCAGGTGTCATGGAGATGAAACCGCCCCCAGGAATGTCTAGTATTAGTTCTGTCGCACGAGACAAATGATGTTCCGGCGGTGCGAAGAATAGCCATCCGACCACCGGACGCTGGTATGAGGAGTCACTCGGCCGAGGAATGTATATTCTGCGTCTCACCGTGACGCTTGGATAGTAAGTGAGCGCTCGGAGCTGCACAGCATTGCTCTTAGTGATGCACACCGTGATCGATGAGTACAAAACATACATATGGATTAGTGGTTTTCTCCCAAGTTGTGCGGAGCATTTCGACAGTGGGGACAGCGCGGAATCTACGGAGCTATGAATCGGGATCTGAGAGACACGTTTTGAGGGACCAGAGACATTACTTGGCATACCTTCTCATCGGCTTCATTAGCATATATTATGTAGTATAGTGAGAACAGAACGGAGCAAAACTCTTTGAGCCATTTTGGACGGATGGCCATGGCAGTCGCGAAGCCAGCATCGAGTCCTGTGCTTATCCATGTAGCTCGATAGTAGGAAGGTGAGTACTGTCTCGCATGTCAGTGTGGCAGTCTGTGTGACATGCAGAAATCTGCAGAGAATGTGCACTGACCAGGTCAGCCAGTGGCTCGGGTGCTGCAGGTCACGAACGGTGAGCAAGCGAGAGGACGGCGTGGGAAGGGACAGACCTCCGAGGCCGAGAATCTTATCAAGATTCCGGACAGCATACACCCCGGTCAGAGTGCTGACGACGAGTTGCCACGGCGTGAATCGTTCTGGACAAGCCATGTGAAGGGGGATAGAGCGACATACAACACTCGGAGAGACGTACTAAGGGCCCTATTTGCGCATCTGAGCCACAGGATCCGCGGTCCGCCCGGGTTTCCTCGCAGGATGCGCCATAGCCAGAACAAGATGACGAAGAAGACCTGGCGGGAGGGGGCGTGAGGGGAGAGCGGGTGGCGGAAGAGGGAGAGACATACCTGGGCTCTCTTCCAGGAGGGGCTGGGACGGCCGAGAAAGTGGTCGATCATGGTGGGATGGGGGAAAGAGAGAGGCCAGGGTCAGCTCGCAGACGGGCATGCTAGCGTCCTTGACGAGGTCTGTGCTCTTCCATGTGATTGTCGAGGGCCCACTCCACCTGCCATGCCACACCCTCCTTTTCCGGCACGGGCGTCTGCGGTCATCTGATTTGGCCCGTGCTATCCAAGACATGAAGACCTGATATTATCAGTGCAGTGATATCCGACGCAAGACATGGAGGGGCGTGCCCGCATCGTGCTGGACAAGATACAAGCTCGTGCAGGCGCGGTGTAGTGTCGCACTAGAGTAGCGGATCGCCGCCTGCTTTGATCGCTTTGCCGCTGATAGCGCGGGCGTCTTGATCCATCTCATCATAGGCTCGACCCGACCCTTCGGTTTTCCTCTCTCCTCGAGCTTAACCCTCATCTCGACGTTAACCACCATCCCTGCACGCAAAGTCAGGATGACCTTCGAACGCGTCCCCCTGGATTGCTTCCCCGAGACTTTCTCTACCGCCATTGGTGCGCACAGCATTCATCTTCTCCGACGCCCGATCTACTAGCGAACATGCCCCTCTGACACGTTTATTTGACATCAGAATTGTCTAGCGTCGCACTCGGGGGATCCATCATCTCCGTCTCCGACGAGTTTTTTGCAGAAGCATTCCATCTCCTCCTCGTAGAGGTAAACTTCCCCGTCATGTCCCCAGCTCGATGCGTCGTGCTCACGCCCGAAAGCCCCCACCAAGCCTCAAAGGCCAATTCGGCCCCAAAGGCGCGCTATACAGTGGCTGGGAGTCCAGAAGACACAATCCCACGTACGATTGGTGCGCGATACGTGATACTCGGCATGGACATCTTCCGTAACGCGTGAGACTAGGTGCATCCTCAAATTAGGAACAACCGGCTCGATCTTCGGGTTTGACGTGGACACCACCCATTTCAATGGTATGGAACCCCGTTCAACGAACGTGCATATGCACATCAGTCCGCTTACGCCGCCTGCGGTCAGGAAACGAAGCTCCACAGGTCTCAGTCCAAGCCCTCTACTTGCCCGATGGGTCCCTCGCACCCCAATCTGACGATCCAAGGGTGCGTTCCTGTAATCCATCATCGTGTGGTTTATGACAAGCCACCGAACGAATGCAGTGGTCCGAGATCCTGCCCAGGGTGGACCTGGGCCCCAGCTCAAGGCACCTTTTCAAAATCAACCCTACCACAGGGGTGAATTACGTCAAACTCAACATGTATCCTGATGGAGGCATAGTAAGTCCACTTACTGAACGTACCCAGCCGCTTCCCGTAACAATCTCAGGCGCGATTCCGTGTCTACGGCCTTGTGGCCCCAGTCTTCCCTGCCGATGCGTCAAAGCAGTTCGACCTGGCCCATGTGTTCTCCGGTGGCCGAGTCGTGTTTACCTCTGATCAGCACTTCGGGGTCGGATCCAACCTGATCATCCCTGGAAGAGGCATGTCTCTCATTCTGCCCGTCTGTGGTCCGTGCGATTCTAATCGATCCCGCGATAGGCAAGGATATGGGGGATGGCTGGGAGACGAAACGAAGCAGAAAGAGCGGCCACAAGGACTGGGCGATCATCAAACTGTCAGTAATATCATTCAAATCCCCCCTATCGTTCGATCTAGAGCCGAAACTCACTGATACCACGAATTCCTACGTTCTGCTCGCACAGCGGAGATGCTGGTCACCTTTCACACGTCGTCATCGATACCGCACACTTTAAAGGCAACTTCCCGGAGTCATGCGAGCTCCACGCGCTGACAAGCGATGAGCTGGTTCCACAAGATGCACCAGAGGACAGATGGTCCGTTATATTGCCGCGCACGAAGCTCGGCCCGCATAGGGAGCACTCGTTCCAGTTGGAGAATGTTGATGATGTAACATTCACGCATGTCAGAATCACGATATACCCAGATGGTGGAATCAAACGTATCCGCGTGTTCGGTCGGCGCACAGGTACCGCGGCGACACTTACTGATACTGCAGTCGAAGAGAACGTCGGCGTAAACTCGCCCCAGCCGGCCGTCGCCCCCTCTGTCTCTTCTGGGCCCGCAACTGGACCCGGACTCCTTGCGCTTCCCCTCACTGCTGAGGCGTTCGCGCCCTTTGGGCAAGTTGTGCAGGCCTATGATGATGTCAATGCCGTCCCCGCGCCGCGTACGACACGTGTGACGGACGCGAACCAGGGAACGGCGAAGAAGTTCCACAAGCTCGCACCGATTGCCGCGTCATACCCGCCCGGCACAGGTGCGACAGCAGGCCTGTCTGTGTACCGCTGCCAGCCGACAAAGATCCACCCTGGTGGGCGGGTTCCGGTGACAGTGCTGGAACGCCACCCGTACACGAACCAAGCATTCATCCCAATGGGCTCGAGCGAGGAGCTACGAGACCCGGCGAGTAGGTATTTGGTGGTGGTTGCGAAGAACGGGGGAGATGATAGGCCGGATATGAAGAGCCTACGCGCGTTCGTGGCGTCTGCAGGACAGGGGATAGTGTATAACACTGGAGTTTGGCGTGAGCTTATATCTGCCGCTTTTTGTGGTCTAACTCACGTTCGTATTGCAGACCAGCCCATGACGGTGTTGGATAAGGTACGTATCCAGTCCAGGGCACGTAAAAGATGTGCGAATGACTGTTTCTCTTCAGCCGATGGATCTCACTTGTGTAGAGACGCAAATTGGTAACGGGGACAAGTCGGATTGCGAGATCCTCGAATTGGATGGATCAGCAGGACACTACAGTGTGCAACTTGCACAGGCGTAGTCTTATTGGGAGTGTCTTGTCGAGCACTTATGATTAGTGATTGCTGTATTCCTCTATTCCTGATACCCACATATAAAGTTCTGAGTTGAGCACAGCTACAAAGTGGTATTTTGGTGCAGCCTCCAGTGCCGCGCGAGGTACTTATCTCCACGTGCAGATTCCGAGAAAGCCGGAGAGGCACGAGAGGGACCGATCGATCCAAATTTAATGAACGATCTCGACTGCAATTTTGACCTCGCCTCGCCTCTCGAAGGCCATCTACTTGCCCTCCCCGCCACCACTCATCCCGACCCCAACTCTGGAGTACTCAGCTGATTGCAATCAACGAGATGCCCGGACTCACATCAATCAGGACAACTGGAGACAAGATTGAGATTGTAAACCAGCTCCTCCTGCCGCATACAACCGAATTCATCGAGATCAATACCATCGAGCAAGCCCACGATGCGATCAAGTCCATGAAAGTCAGTACGCCCGAGCTCATGTTCGAGGCTGGCTTCCTTCATTAACCCACATCGTCCGCTTTCGTCGTCGTCGTCGTCCCCTCAGATCCGCGGTGCACCCGCTATCGCGTCCCTCGCCGCCCTCGCCGTCGCGTCGGATCTCTCCCGGGCCCTCCAAGCAGATCCCGCTCCCGACTTTCTCTCCTCTCCCCAAGCACTGGAATCGCATGTCTCAAGACACCTCGCGTTCCTGTACACCGCGCGCCCCACCGCGGTGAACCTCGGGGCAGCGACGCGTCGCCTGACCCGCACGCTCCAGGCGTCCGTAGCGGCTGGCAAGGATGCGCGGGCGATCGCATATGATCTCATTGCGGAGGGAAGGGAGATCGACGCCGAGGACGTGAGCAGGAACAAGCAGATGTCGAAGTGGGGAGGCGAGTGGCTGCTGGAGAGGGTCAAGGCGAGCGGGCAGCCCGGTACGGGCCTAAATGTGATGACGGTATGCAACACCGGGTCGCTGGCGACCTCAGTGCGTGGCTCCTTTGATCTCGCAACGACTACAGTCTTATAACGACTTGCTCTTGCAAGGGCTATGGCACGGCCCTTGGTCTGATCACCTACCTCCACGAGACAGGAGTGTTGAATCGGGCCTACTTCACTCAATCGACGCCATATCACCAGGGTTCGCGGTGAGTGACTCGTCGCATCATCTTCCGCCTTGAGACTCATTGATGAACAGGCTCACTGCGTTCGAGCTACAAACTCTTGGGATACCGTCGACGATGCTCTGCGACAGCATGGTCGGTTCGCTCTTCCAGCATAACCAGATCCATGCTATTGGTAAGTTCTCTGCTGTATCTACCCCACAAAGCTGGTAATGATATAGCAAATAGCTGTCGGCGCTGACAGGATAGCACGGAATGGCGACACCGCAAACAAGGTAATGCTGTCTTACTCCAGATCAGGACGGCCTTCGCTGACGGAGGCACTATACGCGCATAACATAGGTTGGGACGTATAACGCTGCCGTGCTTGCTGCTCGCCACAAGATCCCATTCGTCGTCGTCGCCCCCATCAGCACAGTCGATCTCGACATCGCAGACGGTAGCGCGTGAGTGGCATCGTGAGTGGATGGAGCTGAGCTGATCCCAATCCACAGAATTCCTATTGAACACCGGCCACCACTGGAGGCATGCCTCGTCCGGGGGGCACTCTACCCAGCTTCAGTGGGCGCACAAGGTGTGAAGGAGCAGGCGACGGTGATGGTGACGCCGGAGGGACGGGACAGCGAGGGCGTGTACAACCCAAGTTTCGACGTGACGCCGGCTGAGCTCATTACCGCCATCGTAACAGAGAAGGGGGTAGCTACCAAGAGCGACGGAGCGACGGCATTCGATTTGTCAAGTGTTGTGTAGTTCAGAAGTAGACTCAGCGGTGTAAGTTGCAACATGAATGTGGAATTAATCCAGTTCAGCTTAGCATGCTGCCCGCGTAGTAACTTGTTCGTTCATGGATTTATGGAAGCAAGCTGTGAATAACGCGGATACGGGAATTCCCAGCGGACCAGAGTTAGAATTGCGGCAACGCTGATCTCGAGAACCTAGAAGGCAGGTGCCACTTCCGATTCTTCCAAGCGCTTACATCAGCCACATTCAAGACGCGTCGTCTCTTTTAGCACACGATCAGCTCTATTCATCCCCCCCGCATCCAGGTCCATTCTCGATCGTCGTCCAGGCGATACTCAGCACATCCAGAAATGAGCGAACCCTCCTCATCGGTGCCCTCGTCTCCCACCATCTCCACTCCAGCAACGTCTCCTCCACCGTCGCCGGCCTTGTCCAACTTGACGCTGCAAGAACATGTCTCGGAGGAGGCAAAGGCAGAAGCGGCCAAGGTAAAAGCAGAGGCCAACAAAGCGTTTACAAGTATGTGAGCGTTAAAGACACTCGGAGCTGCACGCCGGACGGACTCATGCTTCAATTCAGGCCATGACTTCAACAAGGCAGCCCAGTTGTACTCGAAGGCTATCGAGCTGAACCCACATGATGCAACGCTCTGGTGCAATCGTGCATACACTAGGGTCAAGCTTGAGGAGCATGGGTATGGCCTCACCGACGCCAGTACGTCCACAACAATTTCCCAGTGATCTATGTTCACGAGTTTTGTGCTGTCCTAGGCACGGCCATACAACTGGATCCAAAGTATGCTAAGGCGTATTACCGGTGTGTTCGAAATTTGGCTCTATAATCTACAGTATCCGATATCCCACACATTTTCAAGTCGCGCTACATGCTATCTTCAAACCCTACAGTACAAAAAGGCAATTGCTGATTTCCGCAAGCTGCTCACATTGGAGCCCCAAAATCAGCTTGTCAGAACCCAACTAGACAGCACGCAGAAGATTCTGCGTAAAGCCGAGTTCGAAAAGGTCAGTCCGTCGCTTTATCGTCTGGTGATCAGATACAACGCGCTCGTGCACAGGCCATAGAGATGGAGGAGGAAGCAAGTCCGGTAGACAGGTGCTACGAGATCATTGCCGAAGGTTTGACTGTCATATTTTGTTGCAATTTCCGGTAGTTGATCGATAAGATTCAGGCGGATGTGAAGTAGACCGCGACTACCAGGGTCCTGCGTTACCGACAACAGACGAAGGAAAATTCAGCATCGACTTGGATTTTATCAACGCCATGATTGAATGGTTTAAAGATGGGAAGACCCTTCCACGACGGTGAGACTATACGGCACTGTCTTCTGGTAGGCATTCGATCGACGCCCTTGAAGATATGTCTGGGAAATTGTGCTAGGCGCACATACATACTTCGCGCAGGAAGAAAGTCTGGTCACGTTAGACCTAGAAGATGGGATGACTTGCGATGTTATCGGCGACGTTCACGGTATGTTCGGTCGCTATTTTATGTTGGCCGCTCATTCACTGGCCCACTCGGAAGGTCAATTTTATGATTTATTGCATCTGTATTCTTTGACGGGCATACCTACCGACAAGCATTGTCTACTGATGAATGGCGACCTCGTCGATCGTGGGTCTTGGTCGATCGAGGTTATCATCACTGCTCTCGCGTACAAATGTGAGCATTTGCATCGTGGCGGCGAGGTGCTTTGCAATTTTTCTCACATTCCCCTTAGGGCTGTATCCAAAAACAATGTACATCAATCGTGGAAACCACGAGACGAAGGAGATGAATCGTACTTACGGCTTCGAGGGAGAAGCCAAACATAAACACGGTGACCAGACGTACAAGGTATACTTTGGCAATGTCATCATACACCTAAGAATCCACACTTATTTTTTATAGCTTTTCTCGCATATCTTCACCACCAGTATGTCTGCCATCTCCCTCTTCGCTATCCATGTAGTCATTGAAGTCCCTAGTGCCACTGGCAACCTTAATATGTGCCACTCAACCTCCAGCCTCGCCCATAGGAAATGCAATTTTGTCACCAGAAGGGAAAAAGCGCTACTTTGTAGTCCACGGCGGTCTGTTTAGCAAGGACGGTGTCACACTAGAAGATATTCGCAAGATTGAGCGGATAGGTCGCCAGCCCGGACAGGAAGGATTGATGTGTACGTGCCTTAATTTCAGACACGATTTCTGAAACTCACTATTCTTTGTAGGCGAGGTAAGCAAGCATAGCCAATAATGATGAGAATAGATTCGGATGGGAGGTATTATAGCTGTTATGGACAGACCCACAAGACATGCCGGGAAGGGGCCCCAGTAAACGGGTGCGTTTCAGCCCCTTAGCTCTGAAGCGCTGTGAATCTCATGTGCCGGTCCGTGAAAGGGTGTCGGTATTGCGTTCGGTCCCGATGTGACGAAACGGTGGTGTCAAGCAAACGGTGTAACCGGTATCATTCGTAGCCATGAAGTCCGGCAAGGTGAGGGTTACGAAACACTGTCCTTGAGCATTAATAGATCAGAATTAGATGGGTACGCTATCGAGCATGATGGGCTATGCACCACTGTTTTCTCAGCACCGAATTATGTCGACCAGGCAGGCAACAAGGGCGCATTCGTAAGTTGCGGTTTAGTCCCGATGATGAACGTTTACCAAAAAAATCATGCGTGTAGATTCGCATCGACGCTACTGGCTCGCAAGAATATACGCAATTCGATGCGAAGCCCCATCCACCCATGAAGCCCATGGCATATGCCTCTGGGGGAATGGCTAGCCTCTTGATGTAGTGTATTAGATACACTGTTGAGGGAATGGAGTGGTGCTTGGTTGCCCCGTTAGTCCCGAGCGCTTAATGCTCCCCGAGATCTCGGGGAGAAATCAAGCTTTGAGACGCGGACTGGTTACTTGGATTACATGAATGTTGGATAGTTAACCTGTGCTGCATATAAATCCATTTGCATGAGGATGCATGAGGAGCGGAGCAATGCTTCAGCACGACTCTAAATTCGCTCTAATTTCAGCTTCAACTTGAAGCTGTGTGACCGCCGCACATGGGCGCTTAAACACTTGCTCTCGTTCGCCGCGAGTACGCCCACCGCCGACAGCACTACAAAAGCGTCACCCTGGGATATTACACTGTGCATTTTTCTCAACAGCGACCAACACTCCACCTTAGAGTATTCACGATCGCGGTACTCTCAAATTGACGTCTGATCGCCAGCAATGGACAAGACTAAGTCGAAACTCGCCGCCTTTTTCGACAACGACGACGAGGATTCTTCGTTCCCAGTGCGACGGATACGAACTTATTATTTGTCCTTCCATGCTCACCACTGTCCTATGTTAGCAAAAGGAAGTTGATGACCAGAAGCGCTCTCTCTACACGCAGGGCACCGTCCGCAAGTCTAAGCGAGAGAAGGAGAAAGAGGCTGCGGAAGCCAAACGAAAAGAGGAGGAAGAAAATGCGGCCAAGGCGTATGCAGAATTCTTGGATGCATTTCAAGGGGAAGGGGTGAACCGTAGAAAGGGCGGATCGGCTTTCGTAAAAGCTGGCCAGGAGGGCACATATGCGCCCTTCGCGAAAGGAAGACCTGCAGCACCTGCTCGTACTTTTGAGGAACTGGTGAGCAATTCTGTGTCGCCTCATGACTGGTGGGTCGATGTTAAATTTGAACCTCGAGCAGCAGCCTCCTTCTCCGCCTCCTGTAGTCCCTAAACCGAAGGGCAAGCGTGCTATGGATTCTTTCCTGGAGGAAATCAAGAGGTATGTCGCTCTCAGGACTCCTGTGACAGTACACAACGTATCAGTAAATGCGAGGACGGTGATCTGGAGCGGCATATGTCGAAAGCCCTCGGAATGAGTAGATATGCTCAGTGTGGCGGCTACGACCTCAGTCGACCTGATCCTGAACATATCTACTTACGTTATCATATGTCCTCGTCCTCGCCTTATCTGTACTTGTTTGGCACTATCTTCATTCTGGCAATATGCTGGTGCTCATGTAGACAAAGAGACCAGGCGGACAGAGAAGCAAGATTGTCCAGACATGGTGGGCAGAATCGACACTGTTTTATATTGCACCGTCTGACTTTTACTCTGTAGTAACCCATGGACGATCCGTCACCTCTATTGCAGGTTCGTCCTTTGTGAGTTAGGGCATGTTTAGTGTGCCAATGGCTCCCCACGCAGCGTATGAGGGTCAAAGCGGTAGTAAGGATAGAGGGGATCCTGAGGTAAATTCTTACTGTGACAGATAGCGCAGGATCTGATGACCACATTGGGTTAGACTTCCAATATCTTTGTTGCGAATCTCCCGCCCCATGTGAGCGAGCAAAGTTTGGGAAATTTCTTCGCTCGCATTGGTCCAGTTGGCTCTGTAAGTGTATGGTATAACGGCATGTTCTCACTTCTATAACACTTAAGCAGGTCAAAATAATGTGGCCACGCGGAGATGCCACCCACGGGCCTGGCGCGGACATGACGACGTCAAGGCGGACAAAAAATTCAGGGCTTAGCGGCTTTGTATCTTTTATGAAACGCAAGGATGCCGAAGCAGCTCTCCGAGAGCTGGATGGATTTGATTGGGGCGGTTCGATTCTGCGAGTTGGATGGAGCAAAGCCGTCCCCATTGCTGCGAAGCCCCTCTACGGTGCAGTTGCATTTTATATACTGTGTCAGCCTGTAATTGAAGAGAAACATCAGCAGTCACAAAAAAACCTGCATCTAGGTCAAGGTCGCCCTCTCGATCTAGATCCAGGTCGAGATCCCCCGAATATAAAAGCAGAAGCCGTTCCCGTGGTCACGGGGGCCGCCCGTCCTATTCTCGCTCACCGTCGAGAAGCAAGGACTGGTCAAATCATCGTTCTAGTCACCGTTCACGCAGTCGTTCACACGATCGTGAGCACTCCCGTTCATATAGTCATGGCCGTCGACGCTCGTATAGCCGTGATCGCCACTTCAATAATGACAGTCGCTCCCCACGTCATCGACACTCTCGTAGTCCTCATGGACCTCTAGTGATTGAGGGTGATGAGATATCAGACCAATTTATCAGGCTTGTGGCGTCTGAGGTGAAGGGTCATGATGCAGAATATGAAGAAAGTTTGCGAGAACGCGAACGAAATAACCCAAAGTATGCATTCATGAGAAAGGATGTGAGTGAGGTCTGGATCCAAATTCCTTTTCGTGGTACCAATGTCACATTATTTGAAGCATCGCAGAAACCGGCTCTATCGCTCACTGGTCGATAAGCGAGAAATACAAGATCCCCAATTCGATGACGATGTCAGTGACAATGTAGCTTCGTCAAGTTCAAACCATACTGACGTCTCTTTTAGGGCTACAATTCCGTTTACTCTACGGATTCCGCGGAAGAGTCTGAACGAGAGCGAGGTCGGAAGAATGAGCTCGGGAAGCTTTCCCGGCGGAGATTTGAGGCTATGCTTCGCGCTCTCACTGGTCGCAGGGGAGAAATTGCGCGTTGTATGGCATTCAGCCTTGAACACGCTGAAGCTGCTGGAGAGGTAATTCTAATGCCTTAATGATTCGTAACATCTATCTTATGCTACCTTGATAGGTATCGGATATAATCACTGCATCCCTTGTGCTCGACGGAACCCCTGTTCCACGCAAGGTGGCTAGATTACACTTGATTTGCGACATCCTTCACAACTCTGCCGCTCCTTTGCCGATGGCCTGGAAATTCCGTCAGGAGTTTCAATCACGCCTTGGTCTCGTCTTTGACCATCTTTCAACCATCTATCATTCATTTCCTGGGCGTATCACGGCTGAAACATTCAAGAAGCAGATTACCTCAGTCGTGGACATTTGGGAAGATTGGATCGTCTTTCCACCTGACTTTACCTTAGAATTGCGGGAAAGGCTTGAGGGCTCAATAAGGCCAGAAGAATCCAAACTTCAGGATGAGCAGGTTGTTAGCGAAGTGAAAGAAATTTCACCTGTTTTCACATCTAAGTTCACAGCAAGTTCTTTCAAGCCTGCTGAAGAACTTGCCCAATCCGCCAATGCGGCTGACGACGACGACGACGACGGAGAGCCTATGGACGAGGGCAGTGATATTGACGGTACGCCCATTGACGACGTGGACGGAGAGCCTATAAAGGACGATGTGGATGGAGAACCTATTGATGACATTGACGGTGAGCTGATGGATGATGTCGATGGAGTACCGATTGGGGATGACCTGGACGGAGAGCCTATATTTGACGACATAGATGGTGTTCCCATGGATATGTGATGCTTTCGGATATATTTTAGTTATTTCATTCTCTAATGTACCCCGTGGAATGTCGCCATTATCATTATAGACCCTAATGTGCTGTAGCAGTGTGCGAAAGCTGTGGTATATCCAATAGCTAGCATGTAGTTATGACTTCTTCAGTGTCCTGTCAACTTGACTCTCCAACATATCCCCCTTCCAATGAGGTTTTATTCACTTCAGACATCGCGACGCCCCCTTGAACGGCTCTGAGAGGCAACTTTGAGGATAGCCTCTTTAGCGGTCTCAATTGCATCCTCAGAGCCTGTACGCTAGTTGTTAGGATTGGAAATCAAGACAATTTGAACAGTGGGCATACCGATGACCGTAATTGTGGTATCATCACGGCTGACAGTGATATCAGCTCCGCTCTCATTTCGCAACCGAGCAACGTTGGCTCCCTTTGATCCAACGATCCTTGGGAACGATGAACGGTCAGGGAGCGTTAAGAAGCCGACGTGAGACATCTTCTCGGCATGCTCAATCGCCTCTTGTGTGAGTTTTAAGGCTTTATCTAGACTGGCCTGATCGCGAGCTTTCAATGTCCAATCTGAGTCGCCCTCTTCGGCATCCTGGTAGTTTGGCACAACTTGCCATTGTACCTCAGGTGCACCCGCAGCAATTTCGGTATCGTCGATGCGTGCCTCTGCCGCATCGGCCTGAGGAACAGGATGTGGGGGCACAGCAGGTTTCTGAGGAAGCTTAGAGTGTTCAACTAATACACCGGATGAACGCAGCGTGCGGAAGAAATTCCCTTGCTGTGTAACGGCATGATGGTATTTCAACGGCACGGTCACTGTAGCCATAACCGCCTCCGGCGCGGCAGGCTTCACTTGTGTCTACACAAGTCATCAGTCACAGTAAGCAGGCCGAGAGATTCTTCATTCACACCTTCAATTCATCAATAGCCTTCTCGCAACCAGCTCTAGGACCGGACACCTTAACTATATTGGCAGGATCAACGCCATTCAGGTCTGCAGCATTCTCAGGCTCGCCCACTTGATGGTAGGAGCGGGAGCCAGGGAATTGGACTTGTACTCCAGTCCGATTTTGCAACTCAACTAGATGCTGGCCACCCCGGCCAATCAGAGCACGATGCTGCGCAGCAGGAACTTCCACGGCAAGCACGATGCGGTCCCTGAGAGCAGCCACAGTGTTCTCTAGCTCAGCTTTAATCTTGGCAACAAGCTTGGGTTCGCCACGAAGACGGACTTCATCGGAAGGTTCACCCTGACGAGGGCTACATGATGTGTGAACTCAACAAATGCCAGAGACATATGTGATGGGAGATACTCACAATCGGACAAGGCCCGCTTGCGCCTTGGAGTCAGACGGACCCCCGCAACGAACGATCAGTTCCTTCAAGCCTTGACCGCCCGCGCCAATGATAGCACGGTGAAATCTGCTCTCTACCTCGACCGAGTCAGTAGTCTCCTCACCAATTTGTTCGGCAATGGCAAGAATAGCTGCTTTGGCTTCTGCAATTGCTAGCTTCGAACCCCGCACGCTGACATTAGTGATCTTGTCGTCTGCTCTGTCAACGTCAATCTGGGTGCCGGTCATATCCTTTATCTCCCTGATAGAAGCACCGCCTTTGCCAAGAATGCGAGCAACAGTCCGACTTGGAATGGTGAAGTTAATGACATGATCGTTTTCTTTCTCGAAATCAGCAGCCTATTCGACTACGTCAGTGAGCAACCAAAGCATAATCACGATTGGACTCGCATCAAGTAATTCAGATTTAGCAGCTGCGACGCCCTTCCGGCCGCCCTTGACAAGAACCTCGTCAGGTTTGAGTTGTTCCCTGGTCCTTCCCTCGCCGTTCTCGGCCGATTCCCGAGGGAAAGTGATCTTGACACCATGCTTCTCTTCCAGGCGAATAACGTATTTACCACCCTGCCCGATCAATCCGGCGTGGTACTGATGAGGGATCTTCAAGACCTCCGAAGTCTCATCGGCCTGAAGGAAGTTGGGATCAGCGGCGAAAATTGACGTCGGATTTTAACACCCACGAGTCTTTCGACTTGTGCGAGGATCCGCTTCTTGGTCTCCTCGACATTCTCTTTGCGACCCACAATCTGCACATATCATAAGCCTTCAATCATATGGCAGAGAAAAAAGCAGACCTTAACATGGGACTTCGCGTGAGCCGTCTTCTTTTTCTTACCGATATCTTTTTCTTTCTCGTCTACATCGTCAGAAAAATCAATCTTGACACCAAGCGAATCGCGGAGCCTGTTGACGCCTGAGCCTTGAGATCCTACAATTCGACCGACATATTCCTTGTCTATGTCAAACTCAATCGACTACGACCACATATGTCATCGAAGACTGTCAGACCAAACCCTCATCGCCGAAGAAGTTGTACATACATAACCACTGACAATCTCATCATTTTTAGCATCTTCCACAATTTTCAGGATTTCCTTCACTGCACGATCCACATCGGCACTAATGCCACGGACAAGGATGACATCTTCGGTGGAAGTATCCCCAGCGTCGGCACCAACCTTGATGGAAAGTGTCTTATCCTCACCAATGATCCTGCAGCGATACATCTGAGCTGATCGCTGTTACAAATGTTTAATCTTCATACTTACGCATTTAGAGTGGTGCCACCCTGGCCAACGACAGCCTCGTGCCATTTCTTCTCTACAGGCACCGTCTGTGTCTTTACATCAGCAGCGTCGCGCGCCATCTTGAGTAACTCCTTCTCCACCTCTTCGAGGTTCTTGGCTTTCTCATCTGGAGATGGTGACGCCGAAGGTGAGGTAGGATCATACACGAGTAGCACTGAAGACTGCTCCGCCGACTCGGGTGGGAAATATACAACGACATTATACGTTTCATGGAAGGTCTTGATCCTGTATGTCAATCAGCTGTCAGTCAAATCAGTTACGAATCACGCCTTCATGCATACTTCTTAGCATTCTTATTCGAATTGATGATACGGTGTACCAGCCAGTCGATATTGACCTCCTTCGTAGCGCCTATGAGTTTTCCAATGAGGGCCGATAGCTGACTAACCGCTGTATCGACGGCGGGTTTGTCACCAACAATGTCTACGTTCAGGACAGTAGATCTTTCGATAGTAGCAGCCGGGGGCGTGTAGACCGAAATGCCGGGATTAGAGTAGCTTAGCGTTTGCGGATAGTCAATACGCGTAAAGTACGTGAGCAACTGACGAGAGAGCGCAATAGGACCAGGGAGCGGGAATTCGTGGATATATGCCGAATTCGCCTTCTCCATCACCGCCTGTAAACCAGTTGAAAGTTCCGTCGGCTTACCCCACACGACTATCTCCTCGCTAGCTTCCTCGGGTTGGGGAATGAGTACAGCACATTTGCTCTTCGCCATGATGTCATCCGCACCAACACCTGTGAGTAAACGGTGCTGGCGTTTGGGCAAGGTAATTTGTAGTTTCGTAACCTCCTTCGAGAAGTAGTCCATGGCTGACCGGATAGTTTCGACCACGCGAAGAACGGCTTCACGCTCACCCGAGACAGTGATTTCGCGCAAGGACTGGTTCAACGACAACGATACATTACCACCCTCAGCAGCCGCTTCGAACATGCTTCGACGAGGAATAAGGAACGGTAGAATATGAGCCGGAATATCGCGCACACGCTGAGTGGAACCGGAGCGTCTCAACGCGATAATCTCGTTGAGTAGGCCTTGTGCTTCAAACACCGAAGATTGAGGACCAGTTATCGTAATGGGAACAGTAGGCTCCTCCTCTTCATCATCCGCGGTAGGCTGGGGAGTAGTCACACCAGATGTAGATGGAGCAGCACCATTTCCATTGGGGGCAGGGATATTCTCCCGACGTGGAATGTCAATCCTCACACCCGTCTGTTCGCGTACTTTGATAAGAGTTGCACCTTTTGTACCGACAATGGAGGGAATCGTTGAAACTGGCGCGTTGAGGATTATAGAAATCTGCATATCAATGTGAACGTGATAATGAATCCCAGGCAGAATGGGACTTACAACAGGGCTGAGGAGTGCGATCAGAGTACGCTTAGCCTTTTCAAGTTCCTTCTGAGATTCCGCCTTGAGATAAAACATAGTCTGACGTGATCTGTTGTTGGTAGACGCGTCGAGCTTGACCTTGTACTGAGCCATGACTTGCTTCATAATTTCACCAGGAGAAACCGGCTTGCCATCCTTGCCAGCGGCAGCAATATCCGCGGAAGAAAGATTGAACGAGTCAGTAAACATGACCTGTTTAGGGATTGTGGACCTGATGCGTGGGCCTACAGCAGAGCCCCAGGCCGTAGCCGCAGGTTTGCTCGACACTTGGGAAGACGGGGCAAGAGACGGGAACGCTTCCTGGAAATCCGGTTCGATATGGCCATTGGACTGGGTAAAATGACCGTCAGCCGAAGACGTTTCAGGCTGTACCGAGGGGGATTCCTGGTCGCCTTCGTGCTTCTTCTATATATGAAAGAAACCCGTTAGTTGCCGTGCACAGTGACACTAAATGCCTTACCTGAATATCAGCGGCGTTCAGAGACATTTTGTGAAAGACGGGTGTCCGAGAAACAATGGGCCTATGACGGGGAGAAACCTGGCGACGAACCAACCTGCAACGAACAGGTGCCGCAGAATGTGGAGGAGTGGGGAACTTGGAAGATCCCCGTATACGTGGGCGGCCCAAAGGGCTTGCTATGACTGTGGGACACAACTGCTATATTCAGCAGCAACACGCTTCCCCAATGTACACGACTGCTCCGAACGACGGTGCTCGTCCGATGTCACTGGCAACCGGTGTTTCAATGCGATAATCAGATTTGTTTCATTTTAAATAAAATTAATGAATTTTTTCTAAAGAGTTTGTATGCTTGCGATGTTGATATTATCAACGGACGGTAAACGAGCGTGTAAGTATTGTCACGGCCCGTTGATCGGCGCTGGTCATGGTCATCTGGTGTGACAGCTACTGTGACATCGACGGCATATCGAATGAGGAGCGAGAGGAAACCTGTGAGAACTGGCTGGGAATCGACTTCACTTCAGCGACGCCCTCATCAGTGCCCACCACCTCATCGACATCTGAAGCCTCCGTTGCTGTCTCAATGCCCCTCACCGCTCGCCGGTGACAATGATCATACTTGACGACTCCGACGAGCTACTTAATTCCAATAAGTTCCTTACTGACGACGCCCGCTCGGTAGTCCGTCCTTGTACCCCTACCCCGTCTCTCCCGAGCTACGAGTCTTGCCAGTCTCTGCCGATCTCTGAACAGCCATGCTTAGAGCACGATCGTCGTGTCCAAGCGCAGCAGGATCACCAAGCGCGACAGCAACAGCAAGACCATCAAGCACACAGGGGATGCTGGCCCAAACACACCAATGCTCGCTTCAAGCGAGGGATGCTGTATGCTCTTGTAGTATATTTTGTTCTAACGGTGGCTGTTGGAGTTCCTGTCATCGTAGTGGTCCGTTAAATCTGCTTCACTGTCATTGCAAAACTTATCTCAGCTCTTTAGAAATTGCGGCATCGAAGCTACGAGCGACAGGCGATGTACTCAGCAAGCTCAACGACTACCAGCGCGCCCAGCTTGATCGCCGACAGCGACGACGCCCCATTACTCGAGAGCTCTGCTGTGAGCTGCAACGATTGGACAAAATTGGCGGACGATCTGTCAATGTGAGTAGCTAGTGTTATGATTGTGCATTCGACATTCAAACGTTGTATTCAGGCTACAATATTCCGTGCCCCTCGACGGCCTTATCTTTGTGTACTCCAACGTGTCATATCAATCCAACGTGACCAATCCTCAAAACATATCCGGTTCTCTCTTGGTGGACGTCAACTCAGACCCCACTATCGACGATGCGCTGGTATCGGTGTCAATGCACTACTCCAACCCGAGCTTGATAGACCGTACAAACGTGTGTCTGCTCAACATATCGAGCAGCAACGGAGTCTATCTCTACGTTCCAACCGACATATCAGAAGACGAGACCCTAAGCTTCAATGTGACATTCCTATTTCCACAGGCGCCGTCCCTGCACATATCCCAATTCACCACAAGACTACCCATTTTCACACAGCGCTTCTCGGACCTCTCGTATATTGACTTCGACATGGTGACCATTGCTGGGCCAAAATCAGACGTTCATGTCGAGGTTAGTCTCCTAATCAATTTCCAGGTGTATATTTCATGGTGGCTGTTTTGTATGCAGGCGATGAATGCCTCCTCACTCACAGTGACTACTGCGCTGGCGGAGATTGAGGGATCGTTCAATGTTTCTCGATCTCTCGTGTTAGAGACTATCTCCGCGTACGAGCCTTTTTATCTTTGCTAATTGTGACGACGTCTAACATCATCACAGGCCGATCGATGCAAACATTTCTTTATATAATGATGGATTCATCAATTTGCCCACTTTCCTGGACGTAAGCACTGGCAATGCGTAAGTCTTGCTCAATGGTCCGGGGCTGTGGTATTGACTGCTCACTTATATACAGAGCTTTAAATGCCAGTGTTCAGTTATACCTGCCCCCTGCTGCCCTCCCAGCGCAGAAAGCACCTAACTTTATAACCAATTTCCGGACCTTCAATGCACCTCTTGCTGTCGCGGCCACACACTTGTTAGATTCGTCACCCGCCACACTCATGTTGCACGCCGAGAGCAGTGTTGGAAAAGCGTTTCTGAGTATCGACAACAAGTTCAGCGGTACATTCGATGTCAGCACTACCTTCGAGACCGCAGACGTGATCACTTCATCTATCGATACCATTGGTGCCCTTGCGCAATATGACTTGGGGGTGTACGAACCGGTCTCACTGACGACTGCTGTCGATACCACATCGGAACGAAGGGTTGATTTCGATACCATACAGTCCTCAAAACTTGCTGGATGGGTAGGTTCTGGTACCCGGCCTTCGTCATACCCGTCCTTTTCTTGGAAAAACGGTAACGGCCAGGGTCATTTGGACCTCGTGTCGACGCTCGGTCCCGTCGCGCTTTTCCTTAACCCATAACGATACCATCTACCCAACTCCCCGTTGAAAGGAGTCAGGTTCGCCTTATGGTGATGCGCGTATGTTGCATGGATGGGGCTCGCTAGATCCCTGGACTTGATATCGGACGGGCCGAGTCTATTCATGTAGTTTAGTGTAATTTAGTCACGGAGTATTGGATCGGACCGCTTAGGTAGCATTCATGCAGTGGGCATACTAGTCTCATCTTCTCTTCCTTGTGCTGTGTCGTGGTTTCCCTTTGCTATCCTCCGTCTTCTGCATTCATCGTAATCTTATTGTCATTATCGAATTGAATATATCAATCTCAGTCTCGAGAGTCCACCATGATGTGCGGATCGCGTTTACCTTTGACTGAGGGAGCATTCAGCAAGGCGTCGCCCATCGAAAGTGCCGGGGCAGGAACATCACCCACGACTAAACAGAAAGAATAAATACCTTGTAAGACACGTCACGGCCTTAAGTACGCCAAATCATTACAGATCACTCCTTGGACCCTGTTCTTTCCCTGACACCTCAAAGACCTCAAGTACAGCACTGAGGACAGTCCGTAGCCCATCTATGAGCCCGCGCATGCATCCCACTGTACCATCTCTACACGCTCGAACCCACGCGAGGACATCTCCTAATAGGTTCCCAGATATGACGTCCGCACCGACTCCAGGTGACCGATGAGGCTGCAGCCGCGTAGTAAGCTTCCGCACTCCGTCTCTCAGAAATAGAATCTACTTACCTTAAATGGTCCCATCGCTGCGGACGCAGCGCGTTCAATAAACTCCGCCTCTTGTTGAACGTCGGTCTCCGCCCACATCTCGCGGAAAATGTTCACGGCAGCGAGGCTTTCCGAAAAGCGGTGCAGAGTATTAATAAGTGCAACCACCTCAGACCTTTGAAGTAAATTTGGGTTCGACTTGGGACTATTTGAATATACGATCAGCCACTAACGTGCGGGACGAGGTTCAACCAGCTCACTCTAGAGCTTTTTCATCGAGCTCGAAGAGAACCTTGAGTGCGGTCGCCACCCCTGTGGTCTGTACTCGGCCCCAGAGACGACACTTGTCACAACCGACGCAATCCATGATGCGTGATACGTTACGAAAATGCTCCTTGAATTCTTGTTTTAGAATCTACAATCAAATTAATGAGCATCGAGCTCGACGCCACATTGTCAAGATTGTATACTTGGGCATTCTCGCCTTGAAACATCATGGTCTCGTCAAACTTTCCGACTGCTTGAGCAATGTCGATGATCCTCTTCAGTTCTTCAGGCGTCTCTGCATCTCCTTCATGGGTGTCCGTTCCACAGTAATCGTATGCTGACAAGTACGGTCCAAGACGTGCAACAGCGCGCAATAGAAGCACGGCATCAAAGTATATGTACTGTAGGCGCTCTGGATAGGATGCGACACGATTCACGAAACATTGCAGGTCGGGTCCCTACCAATTTCTCAGTCTGAAAATAGGTATCTGACAGCAATGCACTCACCCATTCGCCCGTGGTCTGATTCAGATTCTCATGACAGATGTGCGTTGAGATACTTGCGTGCAGGCCTGCTCAATAAAATCAACGTTTTCGCCTGGCGGGTTGTCAATACACCCACCGGAGATTATCTTGTAGTATACTCGTTGTTCCAAACAATCTTCCGAATCATATACAGAGTGTGGTCGTGTTCTTGATTTCAAGCTTTCAGGGAGCGATTTCTTCACCGAAGTCATTGGATTATCCGAGCCGGGGCTGAGATGCGATAGCCCAAAACAATTCTCTGAGTATATTGATGACCATACACGATGCGCAGATGGACCAGTGTATCCCGTGAACCGCTCTGGGTTTAGAGTGAGGTCGACATAGTCACCTTCTAACAAAGACGTCAGAAAAAGACTGGTATTGTACGCCAGCGCATGGAACCCACCTGTCATATCATCCAGGAAACAGTAATCTGAATCACGATGGTAACAACCTGGGAGTATAGTACGCTAGACAGTTATAAGAGTGTAATCAATGTCCAATGGTACGGATATCGACCCACCTGATCGCCTGTGAGTGTCTCCAGCCTGCTCAATGTCGCAGCTCTCCATTTCTCTGGAATCTCACTCTACGAAGGGTAAGCCACTCATCTAAGTTGCGCTCTTTTGGGACGCACCTCATCCACAGTAGTGATCCCACATTCCCTATTCATACAAAATCCATTCTCTTGCCAGAATGGGCAGTCACGGTATAAATCCACCTACAAAAGCATGTCAGCTATATCGATACGGAAATGGCGCGCAACAGCATACTCGGAAATATTTGAAAAAAGGTGTTTCTACCAGCGCATGTAATTGACTAAAGAGATCGTCATTGACGCTCTCTACGGTCTCGTAATCACAAAGAGTTGTCTCGATCGGTCCTGTCAGCTATACGGAGGTTAAAAAATACAGGCCAGCTTCAGTCACGACACACGCACATACTGCTTGCAAGCTGGCTCCTTTACAGGTTGATGGTCTAGAACATGATGTACTTGGTCGGTTCTAAGGATATTGTCGGAGAGTAAGGACGGAGATTGGGAAGCCCGAACGTAGGCGCGCGCGTTGGCGAGGGGGTCGACGAGGAAGCTCAGAGAGAGCGCAAGCAAATGACTGGGCAACATCTGCGGCGCAGCAGACCAATGTGCAGACCACGATATGTTGCCAGTGCGAAAGGCGTATAAGGATGGCCGACACACCGACGCGGTGAATGACAATTATATGGGTGCAAGCAAAGCGCGGGCGGAAGAATTGACCACGTACGCAGATCGTGTAAGCGACCCCGAGGCTCGTCAGGGCTTGTCTCGTCTTCATTCGGACACTCCAGGAGCCTCTAGACGTCATCCATTCCCTCATGTCCTGTTCTCAATCCTCACTTTTGTGGATTCATTGGTGGCCCCTTTTGATAACGACACCTAAAGCTATATTAGTCTAACAGCCAAACCGGCAGAAAATGATGGAATGACAGTGACAGTTCAGACCTGTTATTCCGCTGCGAAGTCGAAGAAGAATCCGGATGGGCTCATCGAGGTTGGCCTGTCCTCAGGCTAATGGAAATAATATCATCCTAAATGATGTTGCTGTCCGGGTCTCCTCATATGCTGAAGAACATGAGAATATTTTGATGTTGATTTATTTCAATGTGATACTACAGGGAGGAGTATGGTTGTCTTAATTCTCGCTACTGGTTTCTAGGGAAATTCTGTTTGAAAAGAACATCGGTGGCATATCAAGCGAGTTCACGATGGTCGGCGACATATAACTTGATCTCTCGTATTCGATTTGACTTCGCTCACAGTTGTCTAAGCTGGACTTTGATTCGCTGGAAGTACTACTTAAGTGTTCGTTTTGCTCAGTTGGTGGATTCTTAGTATGCACCGCCGCACTGGCAATTCCTGATTGTTGAGGCCTGAGGTATGAGCCTGAGATCTTAGAGGTGAGAATCTATATGATCGCATCATGCGGCCATCGGTGGTTCGTCATGAAGTAGTTCATTCGTTGCCAATGTCACGGTGTACTTGACTCCCGATTTTACCGCCGCGGGGGAAGCATGATAGATAGCACTTGGCATAAGGATACAGTATTCTGGATTCGTGATCATTCAGCAATTCGGAATTCGCTGTTAATTCTCGATCAATACATCGCTTAAGCTTCTGGGATAAGTAAGAACGCTGGTCATACCTCCTTCAAGGATACCTCCATCCGTCCCCCCTTCCACAGTTGCGCCTTCCGGCTGTACCACCATAGTCAGCAGCTTCGTGGCGAGCGGAGTCCTGAGGATTTGATTTTATCGCTATCGCCTGCTACCGGAAACGGTCACCGACTGGATGGCGTGATTTCCTCACCATCGCTCGCGTCCGTCCATATAATGCACAGCTGCCACTTCAATATGCAACCACCTTCTGTTTATCTCTCGTTCTTGGTTTGGGCTTTCATTTCTCATTCTCAACTTCAGAAGTACGGTCACCACGGATAGAAATGGCAAACACGCCTCATGGTGGCATTTTGAAGGTATGTTTACTTTCCGAACCTTAGGCGAGTTTGCGACCTACCTTTCATATGCAGGATCTCATCGTTCGGGATGAGCATCTCCATGAGAATCTCAAAACTGAGGCTGCAACATTGTGCGATGTCACCTTGACCGAGGTGTGTTCTCTGAAAATTTGGTTGACTGCCTTATAATACCGATCTCAGCGTCAACTATGCGATCTTGAACTAATTATTAACGGCGGTTTTAGTCCGCTGGAGGGGTTCATGAACGAAAATGACTACAACAAGTGAGCATATGCCCGCGATACTCACTATACTCACTACTGGTACTAACGAATATATAGCGTTGTGGAATCATTACGACTTGCAGACGGAACTCTTTTCCCCATGCCTATTACCCTCGATGTATCCCGCGAGGATATTCAAGAATTCTCTATTGCTCCTGGCACTCGTATTGCACTTCGAGATCCTCGAGATGACCAAGCTCTCGCAATCCTCACAGGTTCGTTCGGTGTCACCTTTCACCGTCACATTGACTCACTGCATTTCAGTCGAAGATGTTTACCGGCCAGATCAAGTGAAAGAGGCGATCAATGTATTTGGTGCAGACGATCCCGCCCACCCTTCCGTCGCATACCTTCGCAGCCAGGCGAAGGAATACTATGTCGGTGGTAAGGTCCAAGCAATACAGCTTCCAACTCACTTCGACTATGTTGCCCTCCGGTGTACGTTGCCGCTTTGGATTTTGTGCTTCTCTTCTAGCTTCTGATTGTGCGACAGATACTCCATCAGAGTTGCGGGCACATTTCAAGAAACTGGCCTGGAGAAAAGTCGTTGCATTCCAAACGCGAAACCCAATGCACCGCGCACATCGTGAACTGACAGTGCGCGCCGCTCGCCAGCGCCAGGCAAACGTACTCATCCACCCTGTTGTTGGGCTGACCAAACCTGGTGATGTTGACCACTACACTCGTGTGCGCGTCTACGAAGCTATTATGGCCAAATACCCCAACGGTATGGGTCACTTAGCTCTGCTCCCCCTGGCGATGCGTATGGCTGGGCCACGTGAGGCAGTTTGGCACGCTATCATTCGCAAAAACTATGGCGCGACGCATTTCATCGTTGGACGTGACCACGCCGGTCCTGGAAAGAACTCCCAGGGGCGCGACTTCTATGGGCCCTACGATGCACAGGATCTCGTCACCAAGTACCATGAGGAGCTCCAGATTGAGATGGTCCCATTCCAACAAATGACATATATGCCGTCGACGGACGAGTACGTGCCGATTGATGAAGTGCCGAAGGGTGCACAGACGCTTGACATCTCCGGCACTGAGCTTCGAAAACGGTTGAGGAATGGTGCCCCTATTCCCGATTGGTTCAGCTATGAGTGCGTTCTACTTACCGTTAGCTGTAGAGCGGACTGACACGTCCTTTTTTTATTTTTAAAAAACAACAGGGGTGTTGTGAAGACTCTTCGGGAGAGCTATCCTCCACGCTTGAAGCAGGGCTTCGTGATTTTCTTGACTGGCTTGCATAACTCTGGAAAGGATACTATCGCGAAAGCTCTTCAGGTCGTATTGAATGAGCAAGGGGGACGGAGTGTTTCTGTACTCTCTGGCGACAACATTCGACCTGACCTTGATACGCGTATGTGTTGTTATCATTTGCCGAGCGGGCCCTGATGCTCTATCTGTCGTGTTTAGCATTCAGCTACGCACCCGAAGAGCGCTCTAAGAACCTCCAGCGCGTCGCCTTTGTTGCCGCCGAATTGTCACGCGCAGGCGCTGCGGTCATCGCTACCCCCATAGCGCCAAAACAGGTCTCACGAGATGTAATCAAAGGGACTGTCATTCATTCCGCTGGTGCGGGTGCGAATTTCTTTACTATCCATGTTGCGACGCCCCTGGAGCACTGCGAAGCGACTGACCGCAAAGGCATCTATGCCCGAGCACGCCGCGGAGAGCTCAGTGGAGTAGCTGGTGTAGATGAAATCTTTGAGACTCCGGAGCGGGCAGACCTCACCGTGGACGTCATCACCCAGAGTATACCTGAGATCGTCCATAGTGAGTCATGCATACTCTGTCCCATCGTACTTGGTCCTGACGAGGCGTTGCAGGTATCGTCTTGCTGTTGGAGACGAATTCCCTTCTGTGAAAAATTAGACCGTAACGAAGAGTGTACGATATATAACGGGCTGGCGTCAAATAGCCTTGCTTTCGATTGTTGTCTACGGCATTATTTATCGACGCTGAACGCACACATACTATTAGAGTTTATGCTGCTCAGATTCTCCATTCATGTTGTGTATTACCAGACATTGCAATAGTCCCATTACTTTCACTAGTGGTCGGGCTGCTAGAGGATCAATGTCTCTTTCGCCTTGTAATATAGGAGCTCTGGAAAGTGGCTGTGTGGGCGTCTTTGTGTCGTAGATGATGGCAACTCAGCGACTACAATAATATCATGATCTCATTCTGCCATGAATAGCATCGCCTTGCTGTACCCTGATCACGTCCTACACGCACACGGGCAGGCTGCCAACAACGCCAGAGCCCACTTCTTTGTGCATTTTTCATATTTCTCTCTATGTTCAATAACTTCCTAGCATCGTCACTCCTTTGGTATACCTTTCTTCTGCTCAATGATCTACCGGCCGTCGATGCCGTCAGGATACCAATTACAGGTCAGCGTGTGCAACGATGGGCCGAAGTCAGGGGACCTGCAGCTGGGCGGTTAGGCCATATTAATAGGGCGAGCATTTCTGGGTCGTTGGACTTGCAAGACCAGGGAGATGTTAAATACTTCACGAATCTCACGCTGGGAGGGCAGCCGTTTCAGGTCCTCATCGACACGGGGAGGTGAGAGATATGCTGTTGGCACAGTGTCCCCTCGAAGTCAATTGAAACTTGTCCTAGTTCCGACCTATGGATACAAGGTTCTGTGCCTGGAGCGCAGGACACTGGCAAGACCGTCTCTGTAAATTATGCGATAGGTGCCGTTAGCGGTATGTCTTTGAATCGTAGTGAGGGAGCAGAGTGTTCAAGTGTTGGCATAGGATCTGTTATGACCTCAACACTAACTTTCGATGATTTTACAGTTGAGAATCAGGCATTTTGTACGAGGGTTCCTCCATACACTTGTTCTAGTGCTTTCTAACCGTTTCCAGTGAATGCAACACAGAACTCAGCAGGGGACCCAGGTATTCTTGGCCTCGGACCCAACAGTGGTTCCGATATTTATGAACAGTTCAACGACGAAACCGGGGATACGGTGTTGAACAGGATCTTCTTACAAAATACGTCTACTCCGAATTATATCACAGTCCTTCTCGGTCGCTCAGATGATGTTGCTGTACCATATCCGGGGGACATAACCATAGGTCAGCCCCTTCCAACATACGAAAACATCACGTCCCAGCCGAAGCTGTCGGTTGTGCTGGATGGTGACAGTCATGGTCAACATTGGCAAGCACTACTTGACAAAGATGGCATTATCGGTCCAGATGGACAGCCAATACAGGTACAATCAGTGATAGAAGGCTTGAGTCAACTAGTCACTGTGTTTGACACCGGGTATACTCTTCCTCAGGTTCCTGCGTATGTCCCTAACCTTCGCTTTGTGTGTTTTTCTTATGATTTCACCCTTACAGCGCCGTATCTACCGCCATTTATGCTAGGGTTCCTGGTGCCAACTTTACGTATGACGCCGCCGCCGGGAACGTCTGGACAATCCCTTGTGACGTAGAGCTAAACGTAACTTTCAAGTTTGGAGGGGTATCATTTCCCATCAATCCCCTGGATACAAATTTGAATTCCTTCACGGTAAAGAATGCTGATGGAGACACAGTTTGTGTTGGCGCCTTCCAACCGATTACTACTGCGTCTGCACCTTCCTTTGATATGATCCTAGGAATGGCTTTCTGTGAGTGCTAATTTCCTGTCTACACGCAATAGAGCTTAAGCAGACTTGTAATATCCAGTGAGAAATGCATATATCCTTGTGGATTTTGGTGATTTTGTTCCAGGGTCCTCTAGCCAAGCAAACCCTTATGTCCAACTCCTACCGCTCACGACGCAGGAACAAGGACATGTGGATTTCGTGCAGGAACGACTGGGTGGCGTCGATAATACATCTGCCCTACATTTACTCCCAACACCTCAAACAGAATACAATGGCGGCACCAGTAGCTCTGAGTCACTGGACGCCAAGGTCAAGCCCTACCTTCCGTACATTATCGCCGGCAGCACAATTGTCGCCATCCTGTTAATGGTCGTTACCCTCTACGTCCTGTCACAGAGGCGGCACAGAGAATATCAACGCCTACACGATCCCGCACCGGTCGGCCTGCACTACGAACAGCCGCCATTTCCTCGCTATCAACGGCCACATCGTCGCTATTGAGCCAGCAGTCTGCTGTATTGCATCTACTATCTACCAGTGCATCTAGTGCTCTGCCATCGCCTCGCGGGAATTCCGCGCACTTACTATGGATTCTCGCACGCACTATGTTACCGTAGCACACGTACCGCTGGCCTGTTGTCTACGGACATGCTTGTTGAGAGTCAAACATGAGGTTTATCGAAGCGCATTATGATTGAGTAAACTGCCGCACGTTGGTCACGGCGGTGACAGGGATTCTGCCGACACCGACTGCAATGAAGGCACCTGTATACGACTGCAATGCTCCCGATAGGCTAGGGAAGGCTGTTCTTGGCGACACGCATGCGCTCACCGTCAGACATGTGGATGCCACCGGCAGCCACGGCCGGCGAGAAAGCTCAGGGAGGCAGACCGCGGCGCCCGCATCCGGAGGTCGGGGAGCGGGTGTGACAGATGTCACGAGAAGGCGTGACGCGCTCGGAGTCGCCTTTGTGTGTTTGGCCGCTGCGGGCCACGATGGCGACCGCTCGAGAACGCTCTGCCGAGTTCCGCGCACGCTGCGGGCCGCGGATGGCGGAAACGTCTCGTGATGGATGGGCGAATGCTGCGTCCAGGCAACCACGCGGCGGGCAAGAATGAGTGGAGCGTCGTGGCCGCCGTCGAGAGCATGCATGGGCAGAGAACGTCGCGCGGGTCGAGGACGGGAGGGCAGCCGGGGCGGTTAGGCAGAGAGGGGCTCGAGTGAGCCGCGTTTGGAACCGGGAGATAAGGTGATGGGACAACACGCTTGGGTCGGAGTTCGCCATGGCCAGTGACGAGCTCCTGCGATGTGGCCTGCCTGGTCCGGCGCACGCGTGCGAACCAAGTCCGAGCTGGGCTGTCGGCTCTGGCGCTCGCAAAACCCCTTGTCAACGCCCCCGGCCGCGGCCTTCCCACAACCCTCATCATCACTGCCCCCGTCGGCCGCGAGCCCCTCATCCTCCTCCCCCTCCCCCGAGACTCCCTCTTCATGTCGCCCGCCGCCGACCTCGACGAGCCCATGGCGTCCACCTCTCACTCCCCGCTCGTCGCCAGCGACGACAGTGACAACTCCATGCAGATCGACTCTGACTCCGACACGAAGAGGATGACCGACGTTGACGCCGAGGGTGAAGAGGTCGACGAAGATGACGCCCAACCGGTCGCGAAACCCAATGGCCACTCCTCTTCTTATATGAAGAACCGTGCGGTATGTTGTCTAGTCTGTATGCTTGTGGAGGGTCGTGTTGAAGAATCTCGGTAGATCAAGGATGACGAAGATTCAGTGAGTTCCTGCCATCCGGTTCCAATTCATACTCAGCCGGTTTTGATAGGGCTATGAAGACGACCCCGATGACGATGACGACAATGAAGCGGATGCATCATACGCAGATGAAGAATATGGCACGGCGAAGAAGAAGGCACCTAAAAAGAAGAAGCAGCCGTTGAAGCCGAAAGGTATGTTTTCGATTTTTCTTCACTTGTGATCATGTATATGTTAAGGCTACGGCGTTATGTTGTAGTTGTATCGCGCCACTCGGATTCGGATTCAGATTCAGACTACGGCTCGCGTTCGAAGAAGAAGAAGAAAGCCAGAACATCGCGGGACGAGTTACGGGTGTCTAGTAGAGGTGGGAGGGTACCAAACTATGTGGACGACGTAGCAGACTTCGAGCAGTTCGACGAGGATGAAGTAGAGACAGCGACTTTTGTGGAGTCCCATGCGGAGCCGTTGCATGAGATAGAAGCAGTTCTTGGTCATTGCCGGGACGAAGGGCATGAAGATGATTCTGAAGATGATTGGCAACACAACATTGTACGTTTCTCGAGGCCGACCATTATACCCTACAGTCAGGTTAACGTCGCAAATGCAGCGATTCCACATCAAATGGAAGAATTTCTCCCATTTGCACAACACGGATGAGGTTTATGAGTTCTTGAAGCGTTATAAGGGGCTGAAACGCGTCGACAACTATGTCAAGGCGTACAAAGCATATAATGACCGTCTCGCTTCTCCAGAGCTGTCCCGCGAGGATAAAGAAGTACTTCTTCTCGACAGGGAGCGAGAAAAGGAAGAGCTTGAGACTTTCAAGACTGTGGATCGGATTATTGCCCAACGCGAGAACGAGGCAGGACAGGTCGAGTACTTTTGCAAGTGGAACGGCCTCAATTACGAGCATTGTACTTGGGAGGTCCAGGACGAGATACGGCCTATTGCGAAAGAGCAGCTCGATGTATATCGGCAGCGAGAAGCGGAGGCTAGGTTCCCATTTAAAAGTATGAATTATCCCAGACATCAGCGCCCGACCTTCAAGAAGATTACGGAGGACCCCGAATACTTAACGGCGACGGGAGGCCAGTTGAAAGATTTCCAGTTGACGGGTCTTAACTGGCTCGCCTATCTCTGGAGTAAAGGGGAGAACGGCATCCTTGCAGATGAGATGGGTCTCGGCAAGGTTTGTTAGGTGCTACATGCTGCCGTGTTAACTCCGTATTCACTACTTTTCTTTTGCAGACAGTTCAAACGGTCTCTTTCCTTTCGTATCTCTTCCACGAAATGCGCCAATATGGGCCGTTCCTTGTGATCGTGCCTCTCTCAACTATTACTGCATGGCAGTCACAATTCGCGACCTGGGCGCCGGATCTCAACGTCATCACTTACATTGGTACGGCTGCCGCTCGGGAAGTCATTCGTGGCTATGAATTTGGTCCATCAAACAAGAAGCTCAGGATGAACGTACTACTGACGACATATGAGATCACACTCAGAGACTCGAAGGAACTCGGCGACATCAAGTGGCAAGTGCTTTCTGTTGACGAGGTGCGTAATAAGGTATCATGTACTTGGGCACCACTCTTGATGGATGGTGGCGATATCAGGCACACCGGTTGAAAAACTCAGAGAGTCAACTCTACGAGGCGCTGAGATCTTTCTCTGCCGCGTCCAAACTCCTTATTACTGGCACACCCCTGCAAAACAACGTGAAGGGTATGGTATCACTTGAACATTGGTGGACGATGATTGATTTTGAAAGCTGACAGAGTTACTGTCCTTGATGCATTTTCTCATGCCAGAAAAGTGTGAGTGGGAGTGAGCTGTTCTATCTTACTTTCACTGATCTCTTGACGTAGTCCATTTGTCGAATGAATTCGACTTGACCGATGTTGATCATGAGGAGAAGATCAAGGAGCTACACAAACAACTTGAATCCCTCATGCTAAGACGTCTTAAGCGCGACGTTTTAACTGAGCTGCCTACAAAGAGCGAGCGTATTTTGCGGGTGGAAATGAGTGGTTTGCAAACGCACTTCTACAAGAACATTCTGACGAAGGTATGAGGCCTTCTTTAATATGTCCTCTATTGCGTAGGTGCTCAATGTTTCATCTTCCCAGAATTTTCAGGGTCTGGTGAAGAGTGCTAATGGTAACAACAACATTAGTCTGCTCAACATCGGTCAGTAATCCTCATGCTGTTCATGTTGATTGTTTTTTTATATCGAAGTTATAGCGATGGAGTTGAAAAAGGCTGCGAACCATCCATATCTTTTTGACGGTGCAGAGACCAAGACTGACAACGAAGAAGAAACCCTAAAAGGTCTTGTCATGAGTAGCGGAAAGATGGTTCTGCTTGATAAGCTACTCGCCCGACTTCGACAAGACGGTCACCGCGTTCTCATTTTCAGTCAAATGGTCCGAATGCTTGATATTCTCACAGATTACATGGTGATGCGCGGATACCAGCACCAACGTTTAGATGGCATGATATCGTCCGAGTTGCGCAAGAAAGCCATTGCCCATTTCAATTCCCCCGGTTCAACTGATTTCGCGTTCTTGCTGTCAACACGCGCAGGAGGGCTGGGCATTAACCTCGAGACGGCAGACACCGTCATCATCTTCGACGTGAGTGTTTTTGTAAAGAGCGGAGTGAATAGGACGTTGCTAATGCCGCCGTCGGGTAGAGTGACTGGAATCCTCAAAACGACCTGCAGGCTATGGCGCGCGCTCATCGTATAGGCCAGAAGTCGCATGTTAGTGTGTACCGTTTCGTGAGCAAAGACACGATGGAAGAGGACGTTTTAGAACGGGCCAAGAAGAAGATGGTGCTGGAATATGCCAGTGAGTCCCGTTGCAACGAGGTCATCGCCTGCTTGATGACGACATGTCCGCACAGTCATTAACCAGATGGACACGTCGCAAGCACACCTTAGCTCGAAGGGCGGTGCATCGACGAAGGATCCATCCAAGCCCAATGACCTGAGCAAGGACGAGCTGCATGCTGTGTTAAAATACGGTGCTCAGAAGATGTGCGTTGTACTCGACGCAATGTCCTCCCTGCGCTGACCATATGGATTGGCAGTTTCGATAAAGATGACAGCCAACAAAGCAAGAAGCTAGACGAAATGGACCTCGACGACATTCTCAACCGTGCAGAAGACCACGAGACGATGGCAAATACAGGGGAGGGCGCGTCCCTTGGCGGTGAAGGTTTCCTTGCCCAATTCGCCAATGTCAGCGACGTGAAGAACGACATGAGCTGGGAGGACATCATCCCTCTCGATGAGCGACAACGGTTCGAACGTGAGGAGGATCAGCGTCGAGCAGAGGAGCTTGCTGCTGAAGAGACAAAGGATCGCAAGCGGTCGCATGCCCCCGTCTCATATGAAGGCATGGATGTAGACCATACCACTCCAGCACAGGCTCCCAAGAAACCGAAGCATCCTGCACCCCAGCGAAAATCCGCGAGCCAGAAAGCGATGGAACTAAAGGAGCGAGATGTTCGCGTTCTCATCCGTAGTCTTCAACGGTGGGGTGACATCCGACAGCGTTACGACGTCATTGTGAGCTCTCTCTAAATGCTTTGTATGCGATTTTGCTAATGCTCGATATTTAGGTTCACGAATCCAAATTGCAGGATAAGAACAGAGGGATGATCATGGACACCGCAGATGATATCATTGAACTGTGCGCCAGAGCCGTCGAGGAGAACAACGCTGAGAAGCGAGCGCGAATCGCTGCAGGGGAGACTCTGACGAATGCGCAGAAGAGCAAAGCGGTTTTGGTCACATACAGGAATGTCGGGAACATCAACGCGGAAACGGTGCTCTCTCGACATCGCGATCTTCGTATTTTGTACGAGTACCTCCATGAATTGGCTGACGTTTACACCTGGCAAATTCCCATAGACAATATTCGGCCTACGCTCAACTGGTCAGGACGGTGGGGCCCTCAAGAAGATTCGATGCTGTTGGTTGGCGCATATCTCTACGGTTTCGGGAATTGGGAAACCATGGCAAAGGATCCCAAATTAGGATTGGATGGTAAATTCTTCCTGGAGGAAGGCAAGAAGGGTGAAGACGCAGCCAGCAAACCCATCCCGAACGCTATCCATCTTGTCCGGCGTGGAGATTTCTTGCTCAGTATTCTCCGGGAGCACGACGAAAAGTTGCGAGCAATTACGTCGAATTTACGCAAAGGTCATGCGTTAGGCATGTCCGCGTCGCCTCCTCCGCCTCTGGCTTCATCTTCCTACGGCGGGAGCCTGAAGCGTCGTGCGGAGAGCGAAGCAGTTGCCTCTGTGGACGAAGGCAGTTCTAAGAGACGGAAGCGGCGACCAACGCCAACCTTCACGGACTCTTCCTCATCGGATGAATGGTCAGTATATGTTGGGTACACGTTTGAATTGAACTCATCCGTGTTTGCGTAGTCCATCGATGGATGAAGCTTCCACCAAGGAAGAATTGAGACCCGTTAAGAAACAGCTGGTGTGTTTTGTGATTTCCCCCTCGCTTGTAGATTGAATTTATCCTTTTTTTTTATTACAGAAAAATCTCAAGCTGTCGGGGGGCGATATGCCACGAGATGATAAAGTCGCCATACTGAAGGAGTCTCTTGCTGCCATTGGCAAGCGTATAGAGCTGGTTCTCACGCAGAAGCAGGCAGCTGGTGAAGACCGGGACAAATGGCGCCGACATCTCTGGACGTAAGTCCTCTCAATTAGTTGTTGCGATCTAAAATCTTATTATTTTTGCAGGTTCGTCACGTTGTTCTGGCCCAAAAAGGTTAAGGCAGGCAAGCTGGAAGAGATTCATGCCAAGATGGTCATGAAGGAGAGTGCACCGCGTGCATCTTCAAGCGACGGGCCAAGCGTAGCCAAGAAGCCACGCTTGAGTACCAGTTCCAGCACTGTCGCACCATCTCGTAGTGGTGGTTCGATACCGTCCGCGTCGACACCGTCTTCCCATGTGAATGGCAAGTATCGGTGATAGAGAGCCTCATTGACTTGCTTACGCTTAGTCTTCGCTGGAGTGGTCCGCGTACTCTGCACATACCCATACTGTATCGTTGGTTAACCCACACTTACCTCAATTATGGCGACAGGTGCCTACGACGTCTAATTTGCTCTGCCAAATCATGGACGCTGGCTGGTGTGTACGCTCGTCGCTACATCGTCTCCGTATATTTGCAACTGTTAATTTGCTCCGTATCACATCCTCCTGTGTATTTCATGCATCGCAACCCTCGGGACCACCTGTTTTCATACTATACCGTTGGCTCAATGTGTTTTCAGTAGTAGTTACCGTGTACCAAGTACAATATTGATCGTTATCGCGTTATTTGGCCATGTCGATGGCTGCGATACCCAATATAGAAACAGGAATCAAGAAATGGGAACTATCTATATGTACTACATTTCACCAACTGAGCTCATCAAAGAGATATCCCACTTGATGCAATCGACGACCTGACACTACTAATACAAATCACTGACAACGGGACGACACGGATCTACATACAACCATGAACAACCAAGATAGTGAGAGGGTGTTTTCACATTAGCCAGTGGCCAACATCTGCAGACCCTAGGAACTCTAAGTAGGGCTAGCGACCAATAGCACTTCGTCCGGCCGTCGGAGCGCACCAGGCGCGGCCTATGGATGTGTACTTCATTCACTGTGAGACATATTCAGGCAACAAGGTGGCTTCAGTGACGCGACGGCTAGCGAGTCACATTGATCCTGCGAGACTAAACAATGAGTACATTTAAGGGACTGGGATGCGATCCATAGTGAAATGTACGCACTCTCGCCCTGAAACGTGTATAGCTGGTCGTATCGTGCCAGAGCTTCTCCTGCGCTGCCGCGTTCCGACAGTGACACTCACAAGTGGCTGTCGTTCAGCGGGCGCCGCGGTCCCGGATTGTGCAGGGAATGGGACGGAGGACGACGACGGGCCTGGCTGGCTGTGCCGCGAATCAGAGTAGCGTCGATGTGAGCTTCGGCGCGCGCGCTGGGCAGTTGGCGAGGGCTGCGAGTTGTCTGAAGCACGGGCAGCTTTTTTGCCCCGGCCGGAACCAGCATGTCAGTCTTGCACTTTCATTGGCCGCAGGCGGAATCAGCGCACCTTCGACGACCTTTGCGTCCGCCTCGCGGTGGAAGCTCTCCATGAGCGCGGTGAACCGCCGCACCTGCCAGGCGAGCTGGCTGGCACGCGCGTAGTTGCCCTGGCTTTGGGCCCACTTCCGTTCCTCCTTAAATCGTCGGCGCTCAGAATCCGCAAGGCTGGCGCGTGCCCGGAGGATAGCCACTGCACGCTCCTGTGGCGTCATCCTGCCCTCCGGATCGATTGATGAGGGGACGGAGTCGAGCGAGATGGAAGGAGCGGTGCTGGCGTAGGTGAGTGCGGGTGTAATGGGACGTACTTCTAGCCGGCGCGAGTCGCGTTCTCGATCTCTGGCACGATCGCGGTCATCCGTGTCACGTCGTTTGTGTCCGTGGCTGCGACCGAACGAGACAAGCCGGAGTCGTTTCGACTCGTGTGTTTCTCGGATTGGTGTGGCGAGAGTCGTACGTTCGCGTTCTTTGGGTAGTGATCCGTCCTCGAATACACGAGCGAGCAGATCTGTCACAGCAACACCCAGCGCCACACCAAGGAGGGTACAGACGCACTGTGTAGTGTCATAAGTGCGAGAGTAGTCGAGAAGCAGCTTCGCGGTGATACCGACTCCGACAGGGATCACCAGCAGAAAAATATGATTGAGAGCGGCGTGTAGGAGAACCCCCTGGAAAAGTCCATTGAGGAGGAAGTCCTGTGTGGATAGAGGTTCGTTGGCATTGGGAAATACTGATTTCAGGAGGATACGCGCGCCGAGCGCGCAAAGGAGCGGGAGACTGGTCGTGAATTCCATAGAAATGGGAAGAGTTCATATGAGCATTAGATGTCGCAGATACGGAGAGATGGAGGGTATCAGCAGTGGTAGATGACTCGCTGCTGCCAGCGCAAGAGTCGGAGACTTGACAAGCGAGTAGCAATCGACGGCCAATGCAACTCAACCTTGCAATGAGGCAGAACGCCGCCCACGTGACCGCGCAGACAATCCAACGGTCCGCTTCACGCTCGTCGCTCGCTCACTCATAGGATACATGCAGTTAGTCCAAATATCAGCATTATTACAGTAAGATACATCATACACAGTCTCAAACTTCCGTATCCTTGTAATTCGCCATAGGATCCTCCATCATCCGTCGGTTCATTCGATATGCCTCTGCAGCAGTGATCAGTACGCGAAAACATCTACGGGTCTCGCACACACTCACCGAGCTCCTCTTGAGTGACCTCATGGCTCCCTCCCTGGGACCCCTTTTGTCGCTTGCCAAACCGATCATCCCCATCCTCTCCTCTCGCCTTCCTTTTCTTCTCGTCGCTGATCGCCTCCGCCAAACGATTCTTGTCAAGGACGATCTCCCCTTCGCCCAACCGCGCTCTCGAGAACAACTCCTCCGCCTTCTTTTTTCGATCTTCTGCTGACGACGCAGGCACATTTTCCGGTGGGGGTGTGGAGTTGGACATGGTGGACTTGAGGAGATTCTTGGTACTCGACGCGTGAGCAGCTTCTTTCCCTGCCTCTCCAGTACAGTAAGACAGATGAACGATTGAATGGCAACAGGCGAAGCCCCATTCTCCCGATGCCATGTCATACCATGAGCCCCACACCGCAGTGTGATTGTTGACATAGACTTGAAAGCGCGTGTCAGGCAGATCAGCTCCTGAGATTAGTGTAATAACATACCGTCCTCCTGGTATTTCGATCTCGTCATCGCCCGCTCTTTACCTTTGATGACCTGGCCTGTTCGAGAGAATTCGACATACTCCTCAGTCTGACCCAGTAATAGCTCTTTGGGGGCTTTCTCCAAATACTCCTCACCACCGTACTTGGCTAGGATACTGACTTTATTCATGTCTTTGAGCTGCTCTTTCTTTTGCTGGAATTCTTGGTGAAGGAGTTGTCCTTGTGTAGGATTAGCATTCATATGGACGTCGTTTCCCCGGGCGGCGGCATTCCAAGCAAATAGCTGGAGCTTCTGGACCTCGGGAGCTTCACCCGAATACCTCAAGAAGTTGTCACCAGCGAATATAGCCTGACCAGCACATTATTAACGGAGAGCTCCTGCATGCATCGAGGGCACTCACTTCCTCGGGGGTTACATTCTTGACTGGATTGTCGCGCATAGAACGAGTTTTGGGGTCGTAGTATGCACTCGACGGGTCCAGATTGATGAGGTACTTTGCCGTGTCTTCACGAATACGCAGGTTACGGACCGTGATACGAGTTTTTGTGTCCAATTTCTGTCCTACCGCATCAGCAGCCTCAGCATACTTGTCAGCGTCCTCATCCTCTTCGTCACTGCTCCCGAAATCGTCGTCTTTACCCTCGCCTTTCTCCTTCCCTGCCTTTGCGACCTTCCGTACAGCTGCGAGATCCGTCGTGGTCTGCTTATCAATCTCCTCCTCGCGCAATCTCTGCCGCGCCGCCTCGACTGCAGCATATTCGTCATATACTTTCTTGTGCTCTGCGGGGTCGTACCCATTCCATCTGTCTCGCTTTGCGTCATACCCGGTGGAGATATCCTGAATAACTTCATCTGGCGCAATATCTTTGTTTGTGAACTTTGCACCGCGACGCCTCGGTCGCTCGGGACAATCCAGTCGCTTGTGAGTTAGCGCACCACAGTTCTCACATGCGCCCTTGCGAAACTTCTTCGCTGCCGGACCCGCCTTCGCCCCTCGGTCGTACCAGTTGTCGAGCTTATCTGCGGAGCGATCATATTCAGGGATACGTTGGTGGCTAAGAGACGGTGCTCCAGTGTCGAGGTACCACGGCGCTTGGGCAATATACTCTGATGTAGGAGACAGGGACGGTCAGAGTATCAGACACTGTGGAATGATATGCGCAAGAAATAGACGTACGAGGAATATGGGGATTAATGGGTTTGCCTTCCTCATCCAAAGCTGCCGGTGCAGTTCCAGCTTTCCGAGCAGCGTCTAGGTCTTTTTGTCGGCGGAACTCCTCACGAGACAACTTTCCGGTGGCTACAAAAATATAAGATATGTGGATATCGTAACAAGATAAAAAATTGCATACCTGAAGCGGAAGCCATTGATGTAAGAGGTAGTAGCTGCTTGTAGGTGCCACTGCACAGCGCTCAACTCACTTCGACGGCTTAATAAGCGCAAACGAGTAAAGAGCCAAAAAAATAAACTGACAGTGACGAGATTCGAACTCGCGCGGGAAACCCATCACGGATCGGATTGCATGAACCTAAACGTGACGCCGTAACCACTTGGCTACACTGCCTTGAGTATGTTCGCCAGTGTGTCGCCATACCCGTCAACAAATGTTGCTGTGGTGGTCTCAGGACGTTGTCGTTGTCCCGGCGATGCGCTCAGATCTCTCTACCTGCAGAAGGAGGTCCCACCACGGGAGACGAGGTCTGCGGCCCAGCGGGCGCGGATGTGAGACAGATTGGATGAGCCACGTGGAAAGTTGTCGAGACGCCCATTATAGAAGAAATAGCCGAATTTATGCCCGCGGACTGTGCTGTACTCTTCAACTTGGATCCGCATCGTCCACACCGCCGTCCACGATGCACTCCCTCCCTGCGCGCCCTCTTGGTCCCCGCACGATCCAGCGCGCATCCTCTCCCTCTCCCTTTGGTCTTCCAGAGATTGCCCCTCTCACCATTCGCAAACCTTCCCCTCGTCCCAAGCTGAAGCTACCTAAGATTGACTATGACAAGATCGAAGGTGGTGCATTCCAGGGTGACTATATCGGTGGCGGCCAGCCTTTGTCACTCACTTCTCAGTCAAATGCCGATGGGTCTGGCGACCTGACTCTTCGTCCCGACCAGACCGTATCTCCCCACCCTCGCCCAGCTGCCGTCTCCATGGACAGCCTACGACAAACTGTAGAGGAGTTCGACCAGTACTCTGACGACATTCTCGAGGAGCTTAGCCGATTAGGCGAGGGTGCGGGCGGTGCTGTGTATAAAATTAGGGACAAACGCACAGGGAAGATCATGGCTCGCAAAACAATCACTACCCTTGAAGCACCTATGAAGCAGCTTCTGCGTGAAATCAAGATCACGTCGACAACCTCACACATCAATATTATCCATTTTTATGGCGCATACATCTCACCGTCCTCTAGCGAGGTCAAGGTGGTCATGGAGTTCTGCGAGGGCGGTAGCCTCGAATCTGTCGGCAAACGGATGAAGGAGATTGGCGGACGAGTCGGCGAGAAAGTCGCAGGGCGGCTCTCAGAAGGGGTGAGCGCTGTCTCTCCATCGCAACGCTTGGGAACGCCAGCTGATGCTGATGGGTGTCGCAGATCCTACAAGGCCTCGCCTATCTTCACAAGCAGAAGACAATTCACCGTGACATCAAGCCGTCGAACATTCTCCTCACAAGAGAGGGTGTTGTCAAGCTATGCGATTTTGGTGTTTCGGGAGAACTTGTGAATTCGGTGGCGGGCACTTTCACCGGTACAAGCCTCTACATGGCGGTAAGTAGCTCATTGTGATCACAGCTTGAGACGCGATGCTTAATGTTAGCATATCTCTCAAGCCGGAACGTCTATCCGGCTTGGAATACACAATCAGATCCGATGTATGGTCCACGGGCGTATCGCTGCTCGAGCTGGTCCAAAATAGATTTCCCTTCCCCAGCGATCTCGCCGCGATTGAGCTCATGATGTACATAACACAGTATGAGGTTCGTTTGCTACCGAATCTCAGCTGGGTTGCTTCTGATGATTCGATGCTTGGGTTTCTCACATTCTAGCCGCCAGAGCTCGAGGACGAGGAGGACATCACATGGAGCTACGAGATGAAGGACTTTATTAAGGCATTGTACGTTTTGGGCCGCCGTCTACCCATGTGAGATGACTAACATGAAAGTCTAGACTCACTCGAGACCCCTTAAAGCGACCAACACCAAAGGACATGCTCGCACACCCTTGGATTGTGAATATGATGAAATATGAAGCCAAAATGGCCTCGTGGATACGACAGGTATGGGGCTGGCCAAAGGGCAGAAGGTCTGGTGATGCGTAAGTACTATTCTTACGTTCTCCTTGATCGCGGTGATACCGCAGTTCATTCACATTACTCACTCGTGGGCTCTACCGCAGAATCTCGCGACCGAGTTCAAGTAGGAGCGATCCATCGCTGGATGCGTCAATGGCTAGCCTTTCTCTTGGACCCGGACATGATTCGCCGCCTGCTACAACATGATCAATATCCCCTCGTCGCCAATGATACCTTTTCTGCACTCTTGTACAACTGCTTATGCCCGTCTTGCACCATCTCGCACTGAATCTCATGAATCTCTCTGGACAACTCTAGCCAACTTGCTTTTCCCTGTTTGTCTGACACATCCTCCACGCTTCCTTCTCTTAATATATTCCACTTTCCCAACTTTGTTACTTTACCCTTCACATGCACATTCAAAAGCTACATCGCATTCCTACGCGTCCTTTGGTTCAAATCGGCTTCTATACGTAGATTCGAAAGCGGAGGCAATTGGTGAAATTGTGGAGGTACTGTCGCTGTACCTGACCTGCCTGTGAGTGGGATGTGATATGAAAACTACCAGGACGTCGGACATTGTTTGGCCATATGACGTATGTATACTATGCTCTGTAATTTTCGTTTGCTTCTGTAGAGTCATGAATGTTGAAGCCTCATCAGGATGCTTGTGCCTCTCATAGCGAATATACGATCCAATTATGCCGTTGCTACAATACATCTATGAGCGAAGTGCGATCGAATATATAGGCCGGACTCGAGCTTGAGGGAGTCAAAAATCCATGGATTCTGTCCTGCTTTGACGTCGAATGCGTGTAGTAAGTGCGGGTAGGTGGAGCTCAGATGGCAAGCCCAGAAATGCTGCTGAGAATACCTTCTGATAGGCTAACATCCAAGCTTCGTACTCTCCATCTCAAGATTTGACAACCAATCCACCATCGACCCTCTCGGGCCCGTTGGTAGTTCGAGCAGCGCTTGCCCTGCCCCTCCGTCCCCTTGTACCCCTTCTGAAACTCTTTCCCTTGGTCTCTTCATGGCCATGAAGTGAGACTTCTCTTATCGCTTCTCGGTGCCTGTTCACACTGTCGTTGTTGAGGGCGATAAGTGCGTCCGCATCTGTAATATTTCTCGACACAGCGCTAGGAAGTCTGACTGTGACCCTTTCGGTGTTAGCGTCAGCGTGTGTCATCATTGAAACCATTCCATCGTCCACGATGCCACTGTGGTAGGATGATAAAGGACTGTGTGCACTGGGAGTACGCTGGCCGTGAGAATGCGGAGTGGGGGGCGAAAGTAAAAAATGCGGCTGAGAATCGCGCACCACCTGACCCGATGGATTTTCCAAAGATAAATTATAAGGGTGGAGAACTCCAGACGACGCTAAGTTCAAGTCTTCTTCTGGTACTGATGATAGACGTCGCTGGATGAGGCGTGCGAGGGGAACTGAGCGAGAGTATTGTTGAGTAGCACCGTGCAAGCGCGCTTGAGACAAGGGAGAACTAGGTAGGATGTTGCCAGCAGAATCAGTCATAGTCCGAGCCGCAGAAACCAGCCCCAAAGGAGTGTTTGGAGGAGGTCGGAGTGAGGCAGAAGATTGCGGGATTTGATTTGCTGAGCGGAGGACTGCCGAGCCAGCGAGGTATTGACTGCGCACGCATTTAGGAAGAGGACTACGAGTATCAACATCGTAAATAGAGGACGTGAGATCTCCTAGATCGTCACCAATCTGAATGGCAGGTGCAAGTGTATGGAGACTAGAAGTTCCCATATTCGAGATGCTGTTCTTTGGAGATTTCGGAAACTGCCTAACAGCGTCCGGATACATATACATATCCGACGTCTGGACGAAGCTAGGCGACAGTCTTGGCCGATTAGATACGGACAGCAATTCTGGAGACAACAGAGAACCTTGGTAGGGAGAGAAGGCTGATGACCATATCGGTGATGAAGAGTTGGGCGGGGTTGGCAGGAGATTCTGTTGTTGCAGCTGTTGTTGGCGGTACTGCTGGGCTATTTCCAGGGCGGAGAGTCTTCGAGGCGGGACGTTACGATGCGAGAACTGAGAAACCTGATTAAGAGAAACTGTATTCATGGGAGAGCGAGACGAGATCAAAGACTTGACAGACGAGGTCACCGGAGACGGGAAGCTACCGATAGATTCAGAGCTCAGAATTGGAGCAGATGATACCAGCGCAGAATCTTTGAACCTTTCAGAACACAACAGCTTAGAATCCCAATGAAGTCCCAGGTCATCTTTCAAGCCAAAAGATCGAAGACCATGTACAGCAGAGCCCAGAGCACTAGTAAAATCGTAGTCACGAAGCTGAGACATGGGTGCGCCTTCAGATTCGACTCTCCTGTCATCTGCAAGCTCGAGTGATTCTTGATAGCGAAGAGCCCTACCAGTCACCCCGTAACGTGGGCGAGACATGACATTATGCACTGCGAGGTCCGAAACGGTAGCACGTTGCAGTGGGGAATCCAGCAATCGAACAGCTTCGCTCGGAGCAGACTTTATAGCTCCAGGTGTTGTATCCTGTAATCCCGGCGTGTGGTGATGCTTGCCCTGCGATGCCCCCTTACGGTAGTGCTGAGAAGGGGAATCCGGGATTAATTCTGAGCGCATCCGACCGACAGGCCCAACTTCGCCCTCCAAGCCCCAAATCATACGGGGTAGGTTGTCCTGTTCCTCAATGATAGTACCCTCAGCCCCGCTAGAGCCTAATTAGTGGCAGAAGCATGACGAAAGTCTAAAACATACGAGGGACATCGAGCATATGGTAGAGATAAGGGGCCATGAAGAGCTGGTATAGGACGGGGAGGTGAGTTGGCCCAGCTGACCCAACCTAGTAAATTTCAGTCACTTGGAATGTAATGAAGGTAGGATAAGACGATAGACCGACCGTCGTCGTCCGGGGGTGTGGGCGGATGACAATCGAGATTATTGTTGCGCAAGAATCCTTCCGAGAGTTTGTCCTTATTCGCAATTATAACGACTGACTCAGGAGACGAGGGCAGAGAGGGCGTATGCGGGATTTCCGAGCCAAGGGAATGCATGCGTCCTCGAGGCTGAACATCTGATCCAGATAGGAGAGATTGGTTTGATAAATTAGTGGACTGAGAATCATCTGCATAAAAACTTGATTCTCCAGGTAGGGGCATAGACACAACGCGCCTTCCCCCTGAATTCTCCTTCACCGAAAATGCCGACTTAGTTTCAGGAAGAGATACGACTCTGGATGGATGACTCCCATGAGCGTGAACGCTAGGTCTTGATGGTTTTTGCAAATATTGGGGTTGCCTTAATGCGCGAGAAGAAGTGGTAATGGACACAACCGAATCCTCCGAGTCCTCTATCGCATCCGAGGCACGGCTATATGCGCTGTGGAATCGAGTCGAGGACCGAGAGTGATCTACCATAGATGAAGAGTGAATAATATCGAATTCAGAAGACACGTCGCAAGAGTAATATACGAGATCAGACACAGCAGCAGCAAGTTTGGTAGGGACCGGACTTCCTAAGTCTGTTTGCACCCCTTGATCGATATAGTGTTTGGTACCATCTTGAAAAGTCTCCATCGTCAACGTTGAAGACACTGTATGACTTAAAGACAGCACTTTTGGGAGGTACGATGTAAGAGCGAAGGTGAGTGTTGACGACAAGACGCGACCGGCGGAGTCCCAAATAAACGAACTGACGTTGACGTCACGCGTCCTCCCTTCATACCAGCGCGTTGGAAGAACAAAAAACTTAAGTCGCTGTTAACATGATATAGTACATCCACTCATTCATAAATAGAACAATACATCAGTTGGTAGGCTTCTGAAAAAAGCTTGAGATTTTCGCCATTCCCTTAACATTCACTTTCTTGAGCTTCTCTACCCCATTCGAGGCCTTCGTCTGAGCTTTGCGTTTCTTGTCCGCATCATTGTTGGCAGCCTTGGAGGCTTTTCCCTTCCTTGTCTTGGTCTCATTGGAATCATGGGCAGCTTGCGCAGCAAGGTCATCTCGCATCATTTGGAGGTGGGTATCAAGCTCCGCAAAACTAGCGATTCCACAATGATTAGTTCTAACACGTTAAAATATGCCAGTAAACATACTCATACGACTCAAGTAATGTCGTAAAGATGTCCTCAGGGATATATTGAGAAATGAGTTCGCATGCAGCTCGAGTGCGCGCGGCTTGAGGGCAAGTCATGTGTTATTAATACGTTGCACAATTCAAGCATTGTCACTTACATTCCAACAGGTGTTCCTTCCCGTCTTCCATTATTCCATCTTTCGCCATAATTCGTACCAGTGTTCGAGACTTTTCGCATATATCCGGTTTCGCAAGGCGGGCGACTTTGGTCCTGAGGTAGTCCAAGACCTTTCTTGGCGAATAACGAAAAACGGTGATGTCTGCAGTAACTTCTAGATAAATACATCAATATCTCCGCCCATGCTAGTAATTTCCCACATACCTTTCACTTCACATATACGCCTCATAGCTTGATGCGTGCCAGTGAACGTTATAAGAGCATGGATACCATGCATCATGGACTGGTCATGCAATTTATTCGTATCCCATGATCCAAATGTTCGGATGGTTGCATCCTCAAGCAGATCTTCGGCAGGTCGAAAGTTTTCCGCTGATTCCTAGATGCTCCAGAAGGCTGAATATACACCATCAAGCGATCAAACATGATGCTCACAGTGCAAGAATTCAAAATGGCTATTAGAAGAAACGCCGGATCAATAGGTGTCATAAGAAAAAGTTGGCCATCTACACAGACAATACCATGAGACTCTACCAATGACGAATGAGGTCTGCACTGACCATCCACAATCTGACCCTCAGGCATGAACCACGATCGAGCATTCGGAGGGGATATTGTCTGGACTTCTAAGATAGACGGCTTCGATCTATGCTGACAATCGTGTATCACAAACAGAGCAGGGATTCCTGCAGAGTCATACACTTTAGTGCTGCAGATAGAACAGAGGGCAACTTAGATACACCTGTACGTGGATGGGGAAGGCGTAAGAAATGTGGATCATTTTCCACAGTTTCATCTACCTTCTCATTGACGCGATCGGTCACTGTGTGGAGGATATCTGCGTACAGCTAGTAAGCTCAGAGAACGAATCAAATTGAAGACGTGGCGCAAGCAGCACCATTGATACTACACCATCCTCGGATCACATACCGTCGGGCAGGACGATGACTCGACTCGACATCTCGCAGCTAGCACGTTTTTGACCTCGAGTCAGTGTGCAGGGCGATGCTCACAATTCCGGAATATCGAGATGGGAGTGAGATCTTGAGAGCTAAAGCAACGTCGCGTCTGTGGCTTACGACCGCGTTCTGTGGTTCTGTTTGGCACGATCGAGATCCCGGACCGATTTGATGCGGCGGCTCTTTGTGGGCGAGAGCACTTGGAGAGCACATCCGAGTCCAACTCTGATCTGACGTTGAATAATTCTACTAGTAACCTTATACCCAAACTGTCTTCAAGGAGCTTGTATTGAACTTATCTACAATTCCCAAATTCAACCTTGAATGCCCACCTGACACTGGTCTCAAGCCTTTCCGCTCAACGCCGTAAGGTGCTTTCAGCCCCAAATCTGTATTCATAGAATCCATCATTACTCTCTCTGACTTCGAAGACTTTATGCAGAACCTTAACCACAGGAGTCCGCCTTTGTGACTCACACGACTGGAAGGTTGAAAAGCCTATCTGGATTACGGTCAGTTGCAACTGACTTTATGGTGCTCATCCTAGATAAACATGTCGAACTGTCTCCATTTGATTGCGGTTCATGGCGGAGCCGGGTTTCACCATCTATCCACTGAGAAAGACGTCAAGAGATCCCTCAAGTTGTGTGTGACATTATTATATCATGGTACTATTCAAGTGAAGCCCGAGAACTTAATCTAGAGCATGCAGAAACGGATTGTCTTTGCTACAAGGAGGAAGACCGGTCATAGATGCAGTGCAGCAAGCCATAATGCTCCTGGAGGATGCAGAATGCCTCAACGCAGGTAATGGAAGCCTTGTGCATCTTGCTGCATCAATTTCATCAAATGTTAGGCTACGGGTCCAATCTTACACAGGACGGCGAAGTGGAATGCGATGCTTCAATCATAACCGGCAATGACACTGCCTTTGGTAGTGTTGGAGCTGTGTCAGGTCTGTCATCAACTTCCTCTTGCAAGTCTGGTGGCTATCTCAAGACCCACTGTTCAGGAATTCAGAATCCCATCAGGCTCGCACGGGCTATTCTTGATTATTCTCTCAAGCCGGATCCTCTCGGTCGCATTCCACCTATGTCCGCGCACTATTTTCTCGAACTTATCATGACGGCTGACTTCTGTATTATTGTAGGATGCTTGTTTCGAGTGGTGCTTTATCTTTCGCTAGATCTCAGAATTTGGATCCCGTATCTCCTCATCAACTAATTTCTCCTCGAGCCAGAAAGGAGTGGGAGAGATGGTCATTAGAGTTGACCAATGCCAAGATGGAAATGCCCCATGATACCACTGGGATCGACGCAGCCAACACATACAGTCCTGAACATCGCACGGAAAGAATTTCCATACACGCTCTGCAAGATACAGTCGGGGCCATTGCATGGAGTACCGGAGGTGCACCCTGCGCCGGTGTGTCCAGGTATCACCTTTAGTTGATGTAACACGGGGATGAATCATCAACTCAGTAACATATTCCTAGTGGTGGTCTGTTGCTGAAATCTTCCGGTCGTGTCGGCGAGGTTGTTTTAACTCGCTCGTTTGGGATAGTTTTAAATTGATACGCCCTCAGGCAGCCATATATGGAGCAGGTTGTTGGGCCCAGCGGTACAACAGCAAGCCAATCTGTAGCATGGCGTGCAGTGTATCTGGTTGTAATCAATGCTCTTGTTGGTGCGTTGACCTCGCTCATTCATTCCATAGGAGCGGGAGAATATATTATCCAAGCTGCTCTTGCGAGAAGTTTGAGTGATGCCCTTGGGTCGTCGAGCGAGGGTGATACTCATGAAATTATCCAACAAGTGCTGGATCAATACGTTCACGGTGCGCTTCATCGTCTAGCGTACTGACACTCTCCTGATTGAATAGTAGATCGCAGGCCTGACGTTAATACAATCCCTGACATTGGTATGCTCGTCTTTACCGAAGAAGAAAGTTTAGACGGATATGCTACACGTAAGTTACTTCCGATTATCAAAAGTTTGGTCACCTTGAAACCCGTCATCAAAATCTGAAACACTGACCCAATCACTCATAGCCCGTTTATGGTGTGCGTTCACTACGGAGAGCATGGCTGTGGCCTACGCATCTTCTATTGACTCCAAACCCAAGGTCAAGCTTCTACACGAGGTGACGTATGCACTGACCGAACCGTAATGTCTATCCTTCACCTCAGGCACTCGTTTTACGACGTCCGCATCAAGATCGGAGGGATAATGCATCCGTCTATATAACCGCTCTCCCCTTAACAAGGGTAGCAGTAGGATGTCCTGAAGTAGATAAATGCAGAGGGTGACGGAACGTGCAGCATGACAATAAATAACCCATGTTCCAGAGCCCGATACAGTAGCACTTGCTAGTTGCCTTGGATCAGCGAGTCACGCCGTTCAACAGATAATTGCAACCTGGCGTTATACCCTCTGTGGCACTGGAACGACCGTTTTCGCATATGAAATGTCCCTCCAATCAAGGGGTACATCTGTCCGACTTGACGTTGATCCGACGACGTTGTCAACGGAAAATCCAACAGTACGATACAAATGCGACCCCATTACAGGTGCGGATGTGGCGCTGGGATAGCGTTATCGCGCTATGCCCTGAATTGAGCCGCTACCGTTAGTGTGAGTACTGATTGAGTTCGATGATGGGAGCGCCCGCGCAGTCGGTGAAGCCGTTCTTGCGGGTGCCGATGCTATGGGTTTTATTGCCTTTAGTCGCTGCAAAGTCTTGATGGGAAACTTAGTGCTAGACAGTCACGCGTCAGCGTCTGGACACAATGCTGAAAATTTGCGCGGTTCTCCGTAAAGCACCAGCCGTTCAAACAAGGCCAGGGCGCGATCTGCTGCATCCTGACCGAGATGACCGAAACGACTGGAGAGAGCGCGAAGGAGACGCCAAGGATAACCCACCGACACGTAGAGCATACAGGGACCGGCTGACAGAAGACTGACCCCGTCCTTGAAATCAGTATTCCGAAGCCTGCCGGACTTTGGACCGTAACTCACTTGACAAGCATACTGAACAAACAAAACCTATATCTACAATGTTCTTGTGACAGAAACATGCAGCTCTGAAATCAATTCGGTCTTGCGTGGGTACTGAAAGTAATTGCCGAATGCCCGGCGGTGGTAGAAAGGACATCTAGGCCAGTGATGTCAGCATTCGACTAACCTGCATCTTTTGAAAACTTACGGTCAGATATTGCAAAAGAGCATCCGGACGGTCCAAATGAACATAGGACCCTCCTGTAAGATGCGCAGCTTGCTGTAGAAAGACACTTTCAGATCCATAGACTTTGCAAACGTCTATGGTCACTTTCTATATATGTGTACGTAAAAAACTGTTTCTTCAATCATGACATTGAAGCGCACCAGTTTTTGCGCTGAGAAAATTGAATTCATGACCGGTATGTAGGAGGAGGATTGGTCTGGGGAGACGGACAATATAAGTATCCGTGGATCAGGAGAAGCTTGCGCCTCGCTGGCCCGTGTGGAGTTTGACACAGTAAGACGGTTGATATCTACATCATTACACTGTGAAGCAGTGACGAGCACGTATCAAGTCCGCACTTACAGCATAATGATTTTGTGAGAGCGCCAACAAGTCCAACTGGCTCCATCACTACAGTCGGGTCAGATAAGAGGAACTTATGTGAGAGATAAATATAACCTGCTGCACCAGATTCCTCTGTGGTATTCGTATACTCCATAATGGAATCTATGACCGTTGTATCGAGGACGTGAAAAGGAAGATAGGTGTTCGCATCAGCTGTAATCTCAGACTCCCCAGACCGACTGTTTGTAGCCGGATACAGCAACTCGCTTTCAGTGTAAAAAAGCGTAAACTAGAACAATTACAATGATAAGACAAGCGAGGAGAGACCGACCTGCGTCCAGGAACGGCCCCGTATACGGCAAGGGAATTCTCATCTTTGCACGCAATATGCGAGTTCAGAAATACGAGGACCTGTGACAGAAATGAAGAGAGGGATATCGAATTAGACGTATCGGTCTTGGATTGTGAGGCAATGTGCCAGTGCGTTGGAGATAGGTCAAGAATGACGCTAAGGTGGGAAGCCCTATCCATCTCGAGCGAAGAGGTTCAGTCGAACAGCTACAGTCGCTAATCCTACCACTGGAAATTGAGAGAGAATGAACAGTCGTCTCTGTTGAAGAGTTCCGAAGTAAACCCTGAGTGGCTTGAACGATGAGCACGCCGATGTCGCCGTCGAGCTGCATCGACTCGAGCTCGGATCCACTCACCCGCCACACAAGTCAGGAATTCCCACGAATTTCAGAATTAAGAATTTCGCACAGCGCTTGTCCCATCAGGTAGACAAACTTCTAGATCTACCAACACTACATTTTAAGTATATAGGACCTTCAGATACAGTATGATCTCGAGCTCTGTAAACACAGCGCCCAGCCTTTGAGCAATTTTCGGTGTTTATAGAACAAGGGAGATATCTACTCAGATATGACGAAGCAGAGAGACCATATCTGGGACATGGAAAAACATTGTACTACTTCATATATAGGGGTAAAATAGCAGTAAAGACTACATTTATCGTCTCATTGAGGCATATGATACGTTGGTACTCTCCACCCATTCTCATACTTGGGCAGCGGTACAACAACTATACCGTTTGCTCTAGAGTCAGTTGGCATACCCATCCATCTCCAACAAGGGGCACAGATTACGAAGGGGCTTTCCCCCAATCTGATATCCCCGTGGATCGCATACACCGCGGGAACCTTGGAACATGCACGACAAAGATCGAGGAGCGGGGGTGTCAGCTGAGTCGTTAATGGATATCGCGTCCTTGGAGGATCTGTATCGTGTTGCAGCCTAGAAATAGCGCTTCAGTGAAAGATGCAGCATAAATTGACAGATACATACCGAATCTGATCAACCACAAAGTAATGTTCGCAGTTGCCTGCGTGAAGAAACCAATATGGTTTGTGCAAGTGGACTGATAGGGATGCAAAGGTCGTCTCGTGTATAGACGTACCACGTTTCAGTTGCTGGTGGTCATCTCCATCGTTCTGCATCGTACACAACTTGAGTATTCCCCTGTAGAAAAAAAGGGATAATTAAAATCGACTGCAGCCTGGCAATACATTGAACAAACTCAGAATAATCTTGAACATCTTTGATACCTCCATACAACAGCCCATCAATGCAAACCACGCAGTCCGAGCTGCAAGCAGAAATATTTACTCCATACTCGGGGTCCTCGATGGATTCGTCCGCGATCTCCTTCGGGATCTCGGTGGAAGGGCACGGAATTACTGCTATAAGATCGCTAAGCGTCTGTGAAGACAGTAAAACGTGCTGTGACGAGCGAAACAGCTGGCGATGGCCCCATGAGAGTTTATTGTAAATCGTGATGAAGATCAGAGCCTCGCGGCTTTCCTGCATGCCGTTAGCCATGCTGAACTCCTTCTGCTCGCATCTATCAGTCACAGCATGACCTTACATACAGTAAAAGTCAACAAACCGCATGGATCAAGGTATTCCGATCGGAATGTTTTGGGGGTCGTATAAACGATGCAGAATGTAGCGTTAAGCTGAAAAGAAGATCTCAGTCAGCTATACAATGCAATGATAACCATCGATGAACTTACGGCCAACTCTTGAGTCTGATGCTGTCCATGCTGAGCGCCAGAGCTGTAACATCTGCATGCTCAATGCTAGGCTCGGAAACCGTAAGTTTCCGCCTCTTCCTGCGGCTTGATGATTCGGCAGTCTCATAGATAGAATGTACATTCGCCTGATGAGTCTTCGTGACATGGGTCATCAGCCTGGGATGAGTGAGAACATCGTGTAAAGTGTTCTGCAGATCGAGCACGCTATCTTGGAGATTATTCGTCAGTGACATAACGCTGGCCAACCACAACGCGCTATGCGTATAATAGCATGCTGGATATAAATTAACTACATGGAAGAAATTACAGTCCTCAAAGAATACATGAACGTGTTGTCGGACACAAAAGGAGACCTGATTCAGCATCCATTTTCACGACACGAGGTGCTTGATTCTCCGCAAGACCACGCGCACACATGCGCCAAAGAATCGGAGACAAGAGGCACACGATTGCGTACCTGCATTCTGTACTAATAGCATCCTCTTCGGCGAATAATCTCTCGTCCAAACCGTCCCTAGAAACGCCCTCCATTGCGTTTGATAAGGCGTGTGTAACGGGCAAGCTTGTCTGCCAATGTGACCCAAGCTCGGTTAAAGAGTCGAGAAAGGTGGACACGTTGATGCTCTCGGACACAGGGCCCAAGTGGGACTCATGTGCCTGACCTTGACCAAGATTCATGCAGCTAGAAGGTGAAAAGGGTGGCAGACAAAGCCGTAAGGATCGTACTGCTGTGGTTTAGTTTCAGATTAGGAGAAACACCAGAGTTGAACGTGCATATGTTGCAGACGTGGACTTTGATGTGTACAGAAAGGGGTTCAGATTCCCAGTGATCGACGACGACGGCAAACTCCGTCAGTGGGCCACGGGCCACGGCGCACTGGCACCACCAGTCGTTCTGCAGACTGCCACTACTTACGGTCCCGGTCGTCAACAAATGTTCTCCTTGTTGAGGCAATGGATATAACCCACCAATCTCTTGCATTGATGCCGTCACAACTTTCGCACTTTCTAGTTTCAAGAAGTTTAGCACTAGTTAATTCACCGTGATTTCCACTACGGCAATTTCAAGCTGTGAGCTGGCAACTGTGACCTTGTTGCTATGCGCTTGATAATCAAACATCCAAGTTCCCGCTTGAACATCAGGTACACCTTAATCGCCGGACACTGTCATTTCTTTATCGCAATTTTTGCTGGTCATTCAATATTCACATTCCAGCTTGTGGGGTTCTCTAATGCCGTCTGTAGATTCAAAATTCACGACTCATGCGATTGTCTTGAGACTCACATGCATCACAGCTTGTTTCACTCCAAGTCATGACGTGTGCTACGTTCGTAACCATTCTGGTACTATGATTCACATTTCGCTTGGCTGGTATTAGATATGTGAAGTTGTGATTGATTGACGCGCGTTGACGGAACACAGTCAGCGCAGGCTGAAGAACAGCGTCGTTCGCAACGGTCGATGTGTGAGCAACGGGTTTTCCGCAGTATGATAGGAACGAATCCGTCCGGATGACATAGACGCTAAGGCAGTGCGAGACGACTTTGCTGAAAGCGACAGTCGACGAGTGGAAGATCTACATGCAGTCCATCATTGTTACTGTGACTGGTACGCAATCTCTCCTGGCAGCCGCGCCTTGAAGGACACAGCATCACAAATCGATTCACAATTTTGGCTGTCATAACAAGCCTGGGTACGAGCCATCAAAGCGGGTTAGACTGGTTACCTTGCGAACATTGCTTGTATCGGCACTTACCGTTAGTAGCTGGTCACTCCTCAATTCTGCTGGCGCTGACGCATTACTGCCAGGACTTGGCGCTGCTTTAGCGGCCTTGATCGTTCCCAGACAAATGATGCGAACCCTCAACATAAATCGCTCAGTAATTCCGAATCCTCCGTACACAGCGGATGTGGCTGCTCGGAGCCCCGTAACTTGCACACGGCATCAATCTCGCCGTTCTAGTAGAAAGGCTAGATAAACCCCTCTCCGACTCGAGATCACGCGATGACCCTCGTGTTGCTGCGGTGGAAAATGAGATAGCTCCGTTCCACCAGAACAGAACTTCATTCTTCCGGTATGTTGTAAACAGTCATGAAGTGAGCGGTGATTATGCAGATGCGACTGTTTTGCATCTTATCGCTTTGTCAGAATTACTGGCATGCTCCAGTCTGATCCTTGAAGCTCAAGTTCTCAACTGTGCCCTCCAGCGCTTTTACACGGGGACTATTGCCGGAACGTGGACGCTCCTCAGATTTTAGGTGTGAGTCATTCTGATTCTTCGATCGTCTGAAAGTGACTACAGGATTTTTTTTTTGTCGCCAAGAATGACTCTACATTAGCGAGATGAAAGGTCGACGCAAGAGAAGACAAGTACGGGCGCTACCCTGTGGATGCCCGGCCTATTAGTGTGTAATTCTCACTGGACCAGGGTGAGTCTCTTTTGAAAAGACACTAAGATTGGCCAAGTCACGCTCAACAGTATATTGACCACTGTTGCTAACATGCCTGCTCCGTCAAACATGTTCGCGCAGCTGTTTGTCAGCATGGACGTCAAACAGTGACTGGTGACCTCGTGGCGGCTGGCTTCTTCAGCCGCCTGTCGAAGGTGAATCGCATGCTTCTATCAGCTGTCAAGCTCTTAAAGCACATTCATATTGCTCCCAGGTATGCATCAAGGGACTCAGGCTCGCGTTGAATTCCACATCGGACGCTATCTCACAAGCCCGCAATGTTTTACGATATCAGGAAACGAGCGCTGTACTGTCTAACCTGGCTTCAAACTTGGTTATCGTCGAAAGTTTGCCAGAAGAACCCGCGCTGGTTGACATGTCTTCTCTCTGTTCACACGTTGCTGAACGACCTCGGGTCTGGCCGGCCATCAATATCGCGTACTGAACTTGCGACACGGTTGGACCAGGTGGGACCTCATGGGTGCGTGTGTACCTGCAGGTCCTGTCCGCAGAAAGGACCAGCTCTCTGAGTAGCTCCGCACGGACATGCATGTCACTGAACTGTTCAATCATAAGATGATCCAGTGTCATGTATTATGTCTGCCTTCGTCGTCACGTAATCATGACATGCCATGTGCGTCGTGCATGGGCGCAGAAGTCACCAGTTTCTTCCCAGGATCGGACCGCAGAACGGATTCTGATCTGGGAATATGATGAGAACACATGCCCGGACCATGTGTAATTCGACACTCGCAGGAATGATCGACCTCGAACAGCGGACGACCGTCAAGGCCTGAGGACTACCTGTATCATCAGTCTGTAGGGCATACTGAGGTCGAAGATGGGTCTGGGAGGTTGGGTACGCATGATTATGCCACAATTCGATAGGTCACTGAGCCACGAGCAACAGACAACGATCAGTGACGGGAGCACTGGAACATGCAGACCGAAGGAAAACAATAAAATGGCGACCTCTCCCATCCGAGGCGTCATGTATCCGATACGTGATTAATGTGATTCAAAGCTGGCAAGGTAAGTTACCAGACGCGTCAGAGTGTAGTACAAGACTGATTTCTGCTCGGACCGCCGCACCGTGCAGATTTCTCGTCTTATGGCAGCAACGACCGGCCGGCCGACGCTGTCTGCAACGTTTTGGGGTTACAGATAATGTGCCGCACCGAGTGAATGAGGCTGGGTACGTGGACTACAGCAAGCAGATATTCCGAGGGAAAACACCAATATTTGAATTGCAAGAACGGAGTCTACTTCGGCGCTACCGGCCTCGAGCTCGCTGTCAGGCGGCCAGGCGCGACTTATTGGATTTCATGGGAACGGCCAATTTGTCATACGGAGGTCATCTGTCAAGGCGAACACTCTGGATTGTCTTTCGTGTCGAATTTGCATCTCACTTCCAGTCTGAACTCTCGAGCAAACGAAATCACCCCGCTAAGCCATGATGATCGAGCACAGTGCCTTTCGCGGCCGCCATTCTTACCCGAAGTCCAACGGCTTTGTTCAGTAAGCGAGTGATAATCAAGTGAGTTCACGCAATAATGATCCCGCGAACCTTTAACATATCTACGGCCGCTGAGCTGGCAACTGTAATGCGAACTTCGTATTGGCAGCGCTTCAGGCTCGCATCAACCTGCTAAGTTCACTTAACCGGTTACCTCAATCACACTGACTGATGCGTGCAGCAATGCTGGTGTAGTGCTTTCATGTGCACACACCATGATGAGGACGAGGGCAGCCTCACATTTTGACGACTACAGGCTGTCATGTCGGAATTTCCTCGCATTCTGGATCAACGGGGATGTTCGTTTAGAGTAACCTCCCTCCCTCTCGGACAGTTGCTACCTCCTTCGAATTCGCACGAAGTCACTTGTTCGGTCACGATAAGAAGCTTTGAGAGAATCAGGGCCCGTCGGCGGTGTCTGCAGTTGATGTGGACATTCCCAGCGGGCAGTCCGGCTGTTTCCGCAGATCGGAGGGCAAGAGAATCCGCGTCTAATGGCATACATGGCATCTACCACCTCCCTGGGAGGTGGGACGTGTATGTACGTGATACCGCTACTCCGTATACCCAGGTATACAGACAATTATATTTTGAATGTGCGGTGTAGATGCGGCGTTCCCACTTCTAGAAGGAATGACAGTGACATGATGCATGCCGGCATGTGCTCTGTGCAATACGCAGCTCCGGGCTTTACTCTTCTTTGGCCCGCCGGACATGATCGAGTAGAACTCGTATCCATACACCGCGAGGGTAGCGCACGCAGAGCGTTCACCCACCGAGGTACCTTAGAGCTGGAACCCGCGACGGTCGAGTTATGAAGGGACCAATATATATGGGGAGCTTCTCTTTGACATTGGTGCCCATGTCATTGCCACTAACGCCCGCAGTAGACGCGGTGTCTATGTATAAACACGGCGGTAATTCCTGAGGAAAGCGCCTTCGTGGCGCTCGCAGTACTAGTAGTCTCGAAGTCTCCAAAGTGTCTCAAGAGTTCGCCGTCGGTCTGAGTGGCAACATTGAAGAATGCGTGATCGTAGAGAGGACGGTGTTGTATCCACCCACCTGGTGCAAATGGTTGTTCACGGCCATGTTCTTGGGCGCTGGCTAGATGCGAGCCATGGTGCACAATTCCTTCGATATCTTCGAAGAAATGCAGAGCGATTACGGCCATCAATTATCGGAATTCGGACTGAGGTAACGAGAACCCTGACCTATGATAAGGGGTTTCTGCAAGCCTCGTTCCCTGGTATTCAAGATTCACGTAATGTAATCCGGCTGCGTTCTCGTCCATGTCATACGCCAGCATACGTGGCGACAGGTGGCCCAGGATGTAATATTACTGATTGCACGGTGCATGCTGATGAATAAATCCATGGGAGCCTGATAGTATATTTGCGCATGTTCTAGCTCGTATCCCTCGTGTAGATGAGACGACCGAGTCGTCCAGAAATTCCACTCACGACGTTTATGGTGATGGGACACCCATGTGCAGCAAAGCCCGTCACGCCATGTGTCGCGGCGGGCTTTGAAGCTGATCAGTGAGGCGCTACCTAGCAGGGATGCCTCGCAGCATGGCCATTGAGATAAGTACGAAGGTCGAGGGATCTAGTGTGTAGCCCACTCAGCTTGTATGACGAGAGTGACGTGTGGAGATAGTTCATTCGTGACGGGCTTCCCAGGCTGGAGATAGCTGGAGCGGGGAATGTGCCCCAAATACCTCTCCGGGCGGGCCGGAGGAATGCGACTGCGGCGAGGAGAGCCATCACGTCATGTGGTGAGCTGCGAGGCGGGGCCGTCGCTGTCCCAGTCGCCATGGCAGGCGTGTGTGTGCACAGAATATAAGATGGAGAATATTTCGAGTTCGCATTTGGGCTGCGAGTGGCGGCCATCGGGGCCGGTCGGAGTGATAGAGTCTGGCATCAGAAGGGCCTCCCTGACGATTAGCGTGTGAAGGCGGGCTTGATTTGTTCTAATGAGGCGTGATGCGGCCTTCTGAGGAAACACAATGCTGTCCACAGCCTGCACTCGCCCGGGGCATTACGTCCTCCCATTCTCCCACCGCACCCTCTCCCCTCTCCCCCGCCGCCATCTCCTCGTGGCAGACAGAAATAGCAGGGAAAATGCCGGCCTTTGTTCCCGCATTTTTTTTTTGCTCATTTTATTATGCAGAATATCATTTTTTCCTTTTCGTGGCCCGTATTTTATGTTGCGTGCTCAGATCACCATCGGGATTGGCCCCGATACGCCATGATCCGCCAACAACAATCAACCCACACCCCGTCGTGCTTTCTCCCGTGAACATATTTCTCTCCCTCCATTTTAAAGCATGGACCATTCCCTCCCTCCCCACGACAGCCTCTCCCAACCTTTCGTCATGGCCGACAGCCTTCAGTAGTGCGTCTCTCGTCCTCCATCTCCTCATCGTCTGACCTGTCCTTCCGCAGCCCCTCCGCAAGCCACTACATTCCGCCAGCGTATTTCAACCAGAATCACACCCCCGGCCACATGCACGTCGTCGCGCCTCCTCCGCGGCCAGACCCCGCAGCCCAGAGGAAACGTCCAAAGTATACTCGCAGCAAGACCGGTTGTCTGACGTGTCGAGCAAAAAAGATCAAGGTGCGCAAAATCTCCTGCGCGCCGCAATTTGCGTCTCACTATCGTCTCTCCAGTGTGACGAGTCCAAGCCAAATTGCCTGCGCTGCGCACATGGTCAACGCGAGGTAAGTCATCTCCCTTCTCGTTGCCAGCTCCGTGCCGAGCCTCGCCGAATTAGTGCACATGGCCTGAAGGCGTCCCTGCTCGCAAAAAGCCTGCGCCTAGGAGAGAATCTACGCTCGATACCAACTTCGATGCTCGTCCTTCGACGGCTGGGTCGTCTGGTGTCTCCGAGGCGTCTACGCCGCCCACGCGTGATCATACCCCTCCCAAGCGTGAGCCGATCGACCTCGGGATACCCCCTCTCGTTACCCGTCGTCACAGGTGAGCTTGGTGTTCTCTGGCCAGTGCTTGATATATAACGATCCCGCAGCGAGCCTGTGCTGCACTTGCCTAATATGGGTGACGATCCCAGCATGGCTCGTCGACAAAGGTGATTTTGCCGACATCCCAGTGTTATCTCCATCTGATGAGTTTCTGCAGTTTGATGTCTTCTCATTCAGCGCACGCATACCCACTGCATACCACGTCTCATACCCAAGTTTTACCTGCAATTCCAGAAGTTTCGCCATCATACCCTACTCATCACCAGCATCATCATCACCAGTCATATTCTTCTGCGTCTCACCATTATGCTCAGATGCCGTCGCTTGCTCTTCCGCGTATGGCCTCGCAGTATGACCACATGCATTCAACAATGCGCTCGGTCGATGCATCGTCAAGTTCGGGGCATTGGACTGGTTCCTTGATGCATGCCGTCGACCCGCTTGAGCCGTTTGTAAGCGCGTCGTCCGCTTATGGTGCCCTTTTTACTTACGGATGCGCTGGACTGTAGTTCACTTCGGTTCAGGAGAGAAACCTGGTGGGGCATTCTTCGCCTAATGTTCACGACGTTAGATATCAATGAATCTATTTGTTTCTTTTTTATCCAAAGATACGTCATTACTGCGACAACGCATTAAGCATTATAATGGCCCTTCCGTTTGAGAACCCAGTTCTGGCTGCCAACCTTCACTTCGTGCTCGGTCGTACCAGAGGTTCTGATGCTGCCGTTGAATCCTTGCGCATGGCTTTGCTGGGTACGGCTGCAGTTCACCAATCGTTCCTGTTATCTCGCAATGGGCAGTCCTCGGGCGAAGGTGGTGCGGATGACTTGATGCAACTCGCTCATTCATTCCGTTCGAAGTCCAAACAATTGTTGGTCACGGCGTGTTCGACTCCAGAGGGTGCAGGTAGTGATGCAACACTCGGAGCTGCAGTCGCTATCGTCCTTATTGACGTGAGTGCACTTGCTTAGCGAGATGAGTGTTTGTGAGCTCAACGATGAATGCCAGATATTTTCTGGCGGCCAGAATTGGTCCAAGACGTTGAACATGGCCAAGTCGTTAGTGAATATGCGTGGTGGTCCGGCGGTTTTACTGGCACGCAGTCCTGATACGAAGCCTAATACTGTTACGGGTGTCAGTCGTGCTAGGCTGTTGTTGGAAATTGTTGCGGTCTATGAACTTTTCGGTGATCGCTGAATTTGTCCACATTCAGCATGCACCCTGACTAATGTACGAATTCCTAGGGTGCCTTGTGACCTGCCAACAGCTCACATTATTATCTCCAAATGCAAATAGCTGGTGGTATGTTCCTTGGGTAAACTCTAACTCAGTTGTTCAATGTACATTCTCAGGCTTGATCAAGCAAAGTCTGAAGACTCGCATTCGTATGTAGAGAGAGTTTTCGGCATGTCTCGGCGATTTATTCCTCTCCTTGCGCGTGTAAGTGCATAGTTGCAGTTATAGTCGTTGAGACTCCTGATTTCTATCGGTATCGGTGTACAGGTCATAGGTTTTGTGGCACGCCACCTGAGCGGCCAAGCCAGAATCAATGAACTATCTACGGATGATTCTTTACTTGAGTTAGACGATGCAGCTGAGGCACGCCAGTTGTACACCACCGTACAGAATTGGACACCATGCTCAGAGAATGTTCCTGATCGAGTGCGCGCAGGAGATCGCATATATCAGAATGTAGCTCAGGTGCGTGACCTATCTTGTTTTTCCTGTATAATCGTGCTCATCAATTCGGTAGATCCTCTTATTGCGCGACGTGCTCGAAGTACCGGCAGATGATATGCTTGTTCAGCAACATGCTGATGTTGTGCTCACGCTGTGTTCTGAGTGCGGACAGGGTAAGATGGGTGTTGAGTAAGTGAACGTTGACTGCACTTGGCGGTCAGAGCTAATCGTTTTCAGTTTGAATTGGCCCACTATCATTGCCGGCTCGCAAGCGTTTGGACCAGACCGTGCGCGTGTCCTGGACATCTTCGATATCTTTAGGTGAGTCGGCCAATGTTCGATAAGATTTGGATCTCACCGGTCCGGCTCCCATAGGGCCCAATGTACGTGACTGATTGTAAGCTACCCCATTTTGAGGGGCTGAGCTTGAAATTACCAGGTTGTTATGAAATTGAGACGGCGGAACACATTGTGCTTCAGGTGAGGCTTTTGGGGCTCTACATCATCGAAAAAATTGATACATGAGGTGGTGTCAGGTTTGGAAACGAATCGACGAAGATATGCCAGGCGCCGACTGGCGGTCAGTGATGCGTGACCTCGATCTCAATGTCCTTATACTCTAGAGTTACGCTTCGGGTTTGGGACTCGATGCTAGCAAGTTATCTTCTCTCATGTTGGTCTTGACGCGGATGAATCCTGCAGTGTATGTATATTTAATATTGTATTTACTGATAATATTTTTTGCTCGCCTCTCACCTGACATACCGTCTGCTCCGATGGCTTAGTTCTGGCGTAACTAGCCTGCAGAGATATGATTAGTCTTTCAGAGAGGCTGTGCAAGGAACCGAAAGCTCTAGGATGTGTCTTAGGACCACTGGTCGTAGTGAAGGGACGATCATCATCCATCCGCACAACATATAGCAATTTGATTGCACGGTTGACAGATGGACTCCGCTCTCATGGGGACGAGTGATCACATAGAGCTCACATTGAGTCCTGACACATCCGTTGGACACCTGTTCACGACCACACTAAATCTGGAAACCGTGCCATAGTATTTGTCCGCACAAGTCCACCGATGGGAGGTACATCGTCAGGAACGTGGTGATTCTGTCCAGTTATACTGCATCCGGCAATAAAATATTGAATGATAGACAATGCAGTGGCAGGATTGAATATGCGCATGGGAATGATGAGGAGATCCTTACTTCGACGTATTGGCTCCGCTGTGGATAGCAGCTCGTAAAATTCACCTGAACGGCGACCCTGCATGCAAATAGTCATACACCATTGGCCTCAACAGGCGGTTACGCATTCAAACGCGGTGAAGTAACCTTCTTGAACTCAATCAATCAGTAAATTTTTTCTGCTAAACCATAGAAAGAATGACGGCATCAATAAACTAGAGGCACTAGCAGAGTTTTAAAAAGGAAATTATAGGATATGGAAGCATGCCCTTGAATACAATTCAGCAGAACAACTGCCTGAGGAAAGTTTGATCGTTGCACTTATGTTTCGATAGATGACTGACTGCTATTGCGTGAACACTTCATACGTACGCAATAGCTCATATCTGGAAACACCTACTTGAGAAATCAACTCACCAGGACGAGATGAGAAGACCTGATGACGAGACCTTGCTCCACATCACTGTATTGGGGTACGGACATCAAGGTACAATTATAATCCCACCTAAGACAATATTTGTTTAGCAAAAAAACCAGGGTATGCATCATCCAATCGTGTACTCAAGAGAACATCGGTGGATATGCCATCAGGGTAGGTTGGTTACTGATATATGACACAATGATACTTATGCGACAATTGGAATGTGAAAACCTGAATCGGTAGGCGTCCATGTCGCTAACTCGGTCATGTCATGGAAGGGATGAATTCACAGCCTCTTGTTTGACTCAAGGATAATGATGGAGCAGCGTGAAGTGGTTAAGTGGATGAGCGGATCGCTCACGGAGCGACCGTATGAAGGTAAGACCCATCCAATCACTGACACATAGTCCGCCTGGTCGCATCCTGAATAGCATAAGCATGCGTAGTTTAAACCCTTGGAGTAGGTCGACGTGGTTGATTGTACTGGGACCTACAAGTCTGTCGTGAGGGTAAGCCCGCAGATTGATATGGTGCTGAATGGCGAGATAGCTAATTATCGCCAGCGCCGATACCACTTATGATGCAGATCAGTGACACAGAAAATGGGCGCGAACCAGTAGCGCCAGGGAAGGGACCGCAGGAAGATGCGAATATTCCGCCCCGGATGGAACATGGATTAATCGTCACCCCGTGCAGTCCTGCGGCATCCCGTCTATAGAACACAAATGAGTGCGGCTGCAGCAAACACTGGCTCGTGCGGTATGAAATGGTGAGCGCAGCCTAGTGCTACGGCCACAGAATGGAAACGGTCGAGCCATCTCGACTTTGCGAATGCTTGTAAAGCGCGCTCTGGAACCCCACGCTGTCAGCTTTATGCTTGAAATATCAACAGGGCGCAATCGCATGACCGTAGACAGCTCTTCGCAGGCCCATGAGTCAGCTGCTTGTCGGATAGTATCTAGAAGACGGCGTGAGCAACGCCTCAGACTGCACAAATAGCCCGGGAGATATGGCTGAACCGATGTCTGCATAGCCTGCAATATTCAATGCGCTTTTAGGATGGTAGCAATTCGTTGGGCGGCCCAGCATGGTACCGGCGGCACATCCTGTGAGGAAGCTGTGTTGACTTGAATTAGGCGGCCGATGGTGACTCCTACTCTGTTTTGTTTTGTTTACCGTGTGGCTGATGAACCGGTTGGCGTGATCAGCCTACAGCTGACTCTTCTCTGACTCCTCCGCCGCCCCTTATAACGCCTTGTCCAAGAAAGTTACACCGGATTTCCTCTAAAGTGCTCAAGAAAACCAGTCGTCTCTACTGTTCACTGTTTTTTTCTGCTCGAGTTTCTGCTCTTCCAAGCGCGGAACTCGACAAATAAGTGGATAGTCCGAAGTCACTGACTTCGGCCATCCGCTAGAAACCCACGAACGTCGCAATGTGCTCTCTCGTCGCAATCCGATTCTTCAAGCCGTCCCTCACTGATCTCTCCAGTCTCAAGCTCTCTTCTGCTCTCCAGTTTTTGTCTATCTTTATCAACCAGTCAACTTCCTCCACTTATGCTGCTTTGATTTGATTGTCTTATACTCTCAGTCTGTTTTGATTTGGAACCTCCACTCAGTCCACTATGCCCTATCTTCCTGCCGAAATGCATGCAGTCTCGCATTCCATATCTCATCGCGGCCCAAGCGCGACGCGCGCTAGGGCCCGCTGGCAACCCTACGCTTCTACAATCACGTTACCATCCAATATCTCTCCGTCTCGTACTCCGATCGCCTATCTCAATACTCCAGCTTCCTCTGTTAGCTCCTCACCGTCCACTGTTTACCTCGGTTCCGCATGCGATACCGAACGCCTCAAAACACTACCGTATCCTCAACCTTCCCGAATTCAAACGTCGCGTGATCCACAGAGAGCCCGATATGTTACTGGCCTCGTCGGTTAGTGATTTCCCCGATTTCTGGATGTACCATAGAGATGGGTAGATATTGCAACGCATGCAACGTTGGAGGATGGAAGTAAGCGAATCGTGCGACCTGATCAAGTTTTTGTGCTGCATCTACCCCTTATTCTTCTAATTATGCTAATGCTGGTGATCTCTCCAGATCAGGCCGTCCGTTCGTTGTGCGACATCTGGCATCCCGACGATATACCACCCCCTTTCAGTCTCCCGTCATGCACTCCCTCCAATAATGCCGATGCCGCGTCAATTTGCTTCAGTGGCTCATCCCTTTGCATTGGACGAAATTTCCAACTTCCATCTCCACCGGCGTCCCCTTCGACTCAATCGTCCCCAGTGACATTCATTGCTAGCTCTTGTGAGACGGTTGCTTCACAAGTGACCAGTTGCACGAGTGTGAACCGACATTTGCTCCCAATCAAAGGTTTCGTGCATGAAGTTTTGCGGCGCTCACGCACTTCAACTGGCGTACTTCAGACGGCTTTGTGTTACCTTGAAGCCGTTCGTAGCAAAGTGCCGGAGCTCATTCGACAAGAGAAGGCGGGGAGCATCGAGGTTGACGGCGCGGGCGATCCGTTCGTTAACGAGTTGTGCGGACAAGAAGTCGCTGATGCGTTACTATCCGAGGACTACCCGATCGCCACCAGATGCGAGACTGAGGATGATATATTGAATACTGTTCGCATATCCGACGATGAACCTAACAGCTGTACCCTGACATTCGTGCCTGGGGCGCAATCGTCACCGAAGTTTGCATCACGTTCCCCTCTGCCTCCTTTACCGCCGCTCCCTTCTCCTTTGCTATGTCCCCGTCGCACTTTCCTCGCCTGTCTCATCCTCGCATCAAAATTCATGCAAGATCGTTCTTACTCGAATCGCGCCTGGGCCAAGCTCGCTGGATTGCCTCCCCGCGAGATTGGTCGTTGTGAACGTGCTCTAGGCGACGCGTTGGAGTGGAGATTGTGGGTTGGGAAGAATCTTCCTACCAATTGCAGTCATGATGGGAGGAGTGTCGTACGGAGTCGAAGTGATGGTCATTTGCTTCCAGGGATGGGTGCACCGCCGAATATTGTCTCATGCGAAAGCACAAGTACTCTGTCAGTTCCTCGTTGTGGCCAGCTGGCCCAGCATGCGATTGATGTCTCTGTGCCGTGGATGATGCAAGCGACGAAGACTCCATCTACTAAACCCATTCGACGTGCCGCTACGGTGCCTAATTTCGGTGGTGGTGCTTCAAGAGCAGCTCTTGGTTCGGTGTCGCTTCTTTCTGAGTCGTACACAGTGTCCTCTGAAATGGAAGAGCCCGGGGTTCTGTCAGAAGGTTCTCTGTTACCCATGGAACCTGGATGTCTCGGTGAGGAAGCTTCCGACATTATTCCGCCTACACCTGCCCTTTCCTACTCTCCCATGTCAACGTCGTCAACTTCATCAGACGGTGTCGACGACGCGGCGATTCGGGCCATATCTCTCTTGGATTATCCGATTATAATGCCATCTGGGACTGCTACCTTGCAAGATACATGGAATACTGTTGATACGCCTGATGTGAATGTCGATACCGACACAAATTGCTTGGAACCGAAGACCGCGCAATTCTATGACTTCGCCTCTGTTGGACCCAGGTTGGCACCTTTCAACCCAGTGTTGGCTGGTGCGACGTCATTTCATCTTCCTCCCTTGTCGTATGCTCTACTTAATGGCCCGTAGTCTCTTTTGTAACGTTATTCTTTGCCTCCTGTCCTCTTAGTCAGTTTGAAAGAGAGGAGAGTGGGGCACCTACATAGAATTGGATCGGGCCTCCGTTTTTCATTTTTTGCTCTACGGTGCATGTAAATATCTCACATTCTCTTTCCAGTCTTGCGCAGCTCTCTCGTGAGGTGTCGCTGTACTCTGTATACCTGTATATGGACATTTCTTGTGATCAAACATGTGCAATACGCGAAGTGGCATGATGGACAGTCCTTAAGATTTTGGTGCGTGCTTCATTGCCTGATGCTGTTGAACTTAAGTTTTGTCTGTGAGTTATCCATCAGATTGGTCCATCGTCAGTGACCCTATGTTGCACCTCCCATCGTTCAGATGTGTACATGCGCGAAATGTCTCAGCTCGCTCATAATGGTCTTGCATTTCATATGTTGGAACTGTCTCGGGTTATGATATGAAATGCTGTAGTGCTCCTAAATGGTTTATTCCAAATCTCAACGACGAGCCGGAGAAGCGCTGACTTGACACGCAGTCATTCATTGGCATGGCCCTATTCGCAACATGGTACAATCTCATTATAAAGGCAAGCTGAATGGCTAGCTTATGCCTGCCTCATGCTTAGGCTTGCTTTATCGAGTGTGGTTTGCTTCAGCGGACTTCTTGATATGGTAGGGTAATGTCGCGAATCGTTCGACACATTTTTCTCCTGTCGTTTGCTCACCGCAGATGCCATAACTCCGTCACAGAGGGACAATAGACAATACATGCTTACTGCAAGAGTGTCAGTCGTCTATGTGCTTACCACTTGTTTTAGTTGTTGCAGTGCCTCGGTACGTTTGTTGTGTAGGGAAGTTGCCTCCGCTGGACGCGGGACAATGCACCGCTCCTACCACGATGCAATTGCGGTAGTGCACTGTCAACCATATGATGCCTCGTCGAATGGTGTCGCATCCGGTGGGCCTACCGGAATTCGCATTAGTACCCCGATTCGACCAGATGCGCTTGATTCGCATCTTTTACAGCATATTCTAGGTCGTTTCACTTTAGTCAGACTAGCATTTACAGCGTAGGAATCCATGTACAATCAATGTACAGGTGCGGTCCCACAAGGGGCATATAGTTAGATCTTTGATGGTGGCTATAGAGGTCAAGTAGGTCGCATCGACGGCATGTTCAGTAATGGACTGAGTTTATCCTCCTAGTTTGCTCAGGTCTCCCTTTGCTGTGGCATGCGTGTACGCGATGCCTTCTGACAATGGGTTTATTTCAAGTTATCGTGGGTGAGTGAGATATTGCGCGGGGTTATTGTGGGAGTGGGTTGAGCGCCACCACGGCGATGCACTGCATGCTTATGGTGCTTCCTCGTATGCAAAGATGGTGGCACCGATCACACGCCGTCAGGATGAAACCACAAGGGGCACTGCGAGAACACCTAGTTCTCACCCAGATACAAGCACCAGGGCTAAACCATAGTGTAGCAATGACATGCTGGTTGGGATCGTTATAAAACGAGGCTGGTCCTCACTGAGGCCATAGAACCTTCGTGAGCCCAACTTTCCTCTCCATGATATTCACTGCTGGTTTCCTCGTTCTTGCTCTCTGGGGACTGTTTGGGGTGGCGACGGACGTTTCTCATAACTCACAAAAGGTTACACTGACGCCCCGTAAAGTGCCCAAAGGACATGTAGCTGGGTTGCGAAAGAGAGGGCTTTCGTCGTTCAGTGTCCCACTTATAGACCAGTTTAATGGCACCGACCTACAGTGAGTAATTCTTGCTATATTCAAGAGTGATGCCTGTCTCACGTGTTGTAATTAAGATGGTACGGAAACATTACAGGTGAGAACCATGACCATTTCGGCACTCGCATAGTATTTATGTGTGCGGGAATCTTGGCAGTCGGAACCCCTCCACAGATTCTTCCAGTGGTATTTGATACCGGCAGTTACACTCTGGAGGTTGAAAGTACGTATTCTAGCTTCTATCTTGACTATGCCAGGTTTAACGTTACATCCTCCTATCAGGCACCACCTGTGGAGAGCCCTGCGCGAACCAGGTCACCTTCAATGCGTCGGCGAGTTCAACGTATATCGGCCTCAACCAGACTGTCACAGGCGCATTCTCGACAGGCGGCGGCGTTGGCCCGTTGCTTTATGACACTGAGTTCATGCAGACATGGCATGCGGGCCAAGACACTGTCGGCGTTGCGGGTATATCTGTGCCCAATGTGCAGTTCTATACTATCGTCAATCAAACAGCTGCGTTTGCCAGTGATCCGTATAGTGGTATTCTAGGTGAGACTGAAGTCACCAGTGTTAAGCAACACGCTTGAACGTGGGTCCATTAGGGATGTCAGCAAAAGCCCAGGGGCTGTTCCAGGGATTGATCGAACAGGGACTTCCTGGTAGGCAGTAGCCATCATGCTGTGTACATCGAGAGCCTTTTTAACAAAATTTCAGCCATATTCGGGATGTACATTACCCCCAAATCGATCGGAAATGCAGAGATTACGCTTGGCGGCGTCGACGAATCGAAAATTCACAGTGAGTATCTCTTTCACACCCGTCGGCAATTGAATCTGGCTCACAGTCGACTCTTCTCCACACTAGGTGAAGTTACCTGGTCTGACTTGCCGCCCAACTCTGAAGGAAATTGGCAGCTTAACTCCTCTCAAATCTCTGTGAATGGGAAGACCACCACATTCTTGGTGACTGAGCGTACCATCATTTTTGACAGCGGAACGAGCAACATGTACTTTGATCCTAACACGACCGAGGTAAATACGGGCTACATACTTGACTATGACGGGCGGCGTCGTTGACGATCATTGCAGGCAGTCTATGCTCTGATCTCGCCCGATATTCAGCCCTATGCCCCGGAACTAGGAGCTTATGGGATCGCATGCGACAAAATCGACTCGCTCCCCGCTGTCCTTGACCTTACATTCACCTCCATCACCGGCCAGCCCTTCAACCTGACCATTCCCAGTAGCGAGCTTAACGTGGGGCCGTTCCCTAACGATCCGTTAACGTGTCAGACAATGATTAATTCGCTCGAGGGTTTATGGCTTGTTGGGGGGAGCATGCTCAAGCATTACTATAGTATATGGGATCTGACAAGTCAGAGGATGGGATTCGCATCCAATGGTGAGACCTCAAGAAGTCCAGACTGCCTACCAGAGATGCTCACAGACATGTCTTTCACAGGCGTGCCCGAATCGGCCGGAGGTGGTGTTTTGTTATGCAATGCTGGTGTTGCAGCCACCTGATATGGCGTAGAAGGGTCTACAGGGAATTTGAAAACTTCCTACTTTCTAGATTGCTGTCTTCGAATTATACGGTCATGGATTATGCATTGTGTGTGACCGGATGTTTGATAGATGCTTCAGTTCAAGCCTCTACATGAAGAGACTACGACAACCCGATTGACTGACCGTGACGACGGCTTGATTCACTCAAGCTTGGACTCAAATCACGGATTTGTGCGTGCATCAATAATACTCGGTCATTGAGCTACTCAAGATAGAGAGTGCATTGTGTATTAGAACGAGGTGATGATAAAGTAATGAACGAATATGGCAAGGTCTGAGCCTCGTCCAAGCCACACGTTCACGAGTGTTTGCCATTGTATCCCTCTGTGGGCGCACAGGCCTTCCTGGCCCAACGGTCTCTAGCTGTGGCTGATGTCTGTTCTCTTCGACCGGTGCTCTGCGTCCAACTTCAATGTGCATATTGATATCCCAGATTCTTGTCCATACCTCTCCCGTGTAAAATCTGCGACATGCCTCTTAGTTCTCTCAGTCTCAGCGACACTCGCTCAGTCACATCTAGTTCTTCCACATCTAGCTCCTCCCCGCCCTTCAGCCCTTCACGTGGAACATTCCCTTCCACACCAACAAAAATACACCACGCAGGTGGTGTCGGCGTCGACCCGACTCAGCTCATCGGGAAAGTACTCAAAGGTGTTCGACGCTCCCCTACTCACCCAAATGTTACCCTCTATTTCACCGACAACACCGCGTTCCAGATATTAGTCGACGGCTACGATCCCAGACATCGTGGCGTGCCTAAAACGATCGAGATGGACTCCGGTCTGGAGCCCATATTCAACCACACAAAGGACCTACGGGAAGTACATCTCACTGTGTCCAACGCGGCGCGAGTCACTCTTGCGGATAAAGCGTTTGACAAGGGGGGTCGGGGGAGCAAGTGGGATCAGACGCATCGTGGTATCGCACTCAAGTTCAAAGAGGACAACCAGTGGCACTGTGTTTGGGCTACGCTTGCAGAATATGACGATGTCGAGCGGATGAATTGCACCTTCAGAAGCTACCACGACGTCTATCTCGACGTCCTGGATCAGCCAGCCACGAGCCGCAAACGTAGATCACGGAAGAGAGGCCAGGGATATTCTATTCCCAAAGTAATTTAAATAATCTACAGGTATGCTTGCGTACGCTATGAATCATACTGCAGGTTGTCTGATATGGAGTTTAGTGACGCCCGGGGCGTGCTTGCCTGTATTTGTACGAGTCTCTTGTAGCGTTGGGACATTCGATTTCGCAGCATCTACACACCACTGCACTACTGCACTCAAGTGCTGTAATTTTATATACATTGATGTACTCGTCTCGAGGATGCCTCTGCACTTTGCATAATGTTATCAGACATCATTTTGTGTAGCTGATTGGCATGGAGGGAATGAATTCGGCACAAATGACTAGCCTGACGTGTGTGCGGTGACTTGCTTACTGATGAGCTGGGACAACCTTCTGTCAACTAAAGCGGACTGAAGCCGTTGGCCGTAAATCATGACATCGGCTCGCTTCGCAGCGACAGTCAGCAACGTAACTGTTCATAGAAACGTTCTTCATTGATGCTCTCATTGTCCTGGGCAGGGCAACTTCGCTACAATCCGGAGTGAAAGTAGTCGATCAGGCCCAGTTCAAGTCAAGGTGAAAAATCGCCCAGACGCACCGGATGGTTAATTTCCACGACACTGACATTAAAACCACCGCTCGGTAACATGTTATTTGCGGTCCCGAAGACAGCCAAATGGACGTTTGAGACTCCGCCGTCTGTTAGGACAGGTGGTAGAGCCAACCTTTGGCCACATCGAAAGCAGGCCCACAGCGAAAAGACGATCAGGCCTTAACGCTGACCCAGAGCCGAAAAGCGGGAGACGAGAAGAATCGGGATGTAGAGTGGCAACGACAGCCTACACGAACTATACCGAACATGTTCCCGAAAAAAAGATGTTTACAGATTGTAGCCTTGGTCAACCAGACAAAGCTGTGCATAAATGAAGGCGCTTTAGGGATAAAGCAGTCTTGGCAGGAGAGACTAGACCGATTTTTGGCTGGAGCACCGCCGCTGGTGACATCGGGACACAGGTCCTGCCAGATCGACAGCAAGAGCGGAATCGTTGAGAAGAAGGATGGCGTGTTTGTTAAGCAACCCAGACAGCGTCGGAGGGCGAGCGATGACTTCTGCGAGACATGCGGAATCAGTCTAGGAGGTTTCCGGACGAAGATGTCTAACGCCAGCATACAAACATAACGAGGTACATCTGCGACACACCAGCCGATGGACAAGCGGCAACTAGGACAGGCGGACTAGTCAGTGGTTTACGAGACTGCGCAGGGAGAAGTCAGAGTTTGAAGAATACAGGGCGCCACCAGAGTCCCGGAACAACATGCTCAGAAACTGAGGTCGGGAAGTTGCGATATTTTGCGCCTAGCACATCAAGCCCATTAGTAAAGTTACCACAAGGCTGATATGACCACACTAGCTAACGGCGGTTTTATATTGTCCAAGACAGCGCCATGATGGCAGATTCGGAGTATCTAAGGGATAGTTGAACTGCATCAATGAGATCCGAGGGGAGGAATCGGCTATACGTATTAATGCCAGAGGATGCCGTGTATCGGACGGGAAGTAAAATGGTCGAATCGAAGACCGGTGCACTGAATAATGAAAATGGAGAGCCTATATGAAATGCGTACTCGCCTGCTGCGCAGTATTCATTATTGTGATGACAGTACCAGTGATATGTTCGCACTCATGCTAAGCATGCAGAGATGCCGAGAGAAGTTATTCAAAGATGCTAGGCTGAGCGGTTCGACTTGACATAGATTAGAAACGCTCAGGAAGTGTTTCAGGGACCGTCGAAGATGATCAGAGCGATGTTCCTCGGCGGAGGAAAGGAAGGGGCAAATCTAGGTAGTTGCGTCCCAATCATTCAGAAGTTGGCACTGTACTTCCGAGCCAGCTAAGATGCTAGCCCTTGATGGTGAAATCGTGACTGGGGGTTCTCAACATACGTAAGAACGGGAGCGCAGCGAAGGCCAGGATGAAAATTTAACAGAGAACTTACTTGCGGTCAGGATCGTGGGGGAATCAAGGGACAGTCTAATGCGTCCTTTAGATCAAAACTTGGGCTGAACACAAAGGTTGCACCAGCGATCTGCCCACGTTAATATTCAATCTCAATTATACGCTTGGTGGGTATTCACAAGCCATGGACGATGGCATCCGAGGTCTGATATGTGAGAGTTCATTGAATTCATCGAGGGTTAGCGCCACGCACTCCAAGCTGCAACCGCAATGCATCAGCTGTTGATTGTGTTGGAGTCAAGTGCGATGCTGCAGACGACACAGACGGGCATAACGGCGTTGAGAGCAGCTTCGGGGATTCGAAGGGCAGAAGCAGGACGGACTCGGAAGCGAAGCGATTGGCCTGAGATTGGGTGAAGCCTGGAAAGTGGTGCAGCTCGAGTTCTCACGGTATCCATGTCTTCACCCATTCAGCGTTCGCCGCTGCGTGTCTCACTCTCGTCCCTCACCCCGAACAACTTGGGTATGGTACCCCTACACCCTGCTTTCGCATTGCTAACAACTCCCAGGGACTGTGCGCAAACTCAACTCGGTTCTCTTTCCCATCAAATATAGCGAAAAGTTTTATCAAGACATCCTGCTCCCAGAGGCGGAGGATTTCTGTAAACTGAGTGCGTGTGTTTCTTGTAGTCTTTTGCTCGTGTTTTAATCCGTATATGCGATCAGTATACTACAATGACATTCCTGTTGGTACCATATGTTGCAGGGTAGAGACGGAGAATGGGAAGACGAGACTGTATATCATGACAATGGGGATACTTGCTGTGAGCAGGCCCTTCCGCCTCTTATATGCATCGATGCTAATGCGCCAAGACGGCATAAGCCATACCGCTCAAGAGGATTGGGCTCACAGAGCCTAGAACAGGTCATTGCGTCCGCGGCTTCTCATTTGAAACCCAAGATTGGCTCAATATCACTGCATGTGCAAGTGTCGAATCCTGCCGGGAAGGCATTCTACGAACGTCATGCATTCAAGGAAGTGGGGATTCACCAGGGCTACTATAAAAAGATCGTTCCCCAAGACGCATGGATCCTTGAGAGACAGATTGTCGAACCATAGGGTGTTGTTTGACATCATGTTAACGTTGATAAAAGCCAGGCAAGTTTGACTCTGCGCTTTACCACAGATAAATAATCGATTAAGCTAGTCTTCTAAAGGCTATCCGGATACTACATTACAAGGTTGTACAATTCACATATTAGTCCATGGTAGAATGGCCAGTGATACACAAATTGCCCGTCCTGACGGTGGAAAATAAGAGATTATTAAACATAATATCTGCTTTGTGGTGAGTGCAAAGCTCAACAAATGACACTTTGATGACTTACAAGTCGATGGTGATGTAGTGTGCAATACTAAGCTTCATCCTCGAGTCCGCAACGTTTGACAAGCTAGCAAGATTCGTGAGTAATACAGGAACTCAACAGCTGTGTGGCTTACTTGGTGCCGCTTCAACGCGTCTTTCCTCGTAAATGTCTTGCCACATCCACCGTTGCAAACAAAGGGTTTGTCGCCTGTGTGCGTGTCCCTGTGCCTCTTCAGGTCATGTTGTCGGTTAAACGACAACGCGCACATGTCGCAAGAGAATGGTCGCTGAGGGGACGCCGGATATTGCAAACCGTTCCCTTGCTGACCGTATCCAGACGGCGTTGGATACTGAGCGGCAGGGAGAGCTGCCATAGCTGATCCGTGCTGAGGCGGAGACGACGAAGTCGTATATGGGTGAGACGCCGAAAGGGTGCGAGAGTGTGAGTGTGAATGATGGTGCATACTGGCAGATATCCCCTGCCCGTGACTGGTATTATACGCGGACTGCTGCATTGGCGCTGTCGAAGTGCGATCGGTTCGGGATGGATACGCATATTGCATAGGCTGGTCCGGCGATGGATACGCAGCCTGATCTGCTATTGCGTAAGAATGGCCCACGGTTGGGCTATAAGAAGAGACTCCTTGATTTATACCGCCGGTCGACCTCATCGAAGAGTGCGATGGATATGAGGGAGACGGATAGTGACTAGGGGGGGCGGCATAAGCAGCTGGATACTGACCACCATCGTTCCAGTGCGAAGAAGTATACGAATTCGAGGCGGGCAGATACTGGTGAGTGCGCCTGTCTGCCATAATTGCAGCCGGTTAGGGGAACGTTGGTGGGATGATGTGGGGGACTCACCCTCATATATATGCGACTTGCGCTAGACAATGAAGAGCGCGCTACTTCAGGCACAATCTCACTGCCACTGGGCTAGCAACTATGACGGATGCTAAGAAATCCACCAGCCGCTCCAATGCTAAACAACGGGAACAAATCAAGTATGGTCGCGAGTGCTTGATCTGTCACGAAATTGTGACTGGATTGATGGGCCGCCCAGTCAGCGTGGGCTTAAAGGAGCTAGGCATTTCATGCAACTCCTTTATCTTGTCATATGGGGAGGTGCAGAAGCAGCGGGTATCGAGCTTTCAGGCCAAACATCCTCAGGCTAGCTAAAACGGTCACCGACAGGTCCGATCATACCTCTGCCACCGGACGAAAAATCAGGAACGTGCATACCAACAATAATGATCCGGCGTGGCGGGCGCCCAGCGAGCTTGGGATCCAGGTCCGCTGAACATTGATGTCTATGTGTTAGCTGTAAGCTTTTTCGATCGAGGCTTGCCGTGGTCACTCTAAGAAGATCTAGTGCTGCAGAGAACGAGCCCATACCACGTTATCGAAACCTGACCTAATATTACAACCGAGTGTCGGGCCCCTCTGCAGTTAGGCAGCTGCCGGGATGGAGGTTGCGGGGATCCGAGTAAGCTGTGTTGCCATGCAAGGACTCGTTCATCTCCGCGCTGGTTCGGCTGACCAAGATAGCAGAGCCAGACGTACAGAATTGGTTAAGGCGTTGAATTCAAACCCTGTTGCAGCCACTTGAAACCTGAAGCTTTGACATCATCAGCGTGACATGCTCAAGTGCATGGTTGGCGTCAAAACTACGGCACCAAGGTGGACCTGCCTCGTTGTGCCGCAGCCACGGGGCCTTTGGCCGGCGTGGCGTTTGGCCCTTTGGCCTGACGATCGGTCCAGCGCCGTTTGAGACAATCCCGTTCGTATCTTAATAAAGGTATATTCGCTTACACCGTGGACCCTCAAGCCTCAGTTGTCGTCGTGCGCTACGAAGGCCTGACAATCTAGGACAAGTATGGGATCAATTGAAATGCGGCAACAAGCCAACGACAAGCCCCGGATCAAGACCACTTTTGAGACTGTCCTGACAGGGTATGTACTGGTATGTAGTAGTTCGTATTCAATATTAGCCAAGCTGATTGATTGAAGCCAAGAAAATGCACGTAGGGTCCGCTTAGTGCGACTACCGACGCTCGATGTCTGCACGGAATTGCGCCCAATCCCACGTTGATCGTAGCAACGACGGTTAGACAGACTGGCGCCGTCGTCGTAGACCCAACTAAGATCATATTGCGTGTAAATGCCAGTCTCTTATCGGATTGTTACATATAACGCCCAGCTGTTCGGCCGCCCCAACGACCGGTCTGAGTCAAGTTAGCTCCTCTGCATTACCTACAACTTTCCGGACTATGCCGTTATCTTTTCGACGAAGAGCATGCACTTATTTCGTCCTTGGAACAAAATTCTGTCGATCCAGGAAGATGCCGTAATTAATTGTTGACGCGGTCCACTTGGCCCGCAAGCTGGTTGCCGGTCCCAACGCCCGAGCCAATGCCTGGATGAATGAGGTAACATCTAACTTACCGCCCAAATTTGCGTGAATGAACATAATTTGCATAGCATATTTAAGAATAGGTAATGTACATATATGGCTATTTTCTCCGACCCGGTTGGCCCTCGGCCTCAAGCTCGGCTTCCAACTTTGAACCGAGCTTCCTCTTCTCTCGGTGCATCGGTGGTCCCTAATATTCATGATAAGACGGGTCTAATTGCGGCTTGCCCTCGGGACGATTGTTTCGTTATTTTGAAACTGGTTGATGATCTTCGAACTGACAGAAACACTGTGGAACACTATGCCCAAACGCACTCTAGTTACAGTGGCGACATCACCTTCAAAGAAGGTGAAGGTAGCTGCGGACCAGCACAGTCTCGATAGGTATTTCGGTGGACAATCACCCACGAGTCGCGGGCGGACGGCCACCGGCGGAGCAAGAAAAAACGAGAACAAGCTTTCACCACAATCATCAGGTTCGGGCTTCGCTATTAGCGGACGTGAAGAATCAGTGCAAGATGGCCCTCTTACTGGCGGATACATGGGCTGCGACGAGTCATTAGCTTGGGCCGTCGCTAAAGGTGACGGTCTTGACCTGGAGGGGCTGAGAAAACTGGAAACAGCCGCAAAACTGCGATCGTCCTCTCGGTCTCGCGCCACCACGAAGGAACCTGTAGAGGTGATAGATGTGGACCTTTTGGATGAGTTCATTCAAACTCCAAAGGCTGGTCCTTCGAGACCGGCTGGATCCGCATCGCGTTCTTCGAATCCGCCTAGTCTTGCTGTGAGCACAGCCGCAATTCAATAGCCACTGCTGCGTAACAGCGCAGGGACCACCTATGACAACCCCATTTACCAAAGTGTCTCAGTAGACCCAGTGTTTTATGTGGTCTCTGATCTTTCGACCACTGGCAGCCCGATCCCTTATTCATTCCTTGCGCACACATTATCTTCACTCTCAGGGACCCGTTCTCGCATTACAATCATTAATATCTTGACAAATGCACTGCGAACTATCACAGGGCAACACCCACCTTCCCTCCTTCCGGCACTGTATTTACTTTCAAATTCTCTCTCTCCCCCATATTCGCCAATTGAGTTGGGACTAGGCCCATCTATCATCTCCAAGGCGGTACAACATGTATCCGGACTGACTTCTACTGCCCTCCGTCGCCTGTACAACTCCACGGGTGATCCGGGTAAATGCGTTGTTTGTATCCGATTCCGATGACTCATTGATTTCAGGAGACGTTGCATATGAAGCCAAATCAAATGTGCGCACACTAATACCCCACCCTCCCTTGCACGTGCCAGATGTTTACGATGCTTTACTTCAAATTGCACTGGCTCGTGGACAAGGTGCGGCCAACCAGAAGCAGAAAATAGTAGAGAAATTGCTTGTTGCGGCCAAGGGGGAAGAAATACGATTCCTTGTCCGTACACTGAGCCAAAATTTGCGCGTCGGCGCCGTTAGAACCTCTCTGCTTACAGCACTATCCCGTGCTATGGTATTGACACCGCCGGGGACAATCACAGTGCCCATTCCATCTGATTCCCGGTTTTTTGTTAGCCCAAAACATTTAGCACAGATTCAACCCGTCTCACAGCAGCCGAGCAAGAAAGTGTTGGATCCAGCTAGGGATGCACTCAATACCATATTCACCAACGCTGAAGCTCTCCTGAAGAGGGTTTACGTTCAGCACCCAAATTATGATGATATAACCAAGGCACTACTTGAGGGTGGATTGGATCACCTCGCAGAAAGCTCGCCACTCACTGTCGGTACGCGAAGCATTGTATATTCATATGATTATATTAGTACTGATGAATGTTTCACAGGGATCCCGTTATTACCTACCCTAGGATCACCCACCCGTTCTTTAGACGAGATATATGATAGACTGGGCCTGCTATCATTTTCTGCAGAATTCAAATACGACGGCCAACGAGCGCAGATCCATGCATCGCGAGATAACAGTCAACAACCTGCCGTTAAGGTATTTTCTCGTCACCTCGAAGATATGACAGACAAGGTTTGTTTTGTGACATTTTCCATGCAAATGTATTTTACTCCTGCATCTATCTTCAGTATCCAGATATCGTATCGCTTGTCACCGACATTTTTGCGATTTCGCCTCGAACGACTTCTTTCATTATTGATGCCGAGATTGTAGCCATAGATCCCGCTGACGGGAGTATCAAGTCCTTCCAAGAACTTTCAAATAGGGCGCGCAAGGATGTTAGATCGGAGGACATCAAGATAACTGTTTGTGTATTTGTTTTCGACCTCATGTATCTTGACGGGCAGGTGGGTAATTCTTCGACTGACAGGATCATACCGTTGAAGACTCAATCGTACGCGGGTCTTGTTTCAGGTGCTATTGGAGAAACCATTCAGGGAACGCCGAGCTCTGCTGCGGTCCCACTTCCCACCTTACACATCAAAACGGAAGGAAGTCGCACGACTAGACCATGTTCGGAGTTGTGAGAGTGAAGGTGGTAGAGAAGCCATTGAAGATTTCTGGAGGACAGCGCTGAGTAGTCAGTGCGAGGGTCTGATGATCAAGGCAAGTGATGTGGTATCGATAAATCATCTGCTCATCGTCGTCATACGGTGGAATAGCTCCTTGATAGTGGAGATGTATTGGAGGATGTAGACCAGAAGGGGAAATCCAGGCATAAACCCTTGCCAGCCACTTACGAGCCAGGTACGCAGTTGCTTGATCTATCGGTGCGTATTGCCATGGATGGGCATATTGTACGCAGACAGACGGACCTCCGCATGGCTCAAGCTCAAAAAGGACTATGTTATTGGTCTTGGAGACAGCCTCGACCTTGTGCCCATCGGAGCGTGGCATGGCAACGGCCGAAAAGCTCAATGGTGGAGTCCAATCCTGCTGGCCGTATGGGACCCAGTGGATGGGAAGCTTGTGGCAATGTGTAAATGCATGTCAGGCAAGCGGGTTGTCTTTTCCTGTGCTTTGTACGACTCAAGTGGGCAGCACGCAGGGTTTTCAGACTCTTTTTACAAGGTAAGACATTCATGCATAGATTGACAGTTGCCCTTATCGCGTCTCCCAGAGCCTGAAGGAACGTTATCCCGAGGACTCGGATACTTGTTCCCCCCAACCGCTCTGGGACCCGGTGTGCGAGACTGGAGGTAAACTCTCTTTGGTCGAACAAATCTCGAGCTAAATGGGCATGTCTAGGACTGAAACCCGAAGTTTACTTCAAGCCGCAGGAGGTCTGGGAAATTCGCGGCGCTGAGTGGGTTTTTTTACTCTAAATTATATCTACTTGATACCGATGATCTTACAGCGTCACCGTGAGCCCTGTTTCAATTGCGGCGCTAGGTCTTGTATCCCAGACACGGGGACTAAGTCTCCGATTCCCCCGCTTCATGAAGGTCAGAGAGGACAAGAAGATAGATGATGCAAGTACGCCAGACTTCCTGGCAAATATGTGGCGCACCCAGCAGAGTGCTGGTAAGGATCAGCGAGGCGCAGATGATGGTGAGCTTGTTGAAGTGGAAATATCTCAGGGCGAAGTATCGGAGAACGAAAGCGAAGAATGAGTCAGGGCGGCCACAATGTGGACATAATTCCAACTATCATGCATGAAAGCAGCTTCAGGCGCACAAGTGGTTACGTCCGATGTTGAAAATGCACGTTGGAAGATAATCACCGCTTTTATCCATCATGAGAAAGAAATGTGACATCGGTAGCCCGAAGTGGTGGCTAATGGTACTTCTGGTAAGACTTGGGTGCAGGGGTGATGACACAGCCTCTCACGGAATCCGAGAAGCCTGGCGCTCCGCTTGGCTTGGTAATTGAATTGGTATGGTGCAGGAAGTCTTGCTTAGGGCCATAAGTTCTGAAAGCCGCCCTGCTCTCATAGTTGCTGATAAACATCATATAAATTTTTCACGTAGTGCCGCTACGTTTTCTCACAAGTATTTTCTCAATGATACGATCACAATGAGTCCAATCTTGGAGATATTCATTGTGCTTATGAAACAATGGAAGGTGGCGTTTGTTCGACCTGCATATTCCCCTTGTCCGTATTTCTTATGGTACGTGGGATTCTTTCTCGTGAACGTCATCAGATCAACCGCATCTAAGTTTTGTACGATACATATGTGTTGTGCACAGGTTCTGTGCTGGGCTTTGGTACCCAATTCCCTCCTTTTGTTGATGCGGTTGCGTAAACGCTGCAATGGATGCCTGTGATCCATACCATCTATCCGTAATTGGGATATCATAACCTCGCTTCTCCAGATGGCGTTTCTTCTGCGCTGGAGCCGACGAGAGTAGACTAGCTGTATTGTGAAAGGCCTCACAGATGTTGAATTTGACCTATCTTCCTCCATTTATTACATGCTGGTGTTCGCGGAATACCTTCTGTAAGGGAGCGATATTGCTGCCGGTAGTTATGCGGGAGGCCCTGACAAGTCTTCCTTGCTCAGAGATTGACAAGTAGCGACGTGATCTATTTTAACGCGAATATGTCTGAAGTGTGTACGTATATTCCATGATCGTACGGGGTCAAGTCATCCTCAACGTCGGAACAACCGCGCTCCCATCGATGCGATGGGTAGATCAAGATGGAAGATGGAAGGAGTGATTTTTCCGACTCAATACTAGCGAACCTGAATCTTCTCAAGACACCATGTAAGAGTATGGCGATCGTTGTTATTGCCAGTGAGACAACTGGAGCGGATGTCGTCGCGAGAGAACTGTCTGGGGTAGAAAGTTTGACTGTCGTATGTAAGATGAACAGGCCGTGAAGGGGGAAGCGAAGATTCCCGTGGTATCAGCTCGACTTGAATCTCAGAAAGATGCGATGTGGTGAGCGTTTACACCTGCCTAATTTGGAAGCCTGTGTTGCGACTGGCTCTCTCAACAACAGCGAAGCCTGGACTCGGAGCTTGACGCAGTACGGCATCCGTGCTGAGATCGATACTGGCTCTAGTCGTTACTTGCAGCTCTCTCAACTTTCAAAGACACAGCGTTTTCCTACAACTCCCCATCCTTCTTAAAGAGTGACTCCCCAACAACACTAACCGCGCTGTAACGCTGCGCTCTTGAAACATGCGGATCTTGAGCCTTTGTTTAGGACTTGGACTTGCTGGGATCGGCGGTCTTGGCCACGAAACAGTAGAGGACGCAGGTGGCTGCTGCGCTAACTTTCGGAGACGCACTAATTGATCACTGTCTGCGATTGCAGCGGTCTTGGCCAGGCAACTTGTTGATCAGTCGCCCTCGAGTCTAGGCACTATGGCCACTGTCTACCCCTCAAACCACACAACACTGGCAGGTAACTTCATCGTTTTCTCAGAATGCGCTTGCGCTGGAATCAGGATCCTTATCATAGGTGAACCGTTCTCCTTGCAAGAATACTATGCTAGGTGCGCTCCAGTTCACTACGTGCGCATCTTGAAACCCATTGCAGCGCCACCCCTCTCCCAGCTGCCACGAGAATGGTTCCCTCACTTTGCTCTTCATGCCAATTTCTCGCCATAACCAAAACATATTGGCTTCACCTGGCCATTCGGCCTCGATTTCAGTCACAAGTGAGCACCCGGATGCCAGTCGAGCCCGAGTTGCGCTGCTGGGTAATGTCACCATATTTGAGAACCTTGAGACCGTCCCGGATGTAGATGTCATGCGATCATGCTACGTCGCTAAACACCCCGATGCTCGCCGCTGGGTTCCTGGACCCCGAGAGCCTCACGTTGTCAGTCGGCACTACCTGGCTTGTTCCCCTCGTGATATACTCTGACCAACGTCGATTTATTAGGCGTACTGGGCAAGATTTGACCCACACGTGAGTGCACAGGTAGCCAGATCAAGGCACTATCGCGTGAGCTGACCGACCAATTAGACTGTATACTATGTGGGAGGCTTTGGTAGCGAGCATTTCATTGGCTACATACCGCTCAATATATACCAGAAGAGCGGATTCTCCGACGCAGCCTCGGCAGGCACGAAGCAAATTCTCATGGGTTGACACTGCGGTTTAATCATAAGATATCTGTACATTAGCTACGATTCAGTGTATGCAACTATCAACTCCGGCTTTCGGAATGTAACCTGGTAATGAGTCAAAGGGGCTGTTTCCAATAGCGGTGAAACGCAGTCGTCATACATCATACGTACGCGGGCTCTGTGCTCCGTTCACCCTGCTGAAAACAGATTGAGGTAGGTCGGCACATGGCGACTGACATGCAGCAGCTTGCATATCAACCATCTTTTGACGCGTGTGAGAATGATTTGAGGCTGTGACGCATTGATAGGGAGAAGCAGCTAGACATCCCCCGTCCCACTGGTGTTGGGAATCCAGAACGTTGGACAGCACATCCATCAAAAATCGCCGCGCGCAGTCGCCCCCGAGTGCGTGGCCACGTTACTACCGAACACCGAACACCGAACAGATGCGGCTGCGGCATCAAGTCGATAACATGTTACCCAGCTGGTCCAAGTCCCGCGCCGTTAGGTCACCGTCCGTCTTCGCAGCGATTGATGCGCAACTGTATAGCGCTTCCGTCTGAACGCGCTCGTCCCATTCCACGTTCGGGTCCTCCTGCGCAATCTGCCTTCGAAGCATCCAGTACGTAAGTGCCAGCTCCACCTTGATTTGGGAAGCCAGTTCAGGCCTTGGGAGTCCTGGCGAACCCGAGTCCTTGATGAGAGAGAGGGCTTCAGATGGAGACATAACTGCGTATTTCCGCGTGATTGATACTGAATTCAGTTCTGTCGCAGGCTTCGGAATCGAAGAATCTTGGTTATAGAGACTAGATTGTCCACGGCGGACTGGACGAGGCTGTAGTCTTCCTTGGGATCTACTATCGGTTCCTGTAGAATCAAGGTTGCCTACGTGAGCTGTGATAAGACTCTTGTACAGAGCTAACTTGAATTGCAAGACAGCCCTGGAAGGTGGAAGTGCTGCGAGAAGTGCCGCGATGCCATCGGACGGAAGAGAAGAGATATGGTTGCTAACTGCATTCAGGATCATTGGCAAGTCGACCAGGGTCGTCGAGGTAAGGTTTATCAACTACAGCATGATGCATGAGCGGGAGCTGCCAAGAATCAGAAGACAGAAAACAGACCAATGCGAGCAGGCGTATGCCCAATGATCTCCGCTTTGCGTCCGTTTGTTGGAAAGCACACATAATGATCTCTAGGATGACTTCCACATCCCAGCGGCCTCCTGTGGTTGTACGGGGCGGGGGGATCTGGGTCAATAACAAGGGCGAATGGCGCGCTAGTGTATGGCTTGGGTGAGTAATGATAAGGGTGGTTCGCAGAATACATACGTTGCCCGCTCCGCTCAATTGCAACCTCATCTCTCTCCAACAAATCGATGATCCAGTCGAGAATTGGCCATGCGTATTGACTAATAGGATTGAGACTATGGTCTGCGTTGTCCTCTTGTGCCGGTGACGCTGTATCCTCGCGTGCCGCACGCTTTCGAGATCTACCCTTGCGCTTAGGGGAAGGAGGCTTTTCAACAATGCGTTGCACAAACGTTTCTTTCAGGATAGTCCAACAATCCTTTGCGTTCCTAATGCGGAGAGACTGCCGGGAAATTTCTGAGTCCTCGTCTTCTTCGCCCATGTCGACAGTAGTACAGGTAGCGGTATCCCCTGATGGTGCCGGATAATGCGGCAGAGCACAAAAGATAGCAGCTGGCGTGTTAGTCACAGAAAACGCAGTGAGGAGGTTCAGCGCGGCCTGAGTGTCCGACGGGGAGGGATATAACCGCTGCTCGGAAAGTAGGTTGCCCAAAGAGCCGGGTTCAAAGCGGACGTTGCCCAATCCGCGAGCTTCAGAATGAGACTGTGGGGGATACAGGGCTATGTATACAAGTTGACGGACGTGCGGTCTGTAGCCACAGGTGAATAGTTGAGATAGATTTCCGCCTAGACAAACGCTATGCGCACCCCCAAGGTCTGTATCGTGCAGACCGAAGCTGATCCAAAACCATGATGCCGGCCTCATATTGACCTTCCTCAAAGCAGTTATCAACTAATCCACGTTGATACGCGGGCATAACGCGCTCAACGTCAGGACGGTTGTTGTGAACCACGGCTAATCGTGGAGGCATTGTAATATGGCAAGGTGTGCAATTACAATGGGGCACCTTCTAGTGACACGAGACTAGAAAGTAATGGCGAGGAAGGATTATGGATGTGAATGAGTGAGAGGATATTCAGAGTTAGACACGCTCGAATTATGCTAGAGCCAAGACCGTCTTATAGTCACTCAGACGCGTGCGGTCACACCATACTCGACGCGATGCGACGAGGTTACAGAAAAAACCACAACAAATTACATGGTTCCGAGGACAGCCTGGTAAAATACACGTAGGACCACCCGATTGGGGGAATATAAATACGTAGACAATTCGAAAACAGAAACAGCGACCAGATGGTATGGGGTAGATCTTGAGAACACACGATACTATGAAAGCGACGGCGTCAAATGAGGAGAACGTAGTACACAAGCAATTCGTACATAGAAACAGCAAACGAAAAAGGGAAGGCACGATTACATACAGACAATCCGAATACACTTTACATCGACGAGGCCCGCCAGATCGAACGTGTAATGTCAGGTCAGGATTGGTGGGTCGAACCCTGATTGAGCTTCGTGTAGTCCTTGAAAACAATGGGAGGTGATCTCGGCCGTCTAATCCTCTGACCTCCACCCCTCTCGACATGAGTGTCCAAAGACCTGACGCCAAGCTCCTTGGATATATTTGCTTGCGGCCGTTCAGAGCAATATGTGCACTGACAATCAGGGTTCCCATTTTTCTTGTATGGACTGCCTTTCATTAGCCAAACTACGTGAAGCGCAAATTCTGCAGGCGAACGGAATTGGTGAACATGTTTAGAGCCTGAAAAGATGGTTAAATCGCAGAGGTGTCAGTAGGAGTCTAGCTTTACCATACAAATAAGCGTCTACGCGCAGATCGTAGGTCTTCCCAGTCTTGTGCACCCAAAGGACGTAGTGGCGAGGAAAATCATGCAGGGCAGCAGAGTCAGGATTGCCCGTGACTGATACAACCAAAATGAGATGATAAGCAGCTGCCATAAAAACATAGGACGTACATCGATCCCACTGTCGTTTTACATCAGGTCGAACTATCTGCTCAACAAGAATCTTCCCTAGCATCCTCTTCCAGTTGTTGACAGTTTCTTCATCTGCTTGCTCAAAAACATTGATCATTCCTTCCTCAATTGGTGGCTTCATTGGTGGTGGTCTTCGGCCAGGAACCCCGTCGGTCGCAGCGTCGTCGAGGAAGATACCGATTCCAGCGCCCCCTACATACTGGCGAGCCGAATAATATGGTGTATTGACGATGAGACGACTTGACATAAATTCCAGAAGGATGACACTGTCGTAGTTGCTAGGAAGAGGTGCGAGAAGGTGGATGACGACTCATCAATGAAAGCACCGCGATGACGTAAGCAGCTCTCGATTCAATGTAATTGTGAAGAAATCCGCAGTTTCAAGACAGTCACCAATGCTATACTACTGTCGTTGGAGGACTGGGTCCATTCGCGGTTATTGGTCTTCATACGAAGGCGCTCTCGTGTTTACATTCGGAAGTCCCCTGGCAAAAAAATGCAAGGGATGTGGTGCCGCCTGAGGGGGCCGGATAATGCAGTGCTGCCAGTGCCTAGGGCCGTGTCGGACGAGATATTCCTGAATGTGAGATTGAACCGGGTTCCAGTAGGGATTGAAATTGACGGCGAAGCAACGGACGGCCACGACCAATAGTATATGGGCTGTGCCAGACTGGGTCAATGTCCACTTGCTCGAGTGTTTTTCGGGTTCCTGTGCGGTGCAGCATTGCGCTGCAGGCGGATGGCGTTATCGGGGACACTTGGGGTCACTGGTCTTGGGTCTGGGACGCCCCCTCGGCAATAGCCGACCGACGCCGTCAACGGTCGTCGTAAAGTTGTAGCAGATTGTCATTGAAATACTTGCATCCTCCCAATTTGCGGAAGAGGGCTGAGCTGCGATCTCGCCCCTGTCCATGCTATCCATCAGGAGGTGGTCCACCTCACTTGCTCGGATTCGTTATACTCGGTTACACATTGCAGCGATGTCCAGCTTCTCCAGCCCAGTTGGTTCAGAGGGTCCGGTGGCGACGTCAATCAGGGGCAAGGTATGTGTTCAGAGATCACCGCAACAATCGGATGTGATTGAGTCCATCTTCGTGATTGTAGTTGATGTCTGCCCTGAGGCCAGCGGAGATGCAAATCACAAACGACTCGGGGCAGCACCGTCATCATGCCGCTATGAAGGCACAGGGCGGAGGCAATGGAGAAACTCGTAGGTCTTTCTATCCACCTTCTCAATTTTCCACACGTCGATTGCCCGAAGTTTACGACACCCTTAATCGCTTTGCAGATTTTACCATCCAAGTGGTCTCAGAAGAGTTCCGCGGCAAGGTAGGTCTTCTTTCTCAGCTGCCAGGTTGTGCATTCATTTTCGCCTCCAAGACAACGATGCAACGGCATCGCATGATCTATTCTGCTCTTGCGGAGGAATTTTCCCAGGGTTTACATGCATTATCCTTGAAGACCAAAACGCCTGAGGAATTCGAGAAGAGCAAGGCTGTATGACGTATCGTGTGCCTCTCGTGTTGCACATGTAACGTCTGTAGTTCGGGGCTTCGTATTGGTAGGTGTGTATGCGGAGTTCGTAACCGAATTGAGTACTAACGGTGTGTTGGCAGTTGTTGTAATAGTTCGTCACTACGGGTTTCAGGTGTTTCATGTCTTCTCCCAGCGGAACATCTGAGCATCTTCTCTTACCTACTGTCCACGTAGAGACTTGGTGCGTCTATTCGTTGTCCCACCTTGCGATCATGTGCGGCGTGAACTCATCCCCTCGCGTGCGCGTTTCGACCGTCGTAGTCGTGCGTGCCTATTACCAACCGTTCTACCTGATGCACGAACGTAGAGTATTTTCGCCAGTATGAGGAACCAGAAGACGACATCTGACGCGATGCCTGAATATTGCTCGGTTTCTCTTGATCGTCGATTGATGTCTTGGGAATCTAGGTACATTAACTTGCGGCGATCAACAAATGGCTAGGTAACGGTCCAGGTAAATTGCGAGACCAGCCATTGTGGCGAAGTCCCGCATCAAAGGGTAGCTGTTGATCAGATCTGGCTGCTTGTGTCGAGATGATTGTGCATAGCACAGCCCGGCGTTGTGTCCGTTCGATGCGCTACTCGATCTCGATAGAATGAACGGATAGACGCCAACACAGCATTGATGTCTTCCTGTCATCTATTGATAGCGTTAGCAGATGAGAAGTGGGTTTCTCCTGCCCGATGATTGACACGCTATGCGGGGAGCATAGCTGCTGGGCGGCTCAACGTCTCACTGCGCCCTCTACTGCCTACGAATGCGGAGTATGTGTCTTCTATAACTTTGACGTCTCTGCATGCTCACGACTGTCATCAGACTTGTTACCGACGGCCACACGCGTCTTGGAAACCGCGTCGCTGCTGTAGCTATGCGTTCACCTCAAGTTGGCCAACAAGTCCACGTTCCGGGATCGCCATCCTGATTCATGAGAGAAGAGGCCGAATCTTATCCGTAGTGCCGCATGCTGCTGCAAATCTCGGTGCCGTACACGGAGTATATATAACAGAGTGCGAGGAGCGCCTTCAGCATCTCCCCCCAACTCCTTTCCTCATATCCAGTTCACCATGTCGCCCCGTCAACCCCCTTCAACCGATCCTCGACGAGGTGAGCAGCGGCCTACGCTTCCGCCCATCCGACAGTTATTTGGATGTAAGTGATCACTTGCTCTTGTCCCGATCATTTAACAAGACCGCATATATGCAGCCGAACTGTCGCAAGGTGTCCCACCTCAGCAGTCACGTCAGCCGTCTGGTTCTCCTCAAATCCCTTTGCATCGTCTCGCCCTGGAGGACGATCGGCGATACAGGCCTCGTTCTCCCGACCCGCGAGGACATCTACCGTCTTCACAGGTCTATCCCGCGGGACACGGTGCCTCCCGATTGTCTAACACTCCTTATCCTGGCAGCACCCCCAGCGCCACCCAGCACCCGCCGGGTTATGGGGTGCATCATCTTTCTCAGCAGCATCCTCAGGCAGGGCACGTTCCTAGTTCACAGTACGCATCGCAAGCGCAAAGCGGTCACATCATGCCGAGCGGAAATTATCCTTATCCCGCATCCCAGCCTCACTACGCATCCGTGGCAGGCCCCTCAAGTTTAAGGCCTGGCGCCGAGATGACTGTTGAGCGGTCTTCTTCCTCGAGATACGAGTGCAGCTACTGCGGCAAAGGTTTTACCCGGCCCAGTAGCCTCAAGGTCAGCAGCTATCTCGTATTCGTAGAGTAATCGCTTGAAATGATTACAGATACACATCAATACTCACACTGGGGACAAACGTAAGTACGCCCGCTTACTCTTGATATCATTACATATTAACTTCGTTCTAGCGTACACATGCCCGTTCGAAGGGTGCGGCCGGAGCTTCAGTGTCCAGAGCAACATGCGCCGGCATGCTCGAGTCCATGAACGTGACAGCGGCTCCCAGCTTGACGCGGAAGATGAGAGCCAGGAAGACGGCGAAGATGGACACGAAGATGGTGACAAGCCTGGGAGAAGTACTTAGAGCCATCTGCAATGTTGACAACATAGGACACATCACGACAAAGTATCAAGTGTACCGATATCGCGCAGTTCATCTGCCCTTGTATCTCTATTTATTGGTGACCATTAACTTTATCGCATCGGACCACCCTGTCCTCTCATTTCGTCCATACTCGCATCCACATATTTATTCATTCTCGCATTTGCATCTCCACATTCATTAATTAGACGTTCCGATTACGCGCATAGAAGTCTAGAGTACTACCTGCTGTACAGTTGTGTATCGATGGACATTGTAAGCAATGCATGCGTTCGTCTGTTATCGACACGGATTGCTCTCAGTATTGTCAGAACTTTGACACTTCTGCTGCGTAACACCAATGAATTGGTAAAAGCGAGATGGAATGTAACCGTAGGTGTACAGACACGTACAGACTAAATCAACCCGGAAACCAATAAATTAGGCGGAATGTGTCAAACAAGTTAGGCATCACTGTCGGTATCCTCAGGTTTTTGCCCGCCATGGGTAAGCCAGTGGAGTTTTCTCAGCCTCCTGCGCTCCTCCTGCGCTTTCATCTGGTTTCGGGTCAGCTTCTTTTTCTTCTTCGCAGGGACTGAGCCGGCAGCTTTGTCTTCAGCCCCACTACCAGCTGGCGTTCCGGCGGTAGAGGCGACAGGGCTCTGCAATCGAGAACGCGCCGGCGTGTTGGTACCACTGCCTTTGGGCGACTTCACTGCGAACGCATCTTCCACGACAGCTATTTTACCCTTGTGTGTCATACGACCCAAATCGACGTTCCAGATCTCGGGACCTGCCATGATTGATTAGTCGGCTGGATGAGCTATAGTCAAGACGATGGCATACATAGTGCAGTGACGAACTCCTCATTGTGAGAAATGATAACCTGTCAGGCATCATCATTGAATAAACATTGGTATCAAATCAAGGGTGTGAAACATACAACTGCACCAGCCCAATCCCGAATTGCGACAGCAAGACCACCCAGTGCTTCCCGGTCCAAGAAATTGCTCGGTTCATCCAATACGCAAATCTATATGCGTTGAGGTCGTCAACTAGGTTTTGGTAGGATCTCGCCGGTGATCATACCTGAGGGTTATTCCATAGACATGCAGCAATGACTAGCTTGATTTTCTGGCCTTTATTCGACTTCGATGAGACGCAAAGATGTACTACATTGATTACACATACCTCCAGATAAACCAGAAATTTCATTGTACTGAGCTATATCTCCATCGAGCCCGATATCTTCCAAGTGCTTACGCACAATGTGTGCGGACGTGTCACGTTGACCAGCTCCTTCTCTGGAGGCCTCAAGATCATCGAACTGGTGAACCAACTTGGTAAACCCTTTCTCTATGAGCTCCTCTCTTGGGATCCACGTGTTGAACCTGTGATCCAGTCCTAGCGATCACTGTCATTTCAAGACTCGATTTTTCGATGACTGGTGAACTAACCGCGCCATTTGATTTCATATTGTAAAGACTTTTTCAATTTCTGACGACCCATTATCAACTGTAAGGGATAGAATCAATAATCGGTGCAGGACGTTCACTATTTCGGCAAATTACCTCGAGCTTTCGCCTCTGTCCGTTCTTTCCGACGAAATCGGTATCTAGGAGGGCCTTCTCCTCATCCGTGAGAGCACGTGTTGCTTTCTCCAAGACCTCCCCTACACGTTCAGGGCAGTTGGCAATACATCTGATCCGCACAAAGCTGACTTACGATCATGGCCATCCTGGAAGCGCCACTGGATATATTGAACGGGAGTCTTCTCCAAATGGTGTTCTGGACAATTGATCAGCGCTTTAGCTGACAAGTCAGGTTGTTGTGTAACCACTTACCAATATGGTGTGTGGCATGCTGTGACACATAACCAATACGGAGTGAGGGGTGCTTGTAGACCGTGCCTTCTTGCGGTTCAGTCTCACCCTGTACAACGGCTCAGTTGATTCATTACGCAGGAGGAGAGAGTTCACGGACTGTCAAGAGTTTCACAAGCGTTGACTTTCCAGCACCGTTAGGACCAATGATTCCAACCCGGCTGCTCCAGGGTTAGCTACTCGTACGTATGCATAAGGGCGTGTAACAATGCCGACTAACCTCGACAACGACAGCGCACAGCTGACGTTAAATAGACTGGGAGTTTTACGTCCAGGGTAGGTGAATGTGCAATTGGTCATTTTCAAAATGGCACGAGTATTGCTTCTAACCCCCATCAAGGACCCAGGAGGCGGGAAAGCGAACTTCACTGAGGTAGCAGCAAGTGTATAATACGATTTCGCTTCTGGGTGTTTTTCAACAAATGTAGATAGATTTCCACGATAGTAGACCAGCTACGAAGTAATAAATCAAAAATCGGAAAGAAGGTCTTGCATTCCTGGACTGACCTTCTTCATTTCGTAGTGAATGATATCAGTTGTGACTGTATCAAGGAAACTGTGGGAAGACGTCTCAACTGCTAGGCAAAAATAGCTGTGTGCTGCCAGACGTACCCAGAGTCATGACTGATGATGAGACATGTGACTTTTTTCTGAGCCATGAGGTATTGCTCAAGCCACTGAACAGAAGCGCGATCCAACTATGATCTGTGAATCAGCTTGTCTATCACAATATCGCCAAACGTTTGACTCACGTGGTTAGTGGGCTGCGCAGATTCAGACATCAGTGACTCAAACATGGCGACAAACAAAGACCTTATTCTCACCTCGTCGAGCAACAGAAGGTCAGCATTGTACAGCATAGCCCTCGCAAGTTCGAGTTTCATCTTCCAGCCGCCGGACAACCCGCCCACAATCTCCGATTGCCTGGCATCATCAAAACCAACTTCAAGTAACTGGTCTCTAATCCTGGATCGCGGAATGCCAGAGAGTGCCTTGTCTGCACAGACATGCCCAATTAGATGCATCATGCAACGACGTGCAGAAACGGTGAAAATACCTGATGCGACGAAATCAATTACCGAAAGCGTCGTATCCTCTCCCTGCAGTGAATGCTCCACCATTACGCACTTCAGCTGATCTTGAGGTGGGAAATTCTCTACTTTGCCATCGCGCAATTGCCGCATGAGGGTCGATTTCCCAGATCCATTCGTGCCCAAGATACCATATCGGCGACCACGTACGAGCCGTAATTGAGTGTGCGAGAGTAGAAGAAGTGCACCGTATGCGAGAGAGAACTGAGTATCGCAGAGAAGTTCTCCCTCGTCGTCTGCGTTGGTTGGCCCCATAGCATATTTGGCCTACAACACTGTGAGTGACTACGTTCAGCTGTCATATAATCAATCTACCTTGTCGATAGCATGAAAATGGAGCCGAACCGACTCCGCAAACTTCGTCGCATCCTGAGCTCCACCCGAAAACCATGGAGCAAGACACGCTCCCACGCATCGATTCCAGACAGAGGAATCAGTAAACCTTCTGTCGTGGACTAAGTCGGCAACCAATGATGCCTCAAATTCTAAAGTACGCGCTAATAACGGATGTCGGGGAGTGCGACTTCCGTTTCCAAGCTCTATGGTGCTTGACGTAAACACTGCGGGAAGGAGGGATTGAAGAGATGAAAAGGCAGAAGATGTCTCTGCATCTATATCCCGACGAGCAGGAGGGGGACCGTCTTTAGATGCACCCGATTTGTAAAGGGTATCGAGGGCCGTTTCAGCGAAGGCGCGAACCTGAGCAAGTGGCTCTTTTCAGTGGTCAACGTATCTCAACACAAGAAACGCTAACCTCAGGAAACGCAGCACCTTTTGCAATCTTCTCTACACCATCTACCAATGGGCTCAGATAAGTAGCTGCAATTTTTGGTTCTCGGACAAGTTTGACCAGGTTGTCTACCACAACCACGGTTCTGCGCTGAACCTCCATCGATCGATCGCTCAAAGCGCGATTTAGAAGAGGAACAAGCACGGCTAGGGCAGGTGCAGTGACTTCGGCGACGAAAGTTGTGGAAGACAGTGCTTTGATACATGCAGGCACTGCTTCCGGGTTTGCCATACATTTGACTAACGAGGGTATGTGAGGACTGAGATCAGGGTTCGCAAGAGTTGAACACAGAGCAGTCGCGCATTTGATGGCGGCAGAAGAAACCTACAGAGACGCAAATCAAACATGTCACTCAACGGGATTACATCTATGCATTACTACGCACCTCTTGCTTCGTATCGTGCATCGCTATTTCAACCTTAGGAATAGTATTCCCAAGTTCATTCGCAACTGCATCTTTCGCTGAAGTTGTGAAGCTTCTGATTGCATCTAAGACGCCAACTTTGGTTCGCCATTTTCCATTCTCAAGAATGTCTTCCAAGGCACGGAATACAACTCGTGTAGATTCGGGCGGAAAGTGCTTCAGGATTGATTTGACAGCAGCACTAGCGGCTGAACGGACAACATCGCCTTTGTCCATATATAGTTCGAAGAGAACAGGGAGGGAAGGCAGCAATAATGGAGCCACAGGCGACCCAATTGTGGTGCCCATCGACTGGAATGCAACAGCTGCGGATTCGCGCTCATATCCCGACTTCTTGTTCGTAGCGAATGAGTGCAAGGTGGTTAAGATATGCGCGTCACTACGATATAGATCAAATAAGATGTATCAAACAATATGCGAAAAGAGCTGACCTGAGGGCCTCAAGGCCAACTTTTGATATTTCTCGAGCAAGGCGGTCTGCAGCGGCCTTGGCATCTTAGAGAGAATGTGAGTTCGCGAGATCATGAGGGCGATTGAGTAACTGACCCGGGGCAGTAGGTGCCGTACGGAGTGTGTCTAGAAGCGGAGCGAATTGTAAATCCAAGGCTACAGGCATAGCAATAGGCGACATTGAAGTATGAATACAAGTGATAGAAGATTCCCTGAGGCAAGATGAAAAGTCTACGAGATGGCGGATCTGATTAGGTATCTTGTACGGTGTAATATGGCTGCCAAGAGTCTAGGTCGATTCCGGTGGCGATTTTCTGGTACAGCAATAATCTTCCCAGACCAGTGTCTGAGTAGCTGGCTCAGCACGAATGTGGCTCGAGACCGACGGAGGTGTGAGGGACCAGGGTCGAGGGCCGCCACAGGCTCTCCAAATTTTCGAATGCTGTACCGATCTTATCAGATATGATAACAACCAACCCTTTCTGTAGGTTACATATCAAAATCTATTATTACGTAGACACAAACAATTCACTTAAATTATGGATTATGGAGAAGTAAACTGCTTATACTACAAAGAACCTATCCCTTTCTTTAGCAGGAAATGGGGGTATTTACAAACGAAGCTGTATGCACCCCTTACATGGCTGGGAAATTTGTATTTTGCAGTCCAGCAGAAGGCTTGACATATGCACCTTTTGCAGCTTTAGAGAGGAAAAAGGTTACTTTCAACCGCAGTTAAAGGTTGGATTCCCACATAATGGTATTTAAATTTTTATCCCCCAATTCCAATGCTTTTTTGCAACTTTTGGTGGCATTGAAAGGATGATTTCCTCGTAGTGTTACGAATCATAGGAACCATCTTTTCACACCCAAGAATTGACCATTTTCTCATGATGGAAAGGAAAAGAAAAGCATCAGATTTCCAAGCTGAAAGCCTTTCCTCGAGCCTTGCAAAATACGCATTTCTCACTATGTAAATGGTTAATTCTTTGCTATGTTGCTTAACTTACCTACTGAGCTCCGGAGATCATAACGGAAAATACCATTATTGGGTACAGTGTTTCGGTGGTCCTTGGGACGCCAGTCTTCCTTGAGACACTCATTCTTCCTCTTGACCAAGGTAATGGATATAATCGACCACATCATATTTTATTTGTACTCTGTTAAACTACATGCTAAAAAAATTCGGGGCCGAACGGCGTTCAATTGAGGTTTCGAGAACATGATATATACCCAATTCCACCTACTTTGAGGAATTTCACAGACTCTGCAAGAGATTTAATTCTGAGTTTATGAACACCACCGTTAGCTAGCCTATTTGCATTCAACTTCACCCAATAAACCATGACATTTGGTGTAGAATTGCGCGATCTAGGAGAATAAAACGAATGCGTGACATCGTGCGTGAGGACGCACACATCACACGCGATGGGGGTGGCGGTGACTCAGAGTAGCGACCGCGCTCGATCGCAGCGTGCCACGGGGGACGTCACGCTGTGTCACGGTGTCCCAAGGAACCCAAAACATCCGAAAACGAGTACAGATAACAAATTGAATTCTGTTGGAGGGTACATTGCAGGTTTTATTCCCATAAAGTTCATAAAGGACTTGAAGGCACTTCACAAAACTCCTGTACATAAATTTGGTGTGATTTCGAAGTGTGGGGCGCACAAAACGAAATATGCAAACTGGTGTCCCAACTTGGACCACCGAAACACTGTATTTCCTGTAATTCCTACGACCTCAGGCCTCAGGCTTCCAGCGCCAACTGACTCGCACTGAATCTACTCGGCGTGACACTGTTTGTCGGTTGGTTCGGTATATATTGGGTTTGTCTCCGTGTTACACAACGCCACTAACGTTATGAGAAGACTGCAAATTTCAGGAGATTTCGTTCTAAACTGCGGAGCTCTCAAACTGACCCTGAAGGCTTTGTGTACTTGAAGTTCTGATATCCAAGCCATTGGACATGAATGTGGCTGAATATATCCTTCTAAGACAACACGCAAATGCGTTCCAACAACTGCCGCCTGCGACCTTCTTGTTCGAAATCGCCGCCTTTCAATGTGGCCTTCAACTGCTTCCGGCGAGCGCTTGCCGGGCTTCAAACGCAGGCTGAAGAGCCGTACAACACGCCGAGGAAGACATTGTCACCGCATCCGGAAGACTCGATGCTGATCTCCCTTGCGGTAATTAGCCGGACTCACCAATGCGGCGATTGTTGTCATGGTCCATTCTTCTCGCTCGGTTTTCCGAAGTAGGTTTTGCGATGCCGCCAGGCGCGCGTCTGTTCGCCGTGCAAGGCCAGCAGATATTGAACAGCATAGTGGTGCGTGTATTGATTCAGAGAGGCACGTGCTCTATCTTATTAGCAGCGCGCAGTCAAGTATTATTATCTAGCAAACCGCAAATGTAATCCTAGTCATCCTACTGCCATGGCTAAGACCTAACGTATTTCCGGTTTTCAGGGCCGCTTCGTCCCTATTCTTCCCTCTGGCTGTTCGGTTAGCCGATATTGCATGAGAACTCCGCCTTATCTTCATCCACTTGAGACGTCCTATCGGACGTTTGCATTCATTTTTCATTGTCCTCATGCCCGTTGTTCTCTTTCGCTTCGCATGTCTGACTCTTCGAGAACTTAGGCCCCTCAAGTCTTATTCAAGCGCTTTATCGTGCCGGTTAAGTCCATTGCCAAATCTCCGGCGATTTCTTCTTCACGTTGACCATATGAACACCGCGGTGGGCATCCTTCGTTCCCCTACCTAGTGGAGCATTTGTAGGGGGATCTTAAACGGCAGCCGGTAGAAGCCACTATGACGAGGGCCGCGCGCCACCGATCTCTGTCCCTAGGATCTGGCATTCGGTGACGATGTCCTTTTCGTCTAGGTAATTACCTACTTGGAGGCATTTTGAGCCACTGGCATGTTGGACAAGCAGACTTGCTAGGTCGAACGATGGTCCTCTGTGAACGAATTTGTCGCCGGTCAGACTAAGGTTTGATGTGAGGTTGAAATTCGGTTGAGTACTGCGTGGGCGTCATGGTACTGGAACGCCGGTCGAGAAAAGTCTCACTTCTTCCCGTTTCAAGATATAGCGCTGGAGGAACGCCCGTCGTGGTTTCTCAAGTCAACAGCGTCGACCCTGGCATACCTGCCAACAATTCGGCGAATTTGCCATGTTCCATTATGCCATAATGACTGATTGGGTGCTTCTGTGAGTCCTAATTCTCCGAAATTTCCGGATGCAATGGTATGTTTCCTTGGGTTCTGATTCAAGTAAGCGCTAGGTCGAGACTTAAATCGTCGTGAAGGTTTTATTGTCAAGGAAATTTAGCTGCGGGTTAATGGGTCCGAGATTGCATTGAATATGGTGTGTCAGAGCTGCGGATGTCCTTTTCTAAATACGAGCAGAGATATTCACTTGACACGCGTTGATACGACCTCATAGGCATAGGGGGGGGACGTGTTAATCGATGGTGTGGAAGTTTGGAAGTGCAACAGTTTTCTCGTACGTACGCCGGAGCTCCGCGCGCTAATCCTGCACTCTTCTATTGCCTTGAAGTCGCCTCGTTCTCGCACTAGCTCCCCTCCGAAGGCTTGGGAGATGGCCCACCCTTTCCGCCAATAATATGCCGCTCAAGGTGGCATTGAGTACGAGTTCTAGGAACGGGTCGCAGTTACTATTTGCTAGCGCTAGCACTATCGCCGGTGGGTGCCCCTCAAGATCTTCGGCTCGGCAACTGCGCACTCTGCCTCGAGGATATCGTTCGTCATTGAATCCAGCGATCACGGCCTTTGAAAGGCGGCATTGCTGGAGCCATTTGATGGAGAGTTGTCAGTGCGCAACTGGACGCGGAGAATTGCGGAATGACCAGGTTGTATCTTGATTTGCTTCCGCGCCTGATCAGGTGTTATCTCACGAGACAAATCGATAAGATCGCAATCGGAGCCTCTGGACGTGCTTTATCCATGCCGCTGTATGGACGGCAGGGAGCGTCCAGCCACCACTCGTGGCGGAGTGTCAGCTTCCCTTCAACCAACGTGGTTTTGTGGCCTGCCCAGTTGCATCCATTCAGGACTGCAGCTAGATCTTCAAATTAAGAATAAGGTTGAGACACTCGATCGTCGCGGCCAGATCTGCGGAAATCAGATAACCTCTGGCCAAGGCCGTAGAGAGCCCGGACCGCCCCTCGCGAAAATAGCCAGCCAGTGTCGAAACTTAGCATCTTTGACGTACAGGTCATTCGCGAAGACCAACAAATGTACGTATTAATTAGCATAAATTACATGAGCTAATATATCAACGAGCCAACCTATGAAAAATCCGCCTAGTAGTCCATACAATATATCAATAATGTAATTAGGAGTAGCAATGCTGGTCTCGGGTATAGTAGAGGTCCATAGATTATGCAAGTGAGACTGTAAAAAGGAGCGAGGTGGAAAAGAGTGGACAGGTATAACTGGCATTTTGTTCTGCGTAAATCGCGATAGGATTAAGTCATAAATCAAAAGGGACGTCCTGAGAATCGCCGAGGGTCCCTGTCGTCGCCTTCGTGACTCCGACCACGATGGTGTGCTGATGGGGTCGGAGACGGGATTAGGCGGCTCGGGGTACGATGGGGTACATCCCCTGGGTGCATGGCTCCGTAAGGCTGGCCCATATTCACCGAACTAGATGATGGGGCACCATAAGATCCTGGGGCGGGAAAGGCAGCACCGGCATGCGACGCCGATGCAAAAGGATCATTTACGCTCGGCGGCGCAGAGGCCTGTGCTTGGCGAGAGCTTTGGCGCATCGCCTGTCGCTTATTCTGGAACCTGTTTACATGAATATGAGGTCACGATAACGATCAATGAACGATGCACACACGCTGAAACGAAGATACCACTTACCATATCTGCACGCTCCTAGCAGACATGTTCAATCTTTTCGCCAACTCGGCCCGCTCTTCAGTCGACGGGAACGCAGTCCTATTGTAAGTTTCGTTCAAGACCTTCAGCTGCTCGGCGTCAGCCCGCTTTCGTTTTTTCTTGATCGCCGGCTCAGATATAGACGCATCATCTGGAATATATGCGGATGGCGATGTCACGGACGGATTCCGTGGGTATGGTGATGGTCCGTGGACAGAGAGGCGCGAAGGTGCAGAGCGATCGACGGACATCGAGGCGCGTCGAGGCATCATATTCGCAGATGGGTCGAGACCCATAGACGGCACCGGCGGTGGAAGGTTTCTGGGATCAGGAGCAAGGAAAGAGCCACTGGGTTGTGGCTGTTCCGGATAAGGAGCATAGGAAGGAGGATAGCCTGCAATAGGCGATCTAATATGTGTACCACCAACCATATGCTGGCCGGACGCACCAGGATGAGCTTGTGAATGAGGCATATTAAGAGGTGGCAGCGTGCGAGGATCACTGGTATCTGGTATCATAGCTGATGGTGTTCGGTGCGGATATGAGCCATATTGTGCTTGTGCTGCTAATCTTGGATCAGATTGAAATGAAGTCTGTTGATGGTGCCCAGACGCTGCGGCTTATGAACGATAGATGTCCATTAGAATAGTTTCAAACGCAAACACACAAAACAGCCTACGCGGGTTGACGGGCCACCCCTGCTGACCGTACGCCCCTCCCATACCATAATCGTTTCGAACTTGATGTTCTTGCTGCTGAAATTGATTTTGAGAGAATGAAGGGTCAGGAACTATATGCAGTAGCATTTAAGCTTTCATTCATACATTGTTAGGCGTGTTGAAGGAAAACGGACCTGGAGAACGTGAGGCTCGAAACGGTAGATGAAGAGGAGGCAGCTGGGCTCGCCCACCCTGTCCCATATGAAAGAAACCACGGCGCGCACTCCCACCATTATTGTTGGTCCCGCCAGCGGGACTCCTCCGCGGTGTTCTTGAGAAGCATCCATAGGAGAAGTGATCGTCCGGGTGGTTGGACATCTCGAGCTTAAGCGAGAAATGAAAGTTTTCGTCGGGTATTCGCCTATGATTCTCCGCGATTAAGTACTCGCTCCCTCGCCCGTTTGGCATGTTCATGAGGCGGCGTGCAAGGTGCAGGGGAAAGAGACACAGATGCAAGTCAATCTCGACGCACGCAGGCTGGAGTGTGTGCACGGCGGCAGGTTGCAGGGTCGGGCATACGACAAACAACCACCACTGAAACACGCCTTGTTTGAGGAGAGAGCTGGTAGCGAAGAGAACTGGTGCGTGCCCAGCAAAAATATTCCTGAGATTACGAAACAATGTGGCGGTCAGAACACTAGATCCAGGAGTGTGAATGGGACGAGTTGGAAGCGAAGGCTATGCTGAGTGTGGCTGGCAACAAGCGAAGCAAGAAAGGAAAGATGCGCGTTGTGGCCCTCTTATGCATGCAAAACGATCCACTGCCTCGTGCTTGCGTGCGGGTGTTCGATTTGAGCTTCCTCCGGCTTCCTCCGTCATCCAGGTGCAGGTTGATGGGGAAACGGACGCATCGAGAAAGTAGTTCATTTCACGGCCGGAAGTACTGCCGAAATGAACACCTTGTTTGTCGCTAGCTTCGGCCGCTGGAATCTAGTTGTTCGCGATCACATTGCAAAAGAGAATACAATAAAGTTTAGACCGCGGCAGTCACTTGAGTAGAAGAACGGAATTGTCGTATCCACTAAGACTGTTTGGGTGAGAACTGGGACGTTGAGAGATGTGACTGAATTGGAAAACTGCAGGGGCCTTCATTCGGGCAAGAGACTTACGCCTTCAAAGTCGATATCAAATCGACGGTCAGCTGGCGATATGAGGAAGATCATGGACATAGAGACAACACGCAGGTCTGAATGCAGCCGGATCCTTGGGATGCAAGGCACATGGTAGCCTTTATAAAGTGTTGTCGTGGAGATAGTCGCCCGACGTCACAGCTCAAAAATACAGAGCAAGAGAGTTGCTCGGAATAGTCAACTGCTGTAGAATGCAATCGCACTGACATAGAAATTCCGAGACAAAGTGGCCAGTTATCAGATCAATCTACGGAGACTTGATTCCATAGGACGGAGGAGAACACGGCAATAGGTCCTTAGGCAAATTGAATTTGAAACTCGGGGGCGGGCGGGCCACGTGATATCCGCATATAGGTGATAGCGGCGTAGTAGTAACTAGAGTCCATTAAGAGTCTATTTGGATTGCCAGAGGCTCATTCAGATCGACCAAGTCCCTTGGATCGTGGCATTTCAGTCAATGGCAGCTACGCCGCGTCGCGCACTACCTATCCCTCCCGGTCCTCCTCCAGGACAGCAGAATTACGCGCTCCAGCGGGATCCTCTTTCAGCCAATGTCCAGGATGTATACGCTTACGGTAATCCATATGGCTCGCCTTATCCACACCCTTCGTTCCCCCCTCACAGTATTCTGGCTCATGAAGAGCAATCAACCACTTTGCGGGGTGGAACATTGCTCCACAAAGGCTTCTACGACTTGCTATCGCTGATACCGTCGACCCCCTCACCTTCCAGATTCTTCTGGCGCGATGACCCGGAAACTATTGCTGGACCGAAATACGAGGATATGCATTCGTCACAGACGGGCCCTGCAGTGACTCCTGCGAATTATTCTCCTTCACCGGCATCTCCCGTTCCGCCCGTGAAGAATGTAGTACGAGGGCGAAGAATCAGCAAAGATATGGTCTCCAAACCCACGGGATTCATGTGCGTTTCCCACAATTTAGCCTCGGTTATGTGATTGATTGATGCATGAATGGAGCCAGTCATCTTGTGCATGCGTCCGATGCAGACCAAGCCGAAGCTCTCCTCACAAGATGGGGTCCAGAGGGCCAAGGAAAACTTGGAGGTTAGACCGACAACGTGACTATTGCGCAATTTCAGATAGCTAAATAAATCCCTACCAGATCCTCGGTGGGCGGACCCAATCAAAAACCGCATCCGTCAAGACAATCAGGCGAGAGCTGTCAATGAAGTTGTCAACGCCCTTAAACCCTCAGTAAGTTATGCAGGGAGACAGGGTGCGGATCAATCTTCCCCTCTTCACGTCGTTAACGGCTTGAGTACCACAACGTCGTCCACAATTACGACCGCGGCTCGGGAGAATGTTCCCGTGTCATCCGTGCTACCGACGGGTCTGCCAACGGCCATGTCGTCCGGCCAAGTCATCGGGCAGGGCGGCAATTCCATCAAATGGAGAGCTGGGCTCTCCGCCCACCCTGAACACGTCCATGAGGATACGGAAGGTATTGGACCAGAAAAGTATCTCTCTCAGGCCCCGCCTCCCCGCGCTACGGCGCCCATCACGCCTTCTCTCGCTACGCTTGAGAAGGCTGTCTCTGCGAAGATCTACTTCGAAAACCTCTACTTCCCCTTGCTGCGGCATCCGCCCTCGCGCGAGCAAAGAAGAATTGCCATGGAAAAGGACATGGCGAATATGCAATTGAGCGAAGCCCAGAAGGAGTATCTTCGCGGCCGATGGCGGCAGAATGAGACCGACTATTTACGGGAACGCAGGAAGAAGGTTGATGTCAGCGCTTTCGTGAAGCTGAAGACAGTTGGACATGGTGAGTACGCTCGGCTCGACCTGATGCTGACTCTGTTACATCAGAGGAATGACTCTGTTTTAGGAGCTTTCGGAGTTGTCTCCTTAGTTAGGGAGCGTTCAACGGGCCAAATCTTTGCCATGAAACAGGTACTGTATTCCATATTAATGACTCCATTGAGAACATTAATAGATTACATGAATGTCCCCCTTCTGATTTCATTTTGTAGTTAAGGAAAACAGATATGTTACGTAAGGGACAAGAGGGACACGTCCGTGCTGAGCGAGACATCCTCAAGTCGGCTTCACTTGTCAGTACGTCGGGGGGCGCAGAATGGATTGTCAGGTTGTACTACAGCTTTCAGGATCGTGACCACCTCTATCTAGTGCGTACACCATTTTCCTATGTTTCTCCCGTGCCGAGTAATAATCTATAAGCCGATTTAATTTTGATTTCATATCTGATAGGTCCTTGAATATATGGGTGGAGGAGACCTCCTTAATCTGCTGATAGAAAGAGACGTCTTCGATGAAGATTTTACCCGATTCTATGTTGCCGAGGTCCGCTTTCCGCGCTCCATTTTTGCCATGGCGTGCTTTCATTTGACAGTGCTATATTTCAAAGATGGTCCTTGCAATAGAATCCTGTCACAAACACGGGTTCATCCACAGGGACATTAAACCAGATGTAAGCATGGAGCTCCGGAGCTCGGAGTCCACCTCCCCCACTTGGCTGATTGACGGTTCCATCGCCGATTGTCTTTTACCGTCTAACAGAATTTCTTGTTCGATCCGGATGGGCACATCAAGCTTAGTGATTTCGGCCTTGCGTGAGTCCTTCGCTGCCAGTATCACATCAGATGCCGCGCGTCCCACATGCTCCCTGCGCTGACGGCCGGCATAACGCCCAGCACTGACCTCCATTGGGCGCATGACACGTCGTGTAAGTGTACCCTGTTCCACGCCATCGCGGCCTTTGTGGTTCTGACACCACTTCCTCATGGTAGATTACGAGCAGCAGCGCCTCCACTTGCTGCACAAGCACGGTATAGACCTGGAAGACAATCATACGCAAGATGGCATGCGGACGAAACGCATGGATCGCAAGGACGTAGAACGTCTTATGGGCGGCGGTGAGGGTCAAGGTGGAATTTTCACCTGGAGAGAGCGCAACCGTAGGAAGGTGTGTCACTTCACTCGATGAAGTCACTAGGGGGCATAAGCTGAATGTTTTTCTCTAGCTAGCATACTCAGTGTGAGTACCTGAACGCTTTGGCATACGCACATAACTGAGCAATGCCATGCGACCCTCAGATGCGGTACAAATTCCTATAGTACGTACATGTCTCCATTTACGTACGCCCAACTCTGATTCTGTCCCCCTGCGATTGTATTTGAAGTGTCACCCGAAGTGATTCGAGGTCATGGATATACGTATTCATGTGATTGGTGGAGTTTAGGTGTCATTATGTTTGAATGTCTGTACGGGTACGTGTTTCTTTTGCCTCGTCTCCGAGTCCTCAATCACGATCACATCATTATGTATAGATTCCCCCCCTTCGTCAGTAATTCGGTAAGTTGTATTAGATCGCCAGCGTGTCGGTCAATGATTCATTTGTCGTGTTGCCTTGGCGTCATACGTTCATTACTCCCTCAGCGCCATGTCACTCGACAAAAGATCCTGAATTGGCGACAATCCCTCCGTTTTCCTTCTCGTCCTCGAGTCTCACACGAAGGAGTAAGCCTCGTGGAACAGCTTCTCTGCGAGCCTGAGGATCGCCTTGGTTCTCAAGCATCTTCGTCTGTTAGTCGACCAAACTCTATGATCGTACAGGCCAGGCGAAGTGGTTTCATTTCCACGACTGGAGCCGCAGGCAGTGTTGATGGCGCACACCTCATCAAGGTCAGTACATGACCTAAATCCATATCACAGCAGCTAATGTTGCACCTGTTCTAGACGCATCCATGGTTTCGCGGCATTGATTGGGAGAATATTCATAGATACCCTGCGCCTTATCGGCCTGACCTTCGTAACCCGGAAGATACGCGTCATTTTGACGACGACATACCTGCTGAGGTGAGACTAATAGTGACACATATACGTCAATGATTAATCGATCGCCCTGTAAGCCCCTTGCTCCGGCGAACGGCGCCGCTGCGGATGCTACTCGGGACCCACTCCTCCGGGACAAAGTACACGGTGCAGAAATACTGGAAGTACGCAAGGCTCTGGCCTTTGCGGGCTTCACTCACAAGAGCCCCCGAGTGATCAGTTACGTGAGAGCGGACAAAGCCTTCGACCCCGAGCCGGATTCGTACGGCAAGGAGGAATCTGACAGAGGCCGTTCGACTGTACGCGACGTCCGGGAGGTCGGCAAGGGTCGCGCAATGTCGATGTGATGCTTGCGCCATGAGCCTTGCCTCACGTCTTGGAAATTTTTGGTGCCTTTCTTGCCAGCACCTCCATCTCATGCCGTGACGACTTCATCTTCTCATTATTTAACGTGCTTGTATGTACGAATGTATCAATACCCTGCTGATGCTGCGCTGTACACGTCATGTACAAGGATTGGATGTGTATCCGTGTATTGGAATCGATCATTCTCTTGCGTTTGTTAGAACCCGATCAACTCATGTACACCGTGCTGATCAACGAAGGTACTTCTCACTGTGCTGTCCGTGGCGCGTGGCTCTCTGGGCATGAGTCACGGTGGGGACAGTGGCACAAATTTCAGGGTCGTGTGAGTGTACAATCACGAGGTAAGGACACGCTCCTGGGTCGAGGTCTCTGCGAGGGGTATCTCCCACGGAAGACGGGCCGTCGTTCATGAGCAATAGCGCAACCCACGGGGAGAGACTTGTGATCGACGCGGTGCGAGATTTAATACTGAGAAAGACGCACGGTCGGATCGACTCTTTTAGACTTTTAGGAGTGTCATATCGCTTAGCGCGTTCATGAGGTTCATTGAAAAGATTCAGGACCGGTTTCTATGCAACACTGCGAAGTAGCAGCTGCTGGCTGCTGCCCATGCGCAGGTGTCATCGCTAGACAGTGTGGCCAAAAAGCACCCCCCCCCATCGCCGTGTGGTGACCGCGAGGAAGTGCGTAAATATAGCCACCCTTGGTATGCGGCGCATTTGATGTCTGCTTCGAGCCACGCAGCTTGAGGAAGCCTTGTGAGATCTGCGACAAGGACCCTCGTATTTTTGACAGAATTTACCTGATGACTGAGCACCATCGGTTCCGTCTACACACCTAGCGCACGAAAGAATCTGACCCCATCGATACACGCCGTCGGAGACGGCAGCTGATACGCATAAGGCAACAGTATCCCGCACAGACGAGCGAGAATACAAACACCGGCCACAGAAGAGTGGTCAAGGTGCTCGCACAACGCACGTTGCACCGTATGTTCCAGCGCTGTCAGCGCACGCATGGCGTCGAAGCAACACCGGCCGCTCTAGGAAGATGGAATAAAACGAGATGCTAACTGGACTGTTCAGGTACAACTCGGGTGCAGCGACATGAGTGATGAGCACAACTGCTGTTGGCCGCGCGGCGAGAGATACAAACCGAACTGATTCGGAGCCACACTCGGTACGCTAGAAGGTGCCCTTCTGGATATGGAAACTGTTGTAGAACAGCTTTCTGATGCCACGCGCAACAGAAACGATAGATTGAATTGCACAATTCTTCCAAGTCATACTGGCAAAACATCCGGGCGATGTCCCGAGGATAGAACTATCAGAAAGATAGACTTTGTCTAGGCATGGCGTGTACGCGCACAGAAAGTTCGAGGGAAACCTAAATGATGCCGCTGCGTAGATTGTCAAACCGACTCCCCTCGTATTGTAGCCAGTTAGGACTCCGATCTAGCTCGCCCATAGCTTCTTTGACAATGGCCACTAGGCTTTCACCTGGCTGGGGGTCTTTGCCTGGACCACCTTCCATATCGTCGCGCACGCTCCCCTTGTCTCCACTCAGCTCCCAGAACATACTGCCACCCAGCCCTTCTTGCGCGATCCACTCTCCCTTCCACTTACCCACTTCTTCAGAGTCGAAACTGACGAGCTCCTTCGTCTGATAATTGTACGACCAGCTCGCGGCGACCTCTTCGTCTCGGAACATGTACGAACCAGGAGGAGGCAGCGCGCGATAATCATAAACACCTTGCTCCCAGCTTCCGGGTCCGATCCCTTGGAAAGGCTTCCCTGGACCGTCAGTGTTCATAAAGCTTCGGCCGTATAGAGGGATCCCCATAACAATCTTGTCGCGTGGCACACCCTGAGCGATATACCAATTGATCGCTTGAGATGCGCTAATGGGTCCGCCGAATAAATTTGCTTGATGGTTGGCCACCTTATCCCATGAACCCGCTGAGCAGCCCAATAAGGTCAGCCTAGGCAATTCTTCGGATTTTGGTAGCTTACAAAAGTCATAAGTCATCATGTTCCAGAAATCGAGGTATCGATCCATCTCCTCAACGTAGAGTCTTCGGTAGTTGTCGGGCCCACATGGAGCGGCGATCTGAAGGTAGGTTGAGCCTCCACGGGGCATTGCTGGTATGTTCAGCTCACAGTGAGGAGGTACCGATAATCAATGCGCTTCCGGTCTGCATGAGCGTCGAGCCCCTTTCGCAACTCTCTCAGTAATGCCACGTATCCAGATGCTTGCTCATCGTTCTGTGGATATTCATAGTCCACGTCTAAGCCATCCAAGCCGTTGTCCTCGAGGATGCGGATCGCCGATGCGACGAATTTGGACCTTAGGGTTGAATTGACGACGATTGGATGAAACGTGGGAGAGTACGTCCAGCCACCGATCGATAGAATGACCTTCAAGTGGCGATTCTGCTTCTTAAGCTGGTAAAGGGCTTTAAAATTGCCGTACAGATTGGCCCCAGGATCATTCCAACTATCACCGGGATAATGAATTTCCTGGTCGGCCCAAGTGTCGGAGAGGAAGACTTCGCCAGTATCTCCCTTGATGTTGGCAAATGCATATAGGATGTGCCTATGGAAGAAGGAGTAAGACAACACTCCACATTACTGACTGCTTACGTTAAGTCATTGACCGGAATGAGTGATGGTGGGTATTTTCGGCCGTAGATGCCCCTGGACAGCAACGATTAGACCAACATGATAGACAAGAACATCACTCACCAATTCACGAAGCTGGAAAAGGTAGGTCGCGAGAGTGAGCATGAAGATAGGGATATAACGTGTAAACACATACTAGCCAACACTGTACTTCCCGTGAACAGACATGTTTGCCTGAGGCGAGGTTGTTCCCTGTAATGATGTGAAGATTGCTTGGACGGGCTGCTGTTCGCGGCCAGACGCCGTGAACCAGAGTCTAGAGTAGTACACAGCTAAAACGACCGAGCCAAGAGTTGCAGTGTATAGGACTATTCTCGCTACAAGAGGATAAGGGGCAGGGAATTTCTGGCGAGATTCAGGCTGTGGAGGTTTGTCGGGCTCGGCTGGGACCATGCGTCGTAAGATGTGGCAGACAGGGAGGGCATAGCACTGAGTTTCCACTGGAGCGTATGCCGCTGCAGGACCATGGCCAAGCGTGGCTGGCATGAGATCATCGATCTACTTTCTCAGCACGTGATGCGTAGGCGCGTAAAGGCGGCGGCGCAGTCTCGGGACAAGTTGAACTTGAAGTTGTGCAACGCGCATCCCTCGTTGTTTCCGCAATGCACGTCCAGGGACCACAAGAAGAAAACATAACTGCGCAGTCAACGCGGCAGCGGCTTAGCATGTCGTCATACCATTGCCCATGTCCAAAATGCTGACATTGGCAGGATAAACACACAGGGCCTTGTGCCGTAGCTCACACAAACAGCGACTGAACCCACATCGTCCGCTGAACCTGATCGATCCCAGACAGCGTTGCGGGATGACCCCGCCTGACCGTCCCCATACTAGTGGGCACATTGCTGCCATCCAACGCCGCGCCAGCCTTTTACGTGGGACAACATTCAGATCGACTGCCCTACATCATGTCCGCGGTCGGAGAGCGACCGTCGCGGCTGCCTGCCTATAGATCCCTCAGGCGCGGAAGGGTCAAATTCAACGGCCAAATGCCTCGCCGCACACCGGCGATGCTGCGCATGAGGTTCGTCCCAGCATCAAAGCTTAACATTTGCTCCGGCAACGGTGGCATCTAGCGTGAACGCGCGTTCGCGGCACTGTTTTAGACCGCTGAAGGGCCACCGTCTGCGCCACTCCCGAAGGACGAGCTGCGAGGGAATCGGATGAGCCAATGTCCTGGTATGCTGAAGGTCTCACAACGCCGATCAGCATATTGTATGTAAGACGCTTCAGCCGAGGCCCATCGACACAACGACCTTAGGAGCTCCCGCAGCGCGAGGCTGTGGTCGTGATGAACGCGACGACAAAGTGAGGATAGCAGACTGCATCATCATCGCGGAGAACTCTCTACAGTATTAGGAGTCGGATTTCCGAGTCAGGCCTGGCGACAGGTGCCGCAGCGGGACGATCAGCGCGGACGAACGATTTACACACCTGAGACAGCGCACCACGACTAGAAAGCGAAACGGTTGCGCTACTGCCCTAGGTACCAGCGCGGCTGCAGGGAGCCCACTCGCGGTTGCGCCATGCATAGGGTCCCGACAGGCGTCACGATTGCACCTCGCTTGTGCCAACGACCCCGCAGTCTCGGCGATGGCAGACGACCGAGCAAGTCTGAGAGATGCATCACAGACATAGACCTATTGGTGTCGCACCACAACATGTACGGCACGCAGATATTGCGCCAAGCTAGAGCAGCCTCAGGGAGGCATGTTGGCAGGGAACCGCACCACCATTCACTGCAAAACACTGTCATCCTGACGTATCCATAGGTGAAATCAATAGCCACAGGGCTGCGGCAGATGTGCTCCCAGTCAGTGCGAAAACAAGCGTAAGCCAAGACGGGGCTGTGCTGAACCTGAATTATTCACATTCGTCGAGTTCAAATCTGAAGTCTTCGCCAATTATAATTATGTTCACTGCCAAAGTATGTTGATCGCTGAAAGGCAGCATAGTATGGCAGCACTATGATCGTACAACAAGAAACGCACGTCGCTGATGGGACTTTTTATTTACCCGCTTTTGACCTCCCTCCACAATGGTGTGATAGCTTGTGCAACAGTGTTTGCAGCAACCTCTAAACAATTCCGAACCTCATCGTCTTCGATACTCCTAAGAATGCCCCGGGCTCTCCACCGGTCTGGGTGGAAACGCTTATGACTCTTCTCCACAAATAGCTTGTAGTCTTGGCCGCGCATATGAATCTTAACTGTATTGAAGAACGTCTCCACGGCCGCCCAATCAATGTCTTCCACGGTAAGAATCGCCGGAGAGCGCAACACTGGCCAAGGGATGAAGTCGAACGAGACTGGCTCATCTGTTGTGAACTTAGCGTTGTCAAAAGTTTCACAAAGCGATTTGTACCGCTCTAGAGCCCGCTGTGTGGTCCAGGGCCCATACGCCCATCGGTGTTGCTGCTGATTCCGACGACGCGATTGCTCCTTCTGTGCCTTCTCTTTTGCTTTCCGCTCTGCTTCAGCGCGTGCTGCCTCCTGCTCCTTGCGGAGCCTCTCCGCTTCCGCAGCACGATGCTCCGCCTCCCGTTTTGCACGATTCGCCCGCTCCTCTGCTACCTCCGCCGCCCTGCGTTTCCGTGCGGCTTCTTCCCAGAGAGGCTTATCTTTTTCAAGCTCTGCTAACTTTCGCCGCGACTCTTCGATTGCTGCCCAGCGTTGAAATTCTTCGTCCATCTCCGTGTTGGCTTCTGCCCAATGAGCTTCTTGACTGCTTTCTTTCGAGGTACTGGCGTCTTGAAGACAACCAAGCTGAGCATCATCTGGACCATCATGTTATAAATCACGCACCTTTGTCGTCTGAATGCCCGAGCCCACAGAAAGCTGGAGGTACATCAGCCATGACACTAGTCCAGAACGAATCATGCCATGCGCCGTTCCATCTGGTGGCGCGCTCTCGCAGCCGGACAATACGCTTCTTCCCCCGCGCAGCACGCTTCCCTCCATTCTCGCGTCGATCTGCACCTGGAGATCTCGTACGGGCACGCTTTGTAGCTTGTTCTGGCATGTGATCTGGAGTACGACTAGGAGAATGCTTTTGAGAAGAACCGGTACTGAATCCGGCTTCTTGAGACACTACTCTGGCTGTCAATACACGACAGTTGACGGGTGAGATCCAACGCACCCTTTCGTTTTGAGCTACTTGCGGATGGCATGGCCTGTTCGCGCCGATGGGGTTCATCATCTATCATTGTGAGATCGACCATTTCTTGATCCTGTACTGAGCCGAGGTCGGTAGCCTTCGTTCTAGCAGTGGGTGCCGTACTATTCTGTTTCCATCTATGCTCACGGGGCCTTCCAGGGCGCCATCCAGGACCGGATCTACTGCTATGGACTTTTGTATGGAACGGCGCGGTATCTCTGCTATTCTTGCCAGCAACTAGTTCCTCGACTTCGTCCTCTTCATCGTCGGAGCTTGACACTACAGGGAAAGGCTCTCGTTCATCTTCGCTCGAATCACTAATCGTGACAGTGGGCCGAGGTTTCTTGCGAGGTTTCCCCTCTTCGGATGATGGAGTTGGCGGATGGCGTTTGGTGTTGGGCAAAGGGCGGGAAGAGCCCTCCGTGTGCGCTTTTTCTTTACCTTTCTTCCGCGAGATGACCGTCCTCTGGGGCGGAATTGGCACAAAACAGTCATACTCTGGATCGAGCTTGTAGATATCCCACTGGTCTTGGTGACACAGAACGAGTTCACTGGAAGTAACATGAGTATGTGAAATGCAGTGGTGATGGCAGTCATTACATACCCGCAGAGGTCTATAACCCGCGGCCACGAGCCCTCGTTCTCCACCCCGGGGTCGCGTCGGGCACGGGGAACGAACCGCCAGAAGCTCCCGCCATCTCTTCCGGGGAATGTTTCGATGACAATGCGCTTCGGACGGTAGAGCTCCTCATTTAGAGATAAATTACGGATATTGCCTATGTCGAATTGCGAGGAGGCGGAGAGGGGGTGGAAGGACGCGAATGTAATTGTTGAGCCTGGCACATGATGCAAGCGCTCCGATTGACTTGGATCAAAGAGACCAGGGACTGTTCCGGATAATGTGCGAGCGTAGATGGGTTTTGACGAAGGCACAGACATCGTGAAAACCTAGTACTGGCACCAGAGCATAGTTCGGGCTAAGGCACGTCCGCCACGCTCACGCGTTCACTCAGCCACAATTCAACAAAGTCACGTGGTCGCATGTTGTTGCCAGATCAGGTATTAGGTAATTCAAGCGAGTTTGTTCGGAAATGTATTGGCTGCATTGCTCGATCTCAAGTTGGATTTATATACTGTTGATATATGCCAGTAGAAGAGGCAGAGTTGGCGGCCTGGTTCTACAAAACGTATGCTGGATTCTGTTCGCTGTTCATCGTTGAGGGCGGAATGCCACGTGTGGCCGGTCATGACGTTGGTTAACACTTGACTGTGCTTGACTCGTCCTGTCGGAAGGATCGGAGTCACTCCAGCTCAAGGTTCGCGTTTAATGCTGGCCAGTCTCAGAGTATAGGCCCATGAGTTTTTCAGGCTCCAACCTTCACCACCACCTCTCGGTCAGCAGTTGACCAGGATGACTACTTTGCGAAATTTCCAGAACGAGATTGACGAGATCCAACATCGGGAACTCATCAAACAAAGAACCCAGTACCACACGGAACAAGGAAAGGAGAAGGGTCCGAGAAACGCTGTCGACAAGTCTGTGTCTGAGTCTAAAGCAAACAAGAATGGGGACATAGTAGTAGATCCATCGGAACCCCAAATTGATATCGATGCACCCGACACATCCGACCTGGATGAACGAATACAGGTAGGTATTTTGGACCATTTGCGGGCGACCTTCGTGTTGAGTAATACCGTTCATAAGGGTCTATTACTATCCGATACGCTATCTGACAAAGAACGAGCTCGAGATATTCTCACTGCTCTGCTGACACGCCGTCGAGGAGAGTACATTCTCCGAATAGGTGACCATCCGCCCAACTCTAAACTTTTTGCCGGCGAGTCGTTAGCGGAGATCGATGGCTGGTACGGTACGCCTTGCACCGCGCAGGACCTGGTTGTTTTACAAAAAGAGACCAGTCGGATAGTAGACGACCTTGGCGGGCAGGTACGTGCCATGTTGTGTCCGTTCAACGATCGATGGACTTACCGCGTATAGACTACCATTTTGTTCGAATCAAAGGCAGAGCACCCTCGAGCTGCGCTGCTATTACGCTTGCCTCCGGCAGATGTTTCTCTCACTCCGGAAGTCCGGTGCGCCGTTGTGGGTAATGTGGACAGCGGAAAATCTACAACGTTAGGTGTTCTAACGCGAGGTACTGTCTTCATGTATGCGTGTCCTGGAGGATGGGGATTTGACGCATTCGCAAACAAGGCGCGCTCGACGATGGTCGAGGGCGTGCACGAGTCAGCCTCTTTCGGCACAAACACGAAATAGAGAGTGGGCGGACATCCAGCGTGGGCATGGAAGTACGGAGGGTGTCTCTTTCTTTCCATGGCGTGTTCCTTCACTGACATCGTTCCCTAGATTCTAGGTTTCGATGTATCAGGAAAACCTATACTTCCCCCAACCGCACACTCAAATGACCTCGACGTCATCCGACGCGAGAAGATGGGCTGGGAGGATATTTCCGCCCGAGCAGCGAAAATTGTATCATTCATCGGTGAGTTTTTCTTCAATTGGATTCGAATTTATAGGACCGAGCGGGTCGCAGATTTAGCAGGGCATGAGCGATACCTGAAGACCACCCTATATGGCCTGACGTCCGGTGCACCTTCATGTGTGATCCTTATGGTAGGGGCCAATGCGGGGTTGATTGGCATGTCGAAAGAACATTTAGCGATTGCCCTGGCTTTGAGCGTACCAGTCGTGGTGTGTATAACGAAGGTGGGTTAAACTGTACTGGAGCGCATTCATAAATTCATAATCAATCCCAGATCGATATGACGCCTCCAAATGTTCTGGCAAAAACTATTGAGCAAGTATGTAAGATCATGAAGAGTCCAGGTTGTCGGTACGTTGGTCGTTCATCTGCTAAGTGTGCTCTATTCATTGCCTTTTTTACTGCAAGGAAAACACCCGTATTTGTCAAGTCGGCCGAGACTGCGGTGGAGGTATCCCAGGTCTTTGGAAAAGAGCGGCAAGTGGCACGTCTGGGACTTCCCATGCTGCTACTGAATGAATAATCAGATTATGTCCGACATTCCTGCTTTCAAATGTGACTGGCGAAGGCCTCGACCATGTGCATATGTCCCAATATCGTTGTCATCTTAATCAGGCTAAAACACAAATACAGTTGCGTATGTTCCTGAATCTGCTACCTGCAAGTGAGAGCGACAGCGAGAAGTTCGCTGCTGATCAACCATTAGAGGTATGTTCTTTTAATTTCCCATATTTTGGACGCTCCGGATGATATTATACACCAATACTAGTACTCTGTCACCGAAATATGGTGCGTAAATTGGTTCTGTGCCTTGATTCTCATTTATTGATGGCTATGTGCGAAGGTCTGTACCATATGTAGGGACAGTAGTCGATGGCATCTTGAACAGTGGGACCATTAAGACGGGAGACACGGTCCTTCTTGGGCCTGACGCCAATGGTAATTATCAGACAACAGTCATCAAGAGTATTCAGCGCAAACGGTATGTTGCTACCTTAAATCATACTGAAGTCGTCAATTGATTGTACCACGATAGTGCCCCGGTCGGTAGCGCCGAAGCCGGCCAGTGTGTGTCCTTAGCCTTGAAGCGTGTGCGGAAAGCCGCGGTTCGCAAAGGAATGGTTTTGGTACACAAGACGGATACATTGCCAAGAGGTGAGAGTATCGGTGTGCCGATATGGCTATTCGGATATTAAATTGCATATTCGTAGCTGTCCGAAGATTCGAGGGGCAGGTTTTAATACTATAGTGCGTATTGAAATTGATAACGCTCCTAAACTCATCTCCGGTACTCACATGGTCCTAGTCATAACACTACATTGCAGACAAACTATCAGGTGCGGCTTACTTTAGTGTTCTGTCTCTGCGACTCAGACTTTCTTTGGCGCGCAGGCTATGCTCCATTGTGGGGTATGTCTTCACATCCGATAGAAGTCGCACCATTCTGATTCATTTACAAACCCGCAAGGCTGTGCGTCAGACCGTCCGCATAGTCAGTATGGATCACCCCCAGGGGATCCTACGAACAGGGGACCGTGCCACCGTGACATTTGAGTTTATCGCCCGCCCAGAGTTTATCAAAGAGGGTATGAAGTTATTATTCAGGGAGGGGAAGACCAAGGTCCGCACCATGGTGTCTTCTGTGATTGCGTGCTCACTCGTACCCAGGGGCTCGGCGTGATTACCCGATTATTGTGAAGGGCTATCGTACCTTATATAAGACCGCGCGCCTTGAGGCTACGTCGCCTGGTCTTGAAGCTTGAAGTTCCGACGTTAACGCACCTTGTGCATCCTCTACGTCCAGGAGGTGTATCCATGTCCACCATTGTGTATTGTGTATGTGTGTATTATCGGCATTTGACCAATTATTGTTATGTATCCCGGAAAGGTTTCTGTCAGTTTTCCTGTGCAATAATTATGCTTCGTTGGTCACAACATTCTGATGAGCGGTCTCCAGGAAATGTAACTACTTGATTGTATCTCAGGGCAGCCTCCTTGAAAGTACTAGTGCTTTACCGGCGCAACCCCGGTTTATGAGATATGAGGTCCGAGTCCTACGCCGCTGTAATATTTGATAAGTCTCTGTGCTGCAGAAGTACGCTCGCAGGTCAATCTCTACTGATATTTTCTCCACAAAATCCCCGAGGGCTTGCGCGTTCACGACTTGGCCATCAGCCGCTCTTAGCCGGGAAGAGCCGAGCCATCTTTCTTCGCAATAAGCGAAGATTTCGCAGCTTGCGGAGTACGCTGGCTCGCCGACTGTTCTGCGAGTATGCTGTGGTGGAGATCTGTACTGGCGCCGAGGCCCCAGGCTTCGATTCCCAAGTACTACAGCTCTGGGATAGTCGACAGTGGCTAGCACTGGTTGATCTGGGGTCGAGGCAGTGCTTACTTGGAACGTGACTGCGTGCGCTTCTGTCCGCATCCTGCGCCCGGACGCGCAACCACCGCCGGCTCTCTTCGTATTCACAACGTTCCCTATCACGTCTATCTGCACGTTGACTTTCTGGACTGGGCCAGGTGGACACGAGTTCTCTGTGTAGCCTCTCGTTGACCCTCTACTTTCTCCCCTCGGGAGTCTGGGTTGTCAGTCATAAGGTCATAAGGCGACTATGTCGGTTTCAATGGCATCGGGCTCGGGCGACTCGTTGAGGAGGACGCGATCTACTGGGGATGTTGCAAGCCCTCGCAGCTCTCCAGGATTAGGCTTGTTACGTTCTCTCAGCAGCCGCCGCCTTTCGGAGGGCCAGGCGCCATGTGAATCAGGCGATCTCGAACATCCGTCTTTGTCTATAACGCCGTTGGGGTCAAATTCGAGAGACTTTTCGCCAATTTCTGTCCCACAGAATGCCCTTCTCCGGGCACAAAGTAACTTTACAGCGAGAGACGTGCCCCTTGTCGAGACACCTGTGCCAAATCCCGAGGCGCCGGAGAACACCGATGGCCCAGATCGCGAGCCCAATCAGCATCCCGCCAATCCTATCTTGAAATTCATTGGTCTTGAAGGCCCAAATGCCAAAGCTAGGAGAGAGCTACTGTCGTTGATATGGAATCTAGGATTTGGCTTTATTCAAGTTCGTCCTAATCTACTGGTGTGTGATATTGACTGATGTCCGCAAGTCAGTTCGTTGTTGTCATTACTATGCTGGTATATTCTGCTCACCATGAAAGCCCCACTGATCCGGGCTTGTCAGAGTGGAAAGCTTGCAATAAGCCTTTAGGTGTGTGGGACAGCATCTGGTTAGTAAGGGTCGCTCTTGGTTGCTTCCTGTCTGTCTGGGGTTGGCAACGACAGCGAGCGGTTCGGCAAATGTAAGTACAGTACTTTCTCAATATGACCGCATCTTATACTTGTAATAGTCAGGAACGTCGGCAAAGGGGAAATGATCCCGAGACGCCTCGCCCAACCATGTCACCACGTCAACTTTCGGCGATTGGGTCAACGGGGCCAACTCCTAGATCCTTACGATCTCCTAGCGTTGGCGCTGCGGGACAGTCGCCTCCGGGTTCGGAGCCCAACCCTACTGTGAATTTAGCTCACACAGTCCTTTTCGCCAGGTACGTGAGGATGTGCGCGACTGATATTTTATTCTGAACAAGCATTTGTAATGTCATGCGTATTAGGTTGACACTCCTCGGAACCTTCATGTCTCTCGCTTGGTTCCTGACCGCTCATATCCTCGAATACACGACGGTCAATGATTGTCGCTTCACTTCGCCACATCTGTGGTGGCTCACTTTTGGTATACTGTGCATTCTCTATATCATGATTTTGGAGATATTCCTATTAGGACTTCTGGTGTTCGTGTTGGGACCGGTTTTATACGTGGGTTTATATCCATCTCCTGGCTGAGTGGGCTGACTATCCCTGATCCTCACAGCTCTTGTGGAATATCGTTCTGCTCTGCATTGGACGACATCCACTTCAAAACCCCCATTATATCAAGCCTGACATCGGCAAGCTCTCAAAATCCGTTGTGGATGATATCCCTCTTGTTCTGTACATCCCCCCTCCCCCGGATGAAACCCCTGATGGCACTGCTGCCCTATCGCCCATTCCTGTACCACCCACGGCGCATTCATATCCCCCTAAACCCAAACGCTCTACAACTGCGCCTGCGCCCAAGCGTCGCTTTGCCTTCATGAGGAAAGTAGTTCCTCATAGAGCCAAGAAGAGCAAATCTGATTTGGGCGACTCAAGCGAGAAGACTGGTACGCATACATTGAAGCGAGCGAATGTCGATCCGGAGAAGATGACGTGGGAGGACCGGTGGGAGCCGGGCGAGCACCCATTCGTGAGACTGGAAGGCAATCGTGCAGTCTGTGCGATCTGCCTTTTAGATTTCGAAGAACCCCGACGTGCCGATGGCGTATTATCTAACGAGACGCCAACTGCTCCGACTGTGGCCTCTGCGGACGAAGTCGTCCAGAACAAGGAAATAGTGCCAACTCAGAAAGACGCTGCGTCTGGTGAAGAGGCTGAGGAAATCCTTGTTGAGGAGGTCTCGCAGGAGGAGAGAGACAGGTTGAAGTTAGATGACGCTGGAGAGGGTGCTCAGCCTTTGCGCCTTCTCTTCTGTGGACATGTCTTCCATGTGAGTGTACACCCCCATTCGGCGTTTGGTGTCGGCTGACATACTCTACTCGATCAGCAAACTTGTGTGGATCCATGGCTAACTGAAGTATCTGGACGTTGCCCTGTTTGCCAACGCGCTGTTGAGTTTCCGGAATCAGGGGGAAAGAAGAAGAAACAGAGGCAGCCATCATCATGATCGATTTTTGGGACTATTTTTCCTCACACCACTGTCATTAACGCTATTTATTAGCTTCGGAAGCTTCGTGATTTTCTCCTGCCCTACCAATACGATGTGCCGCATCTGGTTCATGCCCTGTCGAGCAGTCAAACAACTTGTACTTATGATGTGACAGTACCCCCTTCATTTCTTGATGACATACCTACAATCACACTAATGCCTGGAGGTATTTGGCGAGACGAGCAGATATCTGAATAAGAAATCATTGCCCAGCCATGGACAGATGGTATGAATACAGAAGAAAATAGGAAGTACTACTGGGGTTACCCTCGTTTTACGCAGCCCATCCGTTCACATTCTGCGAAGGACTGCTCCATCCGGGGTTAGGACCGCGGCCGGGACTCTGCCAGCCTCCTCCTGCACCAGTATCTGCCCATCCACCACCAGCGGCTGCTGGGGTAGTGCTCCACCCTCCACCTGCACCAGCCGCTGCCGGAGTAGTGCTCCCCCAATTCCCACCTGGGTTCGGGGTTGTTCCCCACATGGCACCACCAGCTGTTGGGCTGGTGTTCCAGCTGCCTCCTCCGGCGTTCCATACACTCGCCGGGGCCATCCCTGGTGCGCCGCCGGCACCGTTGGCTGGGGGTAATGGAGCCTCCCCGCCGGGTAGCAAATCTAACTCAGGTTCAGCCTTAAGTCCGAGGAGGAGACTAGCAAGTTTTTGCTGCAGTTCTTGGAGACCCTATACAAAAAGGTCGGTCGAGCACAATAGAGTGCTTCAGCCCCGTCTGCAGCGTACCTTCATGACGACCTCCTGCGGCCCGAGACTACCATCAGTCTCAACGTTGAGGTAGAACCGGTTTGGCCGTGCGTTGTAGTCGAAGGGCTGGTCGTCTCGTGGGGGTTCCTCTTCTAGTGCATTGTCGCTCAGGGGCCATTCTGCGCGTGCATCCGTCTCGTACCAGTACGTTGTATGTCTCATCTTGTTGTGAGGGTCATATTCAAAGGCTACAGCCGAACACGGAGACCATTTTGCATGCTCTTTCGCTATTCCCTGATGGTGAGAGGTGAGATACCGGCATTTAAGATAGATGATATTTCAACCTTTTTCGCTATGCAGCGAACTTTGAGCTCCTGTCCCTTGCGAATTTTGCATATAAGTACGGGAGGTACATTTGGATCATCTTTGTGCGAATATTTGAGTGTAATGACATCTGAGAGAATTCAGTGCTGCGTACCTTTGCCCACGGGATGCCCAAAGTTACTTCCACGTTTCGCCATTTCCTCATTACCCTCCGCCTCCTCATTCCAATGCTGCTCCTGCCCTCTATGTGGCCCGGAGACATCTAAATGGGCACTCGTCACATCCATAGTCACACCTTCCTCGCTACACGCAACGTTCAGCGACAGCTCGACCGCGCAAAGCTGACACCATGACAGACAACTGCAATCCTGAACGAAGAATGTGAAGGCAGCACTCCAGCGGTGACGACGTGCATCATACCCGAGTATAGCGCATTCCCTGATCACAATTGTGGCTAACGAGGGGGATCATGCCGAGCCGGTGCGCGATGAACTCGTCAGGGAGGACGGTTGTATTCGTCTGGACTTCTACCATGTCAACCGCTAATAGGAGGCCCGTCACCGACATGTGGAACGGCAATAGTAGTTGAAGTCACTCACCCACAGTAGGAATATCGGCCATCATGACCCTACGGAATGAGTTTGCAAAGCTGGTGACCGGGCGCATTGTTAGTCTCTGTCTGCCACCACCGAGAGGCGCGAACATACGCGAGGTCCACATTTTCGAGGACGAAGTTGACCTGATCCTTTTTGAGTTCTCTGATGCGCACAATAGGATCAACCTCTTGGGCCATCGTAGACCGATTCAGGCTAGAGGAGGGGAAGGAGTTGCAGGTGAGAAGAGAGCAGTGGCAAAGAGACGGTACTGTAAGCGCCCGAGTCGATTGCTGAGCCAGCCGTGGGGCGCGCGCTTGTCTGTTTACCCTTCACAGTGACCACAAGTTGGACGATTGCTCTATGCTTTAAATATGTTCTCGCGGTGGTTCAAACTCTGAGGTCGAATTACTCCAGGCAATTAAATTGGAAATGAAAAAAAAAATACGAGCAAAGACACTTCCTGAAAACCGAATTGTACTAGAGAAGTCGAGGACAAAGAACTCACCCATACTGATACTGCTGCCTAGGCCTTCTTGCTTGGATGATGTACTATCTTACTATGGCGATGTGGTATGTACTTGGTCCCGAGATTCTTCCTGTCAGCCCTCGCTCTATGCGGGGCTGTTTGCAGCGCTGAACGCTTCCAGCTGGACTATTCCGGAATCGTCGTCTCGAATGAGAGAGCTCCTTTGTGAGCCCCCGCCATGATGCATCCGCTCGCATTCTGGGCTGTATGCTTCGGTATCTTTTCTGTCGAGGCTACATCCCAACCTAAGGTCCTAATTGCTTCGCCGGCCGCTCTTGCATCTCAATATGCACTTACGACTAGCACCTCCTTGGCCTTTCCTACCGCTACGCTTGCGCCCTCGGATACCGAAGACTTCATCGTCTCCTCCTGGAACTTGAATGCAGAACGTATCGAGTACGGCTCTGCCGATCTTGCGTTCGTGCCTGATCCTTTCACGAACGCATCTTCCAGTACGACCTCTTCGGCAGCCACAGCGTCTTCAACGCCTCCCTCTCCGGTGCTGCGAGTCACGTATCCCTCTGGTAGCTACTCACATGACACAGGCGGCGCACAGTTCTACGCTCTCTGGAATGCTTCGAACTCGACTGGCGCACAATTCACTTCGATGCTTCTTACTTACGAGGTGGCTTTCGACTCGGACTTTGACTGGGTCAAAGGAGGCAAGCTCCCTGGTCTCCGAGGCGGGGCTGACGCGTATGGCTGTTCTGGCGGGCAGCGTGCGAATGGTTCGAACTGCTTCAGCACGAGGGTGATGTGGAGGCCCGAGGGAGAGGGCGAAGGCATGTCGCGCTCATGCCTACTGCTTTATGGCGCTTTTTGATAACACATATTCTCGGAATATTAGTTTACGCATATTTTATTGATTCGGACAGCTTGTGCTCGGGTTCGGACTTTATGTGCAGCACCGAGGATTATGGTACAAGCATCCAACGGGGGTCTTTCAGCTTTAGTGCTGGGCAGTGAGTTGTTAGTCAATTGTCTAGTTCGAGGTTCTAACTAACGGTACTCTATCCCCTTAGATGGAATAAGATCACGGTTTTCGTGCGATTGAACGACCCACCTGACAAAGCCAACGGACAAGTCGCATTGTAGTGAGCCGGGTTGTACATCCTAAATTAGAACATCACTTCCCTGTTCATAGTTTTGATGATGTCAAAGTCATTGAACAGACCAACATTCAATACCGGAACACCTCTGATGTCAATATCGGTGGATTTTACTTTTCGTATGTATCTCTCATGCTTGCTCCGTGACACGGATCAACTTGACATGTGAGAAAATT